AATATAAAAAATATAAGAAGCTGCTGCAGGAGCAACATCATGGGAGGGGGATTTCTGGGACTAAGGTAAAACTATGAAGCTCCTTTGTTATTTTTGCTATTAAATGCCACATGTTGTTTAAGTAATGCTGTTATATTTATAGTATTGAAATGTGCATGTTTGTATGTTATTATATATTTATTTTGCTAAGTTATTATGAAATTGTTGTGTTATTGTTTTGCTGTGTTATGATATTGTTACTATGTTATTGCTTTGCTATGCTATTATGAAACTGTTTTTGTAGTATTTGTTTGAAATGTATCCGTTTCTTTGTTGTAAGCCACTTTGAGCATTTTTTGTGTGGAAAAGTGGCATACAAATAAAATGAATGAATGGATGGTTTCTCTGATTCTCCCCCCCGCCGCACTGCCCCGATGTGAGTTCAGTTTTTCACATTTCCACATCAGTTTGCATTTTTAAAAAAATGTTCTCCTGAAAATTCATCACCGCTGTGATTGCAAATTTCCATGCAATTTTGCCTAACATACAAATTTTTGCTTAGCAATTTCCTTCAGAATACTGTAGTATGTTATTTTAAGCAATATATGCACTTTTACAGACATTTTACATCAGTGTATGCATTTTTGTAAACCCTCCTTGGCTGAATAACTGCACTGCCAAATTTGAAGAAGTCTGAATTTTGATAGCTGGAGTTTGGTTTTCATATTGTTTCAGGGTGTGTGGATTAGATAAGTTTGCCTTTAAATGTCAATTGAATCAAATTTCATCCCTATATAATTTAGAATGGGGGTGTCAGAGAGAACCAAACATATACATTACAAGTTAAGATAGATGGTTTTGCTTATTTTTAAACTCAAAATATATCAAAATTGTAGGAAGCCCCATGTATCTGTAGACAAAAATGATATTTAAAACAAATAAATGGAAAATAAACAAAAAACTTTTAAAAAAGTAATTTTAATACGTCGCAACAAAAATAAAATATAATATGGAAAGTTCCGTGTGTGACGATAGTTATTATTCTCTCTGCTGCTGGAGTGATGACTAATAGAACAATCCTAACCGTATCTGCTAACAATAGTTTTGTAACAATAGTTACAAAAAAGAAAAAGAAAAAGAAAATCCCAATTTACCCCCTTCCTCACTCTAGGACAGATCAGTCTATTTCTGTCCAGTCTGTGATTTCAGTGGTTGCCATTCTTGAGGGTTATCAATAAAGTATTTTATAATAGGATGTCATATTTCAACAAAATTGTCTTCAACATTTGTGTTATTCAGTGCACATAATCTCTTTGTTATTTTTTCTGATAAAGCAATTGACCATACATCATTCTGCGTATAGTGAGAAAATACTGAAATCATAATTATGATATTAACATGATTGAAAACCAACCTTTGAGATTTGTTTAACTTTCTATGCTTAAAATGGTATGCCTATGTTGACTGGGGCCTGTTTATTAAAAATAATCCTATTGATTTTAATAGAATTAACAATATGCTCTCAATTTTTTTCAGCGCCATCTCCCTTAACAAGAAAAATATCACACACATAGCAGCACTATCCCCCCCCCCGAAAGCTTGTGCCCAAATTCCCTAGCTGCTTTTTGAATTGTGGGAGTTAAAGAACAATGTTGGGCTTCTACTTGGGCATCTTCTGAGAAAAGAAACTAAAAAAATGAGTGTGTACCGTTACTAAAATTTTATTAAAAAAAAAATAGGGACAATCAGTGGTACTGTATCAAATGACTGTATTCTTTTAATACTGGGAAAGCAAAGGCTACTGTATCAATTTGCCAGTTATATTACAGTGGCTGTTAAATTCCTTTACACAGAAGTTTGTTTGTTTCTTCTTTTATTTTTTTAAAACATATTTTAATATTTCACACACACACACACACACACACACACACACAGTATATGCAAAAAAGGGGGGAAAACCACATACATACATTAAATAAAGCAAAAGCAAAAGACAAGTACCTCCAAAACAAACATTTTCAATTACACTTCTATGTAAGGAGTACAAGCTGTCTCTTTACACAGAAGTTTGGACGACATCAACTATACTAAGAACACAATTATTACAAAATTGTGAGATTATGCCATAATGGATAAATTGTCTAATTATAAGAACACAAGAAAAAACTCCAAAACAAAAACATTATGCTGGTCAATATTGGTTTACTCTAATCAGACTGTGGAAACTTATGCATGTCTACTCTGAAGCAAGACCCATTGAGTTTAATTAGACTTACTCCCAGGTGAGTATAGGTTTGCTGCCTAATACTGTAAACCATATGTCAGGAGTGCTCTGATGGTGTTTCCTGCTTGGCAGGGGGTTGGACTCGATGGCCCTTGTGGTCTCTTCCAACTCTATGATTCTATGATTTTTTCAAAGGTGTCTACAGTGGGTTTCAGCCATTAAAGGCACCCCATAAATACTTAAAAGATTTTATCATTGGAAGTTTTAATATTTACTATTTTATATTTATGGAATAAACATAAAATTATAGCTCTTTATGGTTTGTTCACCCCCCTCTCTCACACATTCAATATAAGGAACACAAAAATGTTAATATTTAATCTTAAGGATAACATACCTTATTATTTTATTTCTACATAATAAAATTTTATATTCCTCATGGATGTAGTTTTGTTAGCATAGGAAGTTGCCTTACACAGTCTCAGACTATTGTTCCATTTAACTTGGCATTGTTTATCCTGGCTGGCAGTGGCAGTCCTGTGTTTTGTAAACGTCAGTTCAACTTCCTAGCTGACCCTTCATTTATGTGGTCCTCACTGCTGATATCAATTTAACCTCTTTATAGATATATTGCTTACTTTTTTTTAGCAAAAGGTTGTTGCAATAATACTTTTAGGGGAGAAATAATTTATAACAGCTTTACTAGTTAACTATCAGAGCAATTAGGATGAGAAAATAACAAAAGCATATTCTAAACCTTATCTAGATTGTAGTATTTCAGATCATTCTAATCTGTTGATACTGCAGCTCAACTTCTTGTGGGCTCAGTAACTTTATAACACTCTCCATCTTGACTTGTCCAGATTCCAGCCTATTGATGTTTCCTATTTGCCAGTCTCACTTATATTCCAGCTACTACACCCAACTTCTTAGCTGATCAAAAGAGCATTAGAACTTGGCTTAGTTTCTGGTTCCCCTCTGCTAAGTTTCAGTCTCCTTCAGAGCAGATTCAGATCTTTGAACCACCTAGCAGGAATAGCTTTTAAATGGAAGGCAATCAGTTTATAAATAAAACCAAACACAGAATAAGTGAAAAGTTTCATTCATTTTTCTTTTCAGCTACTGTTGATTGTAATTAGCTTCTTATTATTTTAAATACCTGTTTTAACTGTTTTGAATAGATATTTATAATGTTTTATTTTATATTTTTGTAAACGGTTTAGAGGTTTTCTTACAATCAAGTGGGGTATATATATTTGTTAAATAAATAAAGTAAAAATGCATCTCACCCGTGAGCTGGCATTCTGTGGCCACTAAGCATGCTCAGTCTTACTGAACTCTTTAGGCTTCTCCTCAAACTTGCCCCCCCCCAATTTTTTGTTTGCACTTTTGCAAACTTTGATGTTCTCCCAAGCCTGCTGATACCTCACTCTTGTGTGTGCATGATGCTATTTTGATTACCTAAGGATCAATGATTTGAGAATTGAGTTTCCCATTTGTATACAGCATATGACCACCAAAGAGTACATGCATGTAGACTGAAGTGACTGCATTATTTGTTTTATACATTTATATATTCTTCAGTACATGTTATGAAAGACTACAGATTGGAAGACATTTGATAGGAATTTATTTTTCTTTTAAAATTTCTATGTATGAGAAGGATGAGTTTTAGAAAAATAAAAGAGAGTACATTTAAATGTTGTAAGTTGGGCCTAGTCTATGAAATAGGGTATTATATAAATTAAAATAAAATTTAAAATATGAAAGGCAATTCCTTTGACAAGGCAGCATTGCTGCACTTGTGCACGCTCATATTACAGACAACCACTGTGTGATCAAGTTGACATATTGTGTCCACTGACTGACCCAGGAGCATTTATACAGCAAAAGTGGATGAGAGAATGTGGCTCCAATCTTAAGTGAGGTCACGTTGAGAAAAACAGAGGCACTGGCATGTTTGTGGTCAGTAAATTTTTTGAGAATTGGTCAACTTTGGTATCGTAGTGAAAATGGGTTGTAACTGCTTTTCTGGAAAGCTTGTTGTATGTTTCAACAACTGCATGAGAGTCTAGAATTCAACAAGGGAGGCTTTTTCTGGAAAGTATGTACGTTGAGGGGAGAAACTTACCTGCTGGATTTTTGTTTTGTCTCTTGTTTTGTTAAGGGTTCAAAAGCCTTGTAAAAAAGAAACGTTGGTAACACTTAGCTGCAAGGCCATTAGGTAAGGATTGGGCAGGCTTGGTGGCAAAATGTTGAAGTACTGAGTTGGAAACACTAGGAACAGAAGTAACAAATCTGGTGCTTGTTATTCATCTGTTTTAAAAATAATAATATACACCCCTCTGATAACTAGAAGTGGCAACCCTACTGTGAACCACTATGTGAGTTTAAGTGGCTGCTACAACTAGATTCTGAAGTCTTACTGCGGAACATGTGAAAAGCTTTACGCTTTAGTCTCACTGAAGGGGACAGAAAAGAGACCGAGTGTGTAGAACTGCTTTTATATATAGACTTAAAGGTCAGCACAGTCTTGATTCACCTGGGACATTCCCGTTCTTTTGTGTGAATCCCTGGCAAATTGTCTCATAATACTGGGATTTATGGCTGTATAGAAGCTGGTGCCACATTCTAACTACTTGGCAGAAGCTGCAAAGGGAGCAATTAAAACTTATTTTATTGTTTTTATTCCACTTCTGCCTGAAAGGCACTAGGGGCAGATGCAACTATAGTTAATACACATGGCAAATCACGGGGATGGGAGCTTACTCTTGTTTTCCATACTTTTTTTTCTTTTTCAAGTCCTGGTCATGACTGCATGCTTCGCTGAAGTGAGGCTCAGGCAAGGAGCTGTCCACCATGGGATGCTACTATCAACCTGGCCAGATTGCCTACTCCTGGCAGCATTATGCAAGCCCTTCATCATCCCTGCCACTGAGTTTTCTTTCCCCTCCTTTTCCTGCAAAAGGAACAAAAATTTGTGGCATATAAAATACTGTAATATCAAATGTATTATGGCATAAGGATAAATGCATTTCTTGTTTGTTTGTGCTGACTAACCCTTTGTAAGATAGTGAATACATTTTTGGATCAAACAACAATATGTATAAGGTTTTGATTTTGAAGGATTCCTTCCTTCACACATTCTCACTTTTGCATGCACATTCTTCCTTTACCCTTTTTCCTGTGTGGGATGAACTTATGTGGGGCTGTTTTGATATTTCTTTGTTTTGAATCATAGAATTATAGTTAGAAGGTTGTCAATTAAAATTAAGTAGATAAGGTTTGTCTCACATGACATTCTTGGAAAACCCATGTGGCTTCTTGTAAACAATCCTCATAGAGCGATTGCTTAATAATATGTTGTATAATTTTGGTTGGTGTCAGCATCTGGCTGACTGTTGTGTATTTTCCTGGATCTACCTTTCCCTCGTTTTTTAAGATAGCCCGACAACTTAGTTCAGTGTAAATTGTGTTGTTGGTCTCAAAATACTTGGTTGGAGTTTAGCTATAGCAGTTATGTATGAAGTCTAAGTTACACTGCTACCGCAACTCTGCCAATAATTCAAAGAGCTTGAAGCTGCAACCCTATACATGTCTATTGAAAAGTAAGTCTGATTGGGTTCAATGAGAATTACGGTACTTCCAATTATGTGAGTTTAGGATTGCAGTCTAAATTAAACTTTACAAGTGCATTTCATTGTAATGATTGTAATACTTTTAATGTATGTCCTATAACTACTAATTCACCACGGCAGTCAGAAGTTTGATGCCACATAATAAACAGATCAATTTTTTTAAGACAAATACATTTATTTCAAACCATAATTTTATAAATATATTTGTTCATCACTACAAAGGATTAAATAAGTAAATTTTACTGTATGAGTAGTTTCAATACTTTTACCAGTGAATATATACTAGTATATAAGGAAGCAACAAGCACAGCCTCTGAATCTTGATGCAAAAATAAGGGTTTTATAAATACAGATGCACCCCTATTTTCATCTTTGGCAACAGCTTCCAGAGAGATACCTGTATTTCATCTGTTTACCAAAGGAAAACTTAAGCTACCACATGGTTGTTATTTTCAACTTTGAAATGTTAGAGGGCATGCATAGATTTTCTCTGTATTCTCCATCTATAATCGTAACATGGTTACTTCCCCCTTGAGATCTGTGAGCAAAGTCATGCTACATCTGCAGCACAGCACAGAGCAAGGTCCATATACTTATCTGTGTTGAATCTGTTCCTGGCAATCATGATATTGCAGATGCTGTGCTCAAGGTACTTGGGCCTGAGCGGCTGTTTTGACTGTTTTGGTTGTTAACAAAAATTGCTTACGTGATATAATTTTCTTTCAGATGCTTGGAACATATCAGGCATGGCAGTTGGCTTGCATTCATGTTGTAAGGAGTAGAAAATACGTTGAGACTGTGTTGCTATTTTACTAGAAGACAAGAGTGCAATATTATGAGGGGAGATTTAATGTGTTGGTGCTGCTGTTTCAACATGATAGCTGGGCACTTATCTTTGACTACCCGTACATTTCAGGAACCATCGAAAGGCTTTAAATGAGTGACCGAATTAGTGGGGAGGGATGGAGGAAGGTGGCCTTAGCGTGGCAATATAGTGAGTAACTGAGGGAGAGCATCAGTACAAGCGTGCCAGAAGACCTTGGTCTACACACATGGCCAGACTGATACATTTTTGCACCCGAGGTGAACCACAAAGCTCTCCTTCGGGATCCGCTGCTCCTGTGGATTCTGCTGCCCGAGGCAACTGCCTCACCTGGCCTCATGGGTGGGCCAGCCTGGCTGCACCCACATTCCAGCGGGCATGGTGGTCCTCATGGGGTGAGTAATGGCTGCAGAAACATGACCTTGGTATAACTCGATGGGCACATTCAAGACCAAGTACCAGGCATGGTCTTGGCATCAGTTATCAGTGTTTGGAAGGTGCTTTGCCCTGAGAAGGCCAGTATCCTCCGGACCCACACAGAAAGGGGAGGGACCGCTGAGGCACTTCGAGAAAAGGGAAAGGAAGAAACCGTTAGATCCGTTACATTTCAAAAAGCCTTTTACCCGCAACTCTGCACCGCCCTCTTCGTCAGTGAATGATGAACCAACGGGCCTATCATTAGGCAGACAACATTCACGAACCAATCAGAGGCAGCGCGGGCACCTGTCCCCCACCCACTTTTTATCGTTGTTACTGACAGCACTTCCCGCCAATTCTAACGGCCGCCGGGAACAGGGCAGCCTCGCCCGTGTAGAAGAGCACCGGCCAATAGCTCCGTGAAGGTACCCTGAGTGATGGGAATCGGCATCCAATTGCAGCGAAGAGGGCGGGGTCTGGCTCTCCGGGTTTCCTCTCCGGCTCGGTTTCCCCCCTCCCCCCCCCGCGGGTTTTTCGCTGCGAAGAAAATGGCGGCGGCGCCGAGCGGAGATGAGGAGAGACTGTGAGTGACCCGGGGAGAGGGGGTGGGGAAGAGCCGGGCTGGACCATCGCACCACTTGCGCAGGGGGCTCGGGCGGGACCATGGCCAGCGCCGGGGAGGGCGGCGCGGCGGGGCTGCGGCCGCTGGCTTCTCTCCGCTGGCAGTCGCTCCTCCTCCCCTTTCCCTCTGCGCGCCCAGGGCCTCGAGTGCGTCACAGCGATCCCCTCTGCCCAGTAAGGGGAGGGGCGAGGAGGAGGGCGCGGGGCGCGCCCCCGGAGGGGGGCCGGGGAGGGGAGGGACTGGCGTGGGGCGCGCGCTTGAGGTCAGAGGTGACCTGTGCCCGCTCCCTGGTGGCATCTGCCAGCCGTGGCCCCTCATCCTGCATCCCTGCCGTGGCCCTCTTGCTTTGGCAGGTGCCTTGCCCGCCCCAGTCCCTCTGTGGCGCGCCTCATGCCGAGTTGCCCAGCCCGCCCTGGGACTTCAGGTGATGGGGACACCTGGCAGCCTGCCTCTGAGGCCCTCTATCGCCATCTCTCACTCCGCTTGCTTATACCCCATCGTTGCCGACAGAGAGTGGGCAGCGCAGTGGGCAGAGTGTGCGTGTCCCCGTAGGCTGTGTGTGGTATGGTGGTTTGGGCCTCCTTCAGCGTAAGCCCATTTTCTTCACTTTCTTTTTTTGGGTTGTGCAGCAAGGAGGATTGGGCTCCATCCCAAGTGCCATGGTGCCCAGTGTGTGTGTGTGTGTCTCGCTTGACTCACCTGTGCATTTCCACTGGGCAAAGCGGTGGTGAGGATTGGGGTTAGCAAGTTCAAACCTCCTCACTGCATCACGCAGAAAGTGAGGCAGGGCAAGGAAACAGGGTTGGTGGCTGATGGCTTGCTATGGGTTGGCTCTACTGGGCCCTGTCCTTTGTGCCACACCACTCAAAGAGAACGAGTAAGTACCTTGGTAGGGCCTTCTAGATGGCTGACAACTAACTGGAAGCAGACATGAACTTTCCTTACAGCCATGACTTGCCCAATCTCCCTGGTCTCCTTTCCCAGAGCTGGTGGATGAGTAAGGGCAGTGGCTGCTCCCCTACACCCTTACTCAGGGTGGTACAGAAGTGGCTGCTGTCTGTCTTCACTGCCCTCAGAGAGACAATATACAAGCAAGAGGAGGTGGTAGCTGCTTCTTGCAAGAGTAGTGATTGCCTTCAGACTATCACCATCATTGCTTTTGCTCTGGGAGGCTCAACCTCAGGGTAAGAAGCTTCTTTGGTCCATCAGTGTTATTGTATTCGGCATGACATAGTCAGTATGGCCAGTGATCAGGGATGGTAGGAATTGTAGTCCAGCAACATGGGGAGCACTGGTTCCCGATCCCTGATCCACCCACTTATTTCCTCTCTCCTTAGGGTAGGTGTGGAGAATTGGGCCCAATGCATCTTCCCAGAATGAATGAGCAACCAGAAATGATTGTGTTTTTTACAAGCACAACTGCCAACTCTGCTTACTTGCTTGCTCTCCCTCTTTTTTGGATTGCACAGTTGGGCTACCTGGGCTGATTTCTTGCAGCTACACCACCAGTAGAAAGATAACTGATGCAGAACTTGCCCTATTTATGATGTCCTTTTGAGTGCTGGATCCAGTCTTATCCATCCTATGTCTTGTACCACTGACAGTGTGAGCATGTTCATGTTTGATCAGCAGCAACAGCTCACACTGCCTGACTTGGCAGTATCCAGCCTTCCCACCATACTGCTTAAACAGAGAGTGTGAGCAAGCAGAATGATTGGGAGGTGGTTGCTTCTGCCTTCTGTGGTTGTGCACACACTTTTGGCAGCCCTGTTGGCTCCAGTTCTCCCTGCTGTGTAGTCCAGAAAGAAAGGGAAAGTGGACATCTTCTTGTTCACATAAACTTTTTCGTTGGGCTGTCCAACAGACTTGGCCCTTACTGTTGCACCTTCCAGAGTGAGAGAGGAGGAAGTAATTGGAGGCAGAGGCAGCGGTTCATTGGTTGAGGGTCGAACCAACTGTGCATGTGCTTATTAAACACAAACTTTCCAGTCTGTTTTGAAAATTGGGTGAGGGAGTTAACTTTTAATACTAAAAGCATTTGGGTGATGAAAATTAACTCTCTTCCCCTGCTTTACCTCTCCTTGCCACTTATCTTAAAGATTTTTTCCTTCCTAGCCCATTCCCAATATAGCAAGTTTGCTGATTGGGAGAAAAAGTCAAAGCAATGAAGCCCAGCGAGGTAGGGACAGTGCACGGTTTGAATTTTGTTCCCATTCCACTTGCACATTTTTTGCTATTAAAAATAAATTCCTCCATGCTTGCTTTATAGCCAGACTGGCAAACACGTATTTCAAAAACACATGGGCATCTGTTTTGGCCCTTGTTAGCTCATGTTTGTGGCCTGGCCTGTGCCCCTTGTCCTCTGCCTCTGAGCGGGAGGGGGAAAGTAGGTGTCACTCTATTTATGGTAACTGTCATTTTCTTTGTACTTTGATGTTGTCAATCCTCAGATGTCATGATTACCAATTCTTTACCAATTATTTGATGTCCTCTCATGTTAGCTGTCTTGTGGGATCACAACATTTCAGTCACAAAACAACTACCGTATATGCAGTCTCTAGGTATATGGAGAGGGATAAAAACTGGTCTTCATCCTTTTTTTTTGGCCTTCACCGCTTGTGCTTTGGGTGTAGGGGAAAAATATCACTAATGATTTTATCCTGAATAACTTTTTAAATAAATTGTGTTGTTCACATAAGTTATTTAACACTTATTATCTGCTTCTGTTATGTATTGGCTTTGCAGGTATTATCCTATCCTTGTTTAAATTGGCCACAATTTTTTTTAAAAAATCCTAGTTGTCAAACTATTTATTTGCAACTTTTCCAGCCCAGTCCATAATATCACTGCTTGCTCTTTGTAAACCAGATTCCCAGTGCTATTGCAGTTTTGGTTGATAGTTGCTTCTCCAATTACCGTACATCCTCTCCTAGCTCAAGACAACTGAGTGTCCTTATGTCAGACATTGGAGTGGTACAATCATGTTTGTCACCTTCACCCTTATGGTTTTAGGTGGCATTTCCATCCTTCTACTCATAAAACCTTATAAGCACTGCAGTGCATCTGCTTCATGTTGTGCATATATTCCAAACATAAGATGGCTATGAATGTTCATTGCTTCCTTGTGTTAAAAGATCTGCCCCACCTTATCTCGCATAAATCTCTGTACAGTGCTACAAATGTATGTCCTGAAGCCTTTGTTTACTGCATGGTGAAGATTTGGGTGTGAAAAAGGTGTGGCTTCTAGTAGGGTGTTCATATAATTCATTTGATATATCAGGAGTTTTGTGTTTCTAGCCAAGTTTTGCAGAGAGAAACTTGAAAAGGTAAAAACTTCAGGCACTTTTCACAAGTGAGGCAGAGGTCATAAGTTTGGGGGAGGTATTTTGAGAGTAGGCTTTTTGTGAAATGTTAATTTAAATTTTGTGTGAGACCTTGTCTATCCAGGTATTGAATCTTAATACCATGTTTCACATCTACCTAAAGAACTCAGTTTTACACAGGTATGTTAGTGTTGATGTGGGAAAATCTCTGCTCTCCCATAGGGTTGTAGCTACTCCCAAAGTAAAATACCAGTGCCCTGGGGGACATGATAGATTAAGATCATGAAATTGCTGTGTTGCGAACACTAATAATATGCACGCTTGCAGTGTCATAGGAAGGTGCATAAAATACAAAATATTTGTGACTCATTTTCTGCTGAGCATGCCTCTGGTAGAAATTAGAGGTGGGTGGGGCACTGGGGGTACTCTTCTTTCTCCCCCCCCCAAGAATTTCAGTTTCAGTTCTTCTACCTTTAACAGCTGCTTAGCAGGTCCCTTCTTTCTTTTTCTATTTGTTTGCAATTATGTTATTGTGCCACCCATTCTCAATTAAGTGATGTCTCAAACTGTTGCTTCTTTGGTTCATGTTTGTATTTGTTTATTAAAAAGCACTTATAATATTGGTGCTCTTTATCTGGTTGGAAATTTATTGTTTATTTGAGGATTTCTAGCCTCATTAGAATAATTCTAGAGTGGTAGTAGAATATAAAATATAATTACACGATAAAACCAAATTTAGATAAAAACAATATAACCTTAAAACAACAGCAACAAACAGGTTCTGCAAGGGCAAGTGTATCCATCTCCACCAAAGACTTGAGCAAATAAATGTGTTTTAACTGGTGCTGCAAATGCATCAGGATCAACACCAGTTAAACTGGAGAGAGTTTTCTATAATTGGGATGTTATTATTGAAAACATAATCTGACATGTTGCTGTGAAGCAAATGTTTGGCCTATGTGGCACTGTTAAGAGGGTGCCCCCCTTTGGATTTTTTTGGGGGGAACACCCTTTGGCTCTGTTTGGTGATACTCTGCTTCCTAGTGAACATTGTACTGGCAAATTGTTGAAGCGGTGCTCCTTCACTTGCATCTGATTTGTCAGTGCTAGCAGAATTTGATGGATGGATTTCTCTGCCTGTAAACTCCACAGAAGTTGCCTGTACTACATACCCATCATCTATAGGAATAACTCCTTGCAGGAACCTCCTGGTGATCCCAGGGTGTCTGTTAGTAGAGGCAGTGTGTTTCCCCCATCCCTAAATACGCTGAATCTACTCAGAGGTCATATGTACACAAAAGGTGTAAGGAGAAGGATGAAGGATGATCTTCAACCATTTTGCCCCTTTACTTGAAGTAGGGAAAAATAGCAAGAGGATTGTTTAATTAATTAATTAATTAATTACATTTTTACACCACCCTACATCTGAGGATCATAGGGCAGAATATAAAAATACAAAATACATAACAAAGTAATAAACAAAAACAATATCCCCTGCACACATATAGGATTAGTCCTAAGTGATGTCCTGTTGTCATCCTGTCATCTTGGGTGTCTTATACCAGTCTTTTATTTTTGAGGTTGAGCTTTCCAGACCCTACATACGCTGTCATGTGTGTGCTCCCTGGGTTGACTGATAGCCTGCTGTAGATTGAGGAGACTTCTAGAGCAGAGAACTTTCAAATACTACTCTTTAATTCCATAGTATCAAATCTGGGATTGGAAAAATCCTGATTGCCCAGAGGCCTAAGTAATCTGACGATAAGTTACAGTTCTGTTCAGATTCTTGAAATGAATGTTATGAATATGCCAAATTTATGTCAGTTCCTTTTGTCTCAGCCCTACGACATGGAAATATGACTTATCTATCTATCTATCTATCTACCTATCTATCTTTATATTAAATACTGTGTCATGAGATAAATTAGCAAAGAATCAGTTTTTGTGGAAAACTGGGCTATTGGTTTAATCATGGAGTTGTTAATGATTTGTGTAAAATCTAGTTGTGTTGTCATAATGATGGCAGTATATGGCTTCAGTCATGGACTCACAATTACAATTCCTCAGTCACATCTACAAATGCCTCATACTTGGTGTGATCCAGATATCAAAGTAGAGCTGGCTGTGATTGCAGATGACCAAGAATTTTACGTTGCTCATTTAGAAGCTGCAGTTGTGGGAAACTGTATATGTGCCTTTTACACGAAGAGCTGCTTATATAATTTACAACAACAGTGTATCTGTAATTGTGTCTTCCTATATATAAGTGTGAATTAGGTGACCAGTTTATTTTTCTGATCCCACTTCCTTATGACTCGTCCCATCCCCACCCTTTGTTTCTAAGTCAAATATATTGGTCCAGTCTCTTGTAGCTAATATAGCCATTTCTCTTATTGTAGTATGAAGACTGTAGTATGAGGGTTGTACCTTTCCACTGGAGCATCATTTAAGACGCAAAGTAATTTTTCAGTTGCTGGGCTAAAATATGTGACAAAGACAAGTACAGACAAGTGGATTTAAAACATATTGAGCACTGTTTTCACATGTGTATTAAATTGGTGTCTGTGTAGAAATATGTTGAGTAACACAGAAGGTAACACACCAGTGTTAAATATTTGAAGGAGAATATAAACTATTTCAGCAAATAAAGGGTATACTTGGTCTTACAATAAAACCAGTTGTCATATACTATTGCATGTAATGCTAAACCATGGTCAAGCACAAATTGCAGTGAGACCCTACTGTTGCTGTCCTCTTGCATAGCTATGAGGGGATTTTGGAAGCTTCCATTTCTCTTTTAGATTAAGCCCAGTTCAGCATTATGCCTGAACCTTAAATTGTTATTAATCTTAACTATAAGTGAAAGCAAGCCAGCTTTGTAAACAAAGGTTTGAGGTTAACTTATTTCTTCTAACCCAGGGTGGTCCAACTTTTGATACCAAGTGGACCGCAAGAGTACTTTGACACGCACACTGCCTTGTCATGTGAGGGGGAGCGGGGCCAAAATTTGACACCCACACACCCAGCCCATGCACTGCCCTTCCAAAGCTGTCTAAGCGAGGAAGCCGGCTTTGGGAAGGAGTAGTGAGGCACTGGCAGCATCCTAGAGCCCTCCCAACTCCTTCCCAAAGCTGGCAAAGTGCTAATTAGGCTTTGGGAAGGAGGTTGAAGGACCCTAGGACCTTGCCAGAGCCCTCAAACCTCCTTCCCCAATCCCAGCACCTTGCTTAATGGCTTTGGGAAGACAGCACAAGGGCTGGGGGGTGACATATGTTGCTGAGGGCCACACATTGAGGGCCACATGTTAGACCACCCTGCTCTAACCACAGTTAAAACTTCATTTTTCTTGGATTTGATGTCATAGCAAGCTGTGGGTAATCTAAAACAGAAGCTAAAGCTTCTTCAGTCTTCATGGTTGTACGTGAGGATGGGGTGGAATGTGCACAAGCCTGAGATTCACTGTGACCTGCTCTTATAACACTAAACTTTGGCGACTGAGGCTAAATTCCATTGCACAGTTCCCTCACACAATTGGATGTACCGAGACTATGATCTATCTGCCATAGCATATATGGTAGCACTTAAGAAATCAAACCAAATCTTTTGGAATTTAGATTTTGACAAATGTTTAATAAGTGAAAGAGTGAGTACAGGCAATATATAGAGATTCACTTACAGTAACTCTTTAATAATGGAGTCAAAGTTGTGGTCTTATCCCTTAAGGATGCCCACAGGGGGTTGAAACGGTTCAGGCCAAACTTGAGTGCTTGATTTAGACCTGAAGGCATTGAATGTAAACATTTTCCTGTAAACACTAATGATCAGATTCATAGCTTTGTCCGTAGGCCATGTGATTGTAGATTTCATCCTTAGTGGGTGTAACCCCAAACAATACTCATATCCCCCCCAGCATTGTGCCCCTCTGCTCCATGACAAAGTTGGCATGATGATGATGATGATTATTAATAATAATAAGAATAATTTTTATTTATACCCTGCCCTCCCCAGCCAGAGCCGGGCTCAGGGCGGCTAATAGGGGAGGGGGGAATTAAAATACAGGTTAAAATACAGTTTAAAATGCAGCCTCATTTTAATAATATCCCATAGATCAAAACCATAAGGGGAAGGAAACATAAGGGTCAGACTGAGTCCAAACCAAAGGCCAGGCAGAACAGCTCTGTCTTGCAGGCCCTGTGGAAAGATATCAAGTCCCGCAGGGCCCTAGTCTCTTGTAACAGAGCGTTCCACCAAGTCAGGGCCAGTACTGAAAAGGACCTGGCCCTAGTTGAGACCAATCTAACCACCTTGCGACTTGGGACCTCCAAAATGTTGTCATTTGTGGACCTTAAGGTCCTTCCCGGGGCATACCAGGAGAGGCGGTCCCATAGGTACGTGGGTCCTAGGCTGCAATGGGCTTTAAAGGTCAAAACCAGCACCTTAAACTCACAATTAACTATTGTGAGGCATGATGTTCTTCTCTGTAAACACACACACACACCTTTTATTGTTTCCTGTACACATCACTAGGTGAATAGAGCCTGAAATACAAAATATGCAAGCAGAATGTTTCTTCTAGGCTAGCAGTTTGCCTTTTTACTAGATGACTGCCAATTACTGACCATGAATTTTTTTTATTTTAGTTGCTAATGTTAGTGTTGTCAAAAACACCTCTGGCACCTGAGTCAGCATTTCAGCATGACCTACTGACAATCCTTGTTTCTGGAAAGTGTATAAGCACCCAACATTGCTTTGTGAGCCTTAGGCATGAACTTGCTAGGTAGCCTTAAGCAAACCACTATACTCTCCATCCCAGCTCCATGCTGGAATAATACCAGCCTACCATATAGGGCGCGGGTGGTGCTCTGGGTTAAATCACAGAGCCTAGGACTTGCCGATCAGAAGGTTGGCGGTTCGAATCCCTGCGATGGGATGAGCTCCTGTTGCTCGGTCCCTGCTCCTGCCAACCTAGCAGTTCGAAAGCACCTCAAAGTGCAAGTAGATAAATAGGTACCGCTCCGGCGGGAAGGTAAACGGCGTTTCCGTGCGCTGCTCTGGTTCGCCAGAAGCGGCTTAGTCATGCTGGCCACATGACCCGGAAGCTGTGTGCTGGCTCCCTCGGCCAATAAAGCGAGATGAGCGCCGCAACCCCAGAGTTGGCCACTACTGGACCTAATGGTCAGCGGTCTCTTTACCTTTACCATATAGGATTGTTGAATGTGTTACTAAGGTAATGGGTATGAAAAGCTTTGAACACTCAAAAAGGAGCACTACATTAACGCTTATTGGCAAGTTATGATGAGAGAATACCGGGCATCTTTTTGCATTGTGTCTTTCAAAAGTTAATTATTCAGGCAAGATATTACACTTTTGTAGATCTATAAAAATGTTGGCTCAAGGCAGACATGCTTCATTATTGTTAGAATTAACCACAGCTGGCTACCTTAAAAGTAGGATCAACATGCCTATCTTGCAGAGAGTGGAAACTCGGGAATTTCTTTTGAATTCTTTACCAATATGAATCTCTCACAGTTCTGCAGAAATGAGTAGCCTTTAATTGGTCACGCCTCCCAAAAGCATCACTTTTTTGCTAACAGCCCTGCAATGATAATAATGGGTGAACTGTATCCCCTGCCCTTTTATCTTGTAGAGTTAAATGTGTGTTTGGATACATTTGTCTTTCACAGGTAGTTCAAGAAACTTAGTTTGCAAACAGTGCAGTATTAACTGCCTCTGTTCATCTGAAGGGTTACTCCTCCCTGAGTTAAAACAATAATAAATATCTACAAGTAAGCACAATTGTGTTATCAGTGACCGAGAAAAACGTTGTATCTGCTGACAAAAATGCAGCTGATAAGAAATCTGGTGGATCTCTCTTGAGCAGGGAGTTCCAATGAGCACAACAGAAGTTACCAAACTCCATGCTCCCGGTATTGTATTTTGGTGAAAGCAGGGCCTACCCACTTACTTGAGAGACTGGGGAAAATATACAAGCAAAGGTATTCCCTAAGGTACACAGAGCCTAGGCCACCTACGACTTTAAAGATAATAACTGGCATTCAGAAGCAGGGGCGGAGGAAGGGAGTGCAGTGGGGGCACGCTGTCCCAGATGTCACCAATGAGGGGAGTGACAAAATGCCGGGTGGCACTCACCGCAGGGCCTGCAGCCCACCTGAGCCATGCGTCTCTCCTGGGAGTGACGTAGTGGCTTGGGCGCCCGCAGGCTTCGCACTGCCCTAAACGGTCCGCCCACCGCCTCCTGCAGAGCGTTCTGCCCTGGCTCGCGCTGCCCCGCTGGCAGCTCGCCCCACCCCTGGGTGCAGGGCACGCGTGCTGCCCCAGCTTGCTCCGCTGCTGTTCAGAAGCTTAAAAAAAAAGCTGCAAATGAGCATAAAGAGATGCAATTGTGTTTTCCTCAAAAAAGATGAGAGGGGAAACAAATATTTTTTTAAAGCAAGACTGACTATGAGTGAAGGGACCATGTAGCAAGACAAAAAATACAAGACAAGCAGTGTGGAATGGTGGGACATCACCAGCTACCCCACATAACTTGCCTCCTAGCAGGTACAGCAATACTTCCAGTCTACACAGGAGCTGCAGTTCCAGTCAAAGACAAAAAAAATTGCCACAAAGCCGGTTTAGGTTTTTTTTTTTTTTAATGGAAAGGAAGGGAGAGAGGGCAATGTAGAAAACACAGTAATGCAATGGTTTGGAAGCAATGCCACCTTATTATATATCAATTAGTCATCAAATACAAAAATGCCTCTAGGCAACTTACATACACAATTTAAAATTATTTTATTTAATCATAGTAAAGTCTTATCATACGGTAACTTACCTAAGAACTGCAATGATTCAATTTCCTTTATTGATTATGATGGTGAAACTTTTATTTATTGTTAACATTTCTTTTCTGAATATAATAAAAGTAGTTGTTAAATTTATTATTATTATTATTATTATTATTACCATGATGTTCCATGATGACCTAATGAATTAATGGCATCAATTTCAGAGTAAAATAGGAAGCAAACTATTGTGTCAAAAAGAAAGAAAAATGAAAACAACAACAACAATAAAATGGTGAAATCACACTGACTAAAAAAAAAAGGAAATGTGTAATTAAAGGGCATTAAATGACAGACAACAGCAAAAGACTAACTGACTAAAGGACATATTTCAAACAGGTCGCGTTTACTGATTTAGAAATTTATGGAGCTTAATTATGAGTAAAAACGCTTATGATTTTAAACAATTGAGCAAGCATTGAAGTATTTCAATGCTACTGCATGAACATTGCCTCAGTGGTGTTAAGGGGACCTAGTGTGAAAGGGACCATGCTGACTATGGCTTGCTTTCATTAAAAGACGCGGTATAAAATTCCATACAAGCTGAAGTCTTTGAACTGCCTTAAAGGGCAGGCCCATGTAGAGTGTGTTGTGATAGTCCATTGGGAGGCTAATAATGCATGTAATGACAGACACTGACTAAAAGCATGGGAATAACTAGGGGCTGGATGTCGCTGGCATTCTGCCCAAGGCACAGGCATGCCTTGTTCTGCCGGGATTCTACGTTATTGAGTTTTCAGGGATCTGTTCTAAACATGCTCATTATGTTTGTTTGCCTACTGCTTCATCTGCTTGTTTAGGCTACTATGTTCTTAATGCCTTCTGGAGAAGGAAAAGCTCCAAAGCTTAGCAGCATCAATAAAAAATTCCCAGTAGAGGGGATGGCAAGGTATGTGTTTTCTTTGGGCAACTAGGTGGCATTTTGTTGTTGCAACTTGGAGTGTCTCTGAGTCCAATAATTTGTTAACAGCATAACTTGTGGTAAGGGTGGTTTGATTGGCATACAAGTTCTGTGGTTGTTTTTAATGGCAGCTTCAGCTGCAAAGCACCTGCCCGTTTCCTTTTTATCTTCCTTTTCCTCCTCATGCCACACAATTTCCTGTTGCTTTTAGAGTTAGATTACTATTGCATGCTACCCCAAACTCCAAGTGGTATGAGATTCCAGGGGTTCCAGGCACTTAGCCAAGGTCTGTGCTTCCTTTTTAAAATGAGGCACAGTGGACTGTGGTGTCTTTATAATAGTTGGTTTATTTACACATATATACAACCTAGCCATCTGTTATGGATAGTTTAGTTGAGATTTTTTAGGGACGTGGGTGGCGCTGTGGTCTAAACTATTGAGCCTCTTGGGTTTGCTGATTGGAAGGTCGGCGGTTCAAATCCACAGAACGGTAGTGAACTCCCATTGCTCTGTCCCAGCTTCTGCCAACCTAGCAGTTCGAAAACACATCAGTGCAAGTAGATAAATAGGTACCGCTGTGGTGGGAAGGTAAACAGTGTTTCCATGCACTCTGGTACTTGTTGCGGTATCCTGCTGCACCAGAAGTGGTTTAGTCATGCTGGCCACATGACACAGAAAACTGTCTGTGGAAAAATACCTGCTCCCTCCTTCTTTAAAACCTGGACTTGAATAGGTTGCAGCTGAGAGGCTGGCTCCGACTTTAGACTCTTGTTAGCATCCGTCTGTTTCAAGATAAAATGGAGTGCACCTTCAGAGGGGAAGTCAAACCATTGTGTTAGCAGCACTGAAGTGACATCCCTGGGGCACAAGCCTGGACTAGTGATGGGGAAATCCCCATGTCCCTAAAATACCCATTGAGTCAATCACCCATCTCCTACTACCCTTCTGAGAAAAACCCCATCCCACCCTCCCACTATATATAAGGGTCTGGTGACTTCTGTTTCAGTGTATCTGAAGAAGTGTGTATGCACACGAAAGCTTATACCCAGAGCAAACTTAGTTGGTCCTAAGGTGCTACTGGACAATTTTTTATTTATTTCGACTGCATCAGACCAACATGGCTACCTACCTGAATGTCCCTAAAACGTTAATGTTAGAAAAGAAAATACTGATTCAAGTGCCTGTTGAGAGCATGCTCGCTTCGGCAGCACAGATACTAAAATTGGAACGATACAGAGAAAATGAGCATGGCCCCTGCGCAAGTTCCTGGTGAGAGCTAGTGTGGTAAGACATGTACAGTGGTACCTCGGGTTAAGAACTTAATTCATTCTGGAGGTCTGTTCTTAACCTGAAACTGTTCTTAACCTGAAGCACCACTTTAGCTAATGGGGCCTCCTGCTGCTGCCGCGCCACTGGAACACGATTTCTGTTCTCATCCTGAAGCAAAGTTCTTAACCCGAGGTACTATTTCTGGGTTAGTGGAGTCTGTAACCTGAAGCGTCTGTAACCCGAGGTACCACTGTAATAGGAAAACTCCATGTGAAGTTCCAGATCCTACAGATCCCCACAGAATTTCCCCAATCAAGTAGCAAAAGATGGATCTAAAGAACACACAGGAGGCTACAAGGTTCAGGAAGAAAAAAAAAATATTTAAGTGTTCACATGCAGAAATGGTTTATGTGTATGGTGGAGATACGACTGTGAACAGTGTTAAGGGTTTAGGGAAAGAAAGGGGGGTGTCCAAGGGCAAGTGAGGCAGAGTAAAGCGAACAGGAAAGGGAGCTATGTGTCATCCTTAAGGCCATATTTCCAATTTAGCAAATTTTACTAGTTTGAAACATTTGTTCAGCTCTTTTAAACTTTCCTGTGCTAGATAAAGGCAGTTTCCCAAGGCCTAGTAAGAGCTTGGATCCAAAGGCTGCAACCCAGAGGTTATTTTTTAAAATACAGTGGTCCTGGCCTACTGAGCCCCCTATACAGTGGTACCTCGGGTTACATACGCTTCAGGTTAAGAACAGTTTCAGGTTAAGAACGGACCTCCGGAATGAATTAAATACTTAACCCGAGGTACCACTGTACATTGTAGCTTAAAGATGCCTATTTTTCTGCATATATAGACATTGGCATTTGTTACTGGCAAAAAAGATGTTTGATAGTTTCCTAGATACCCCAGTGTGGGTGGGGGGAAGTATATGTAACTGGGCTTAAATTGCAGTTCATTTTTAAAGGGCATCATTTCTCAGAAGTGGATGATGCTATAGGCTTCCAGTGTCGTTTTTCACGTTTATAGGTGAAAACCCTTTAGTGCCACTCTTTGGGTATTATTGGTCAGGTCAGAAGCTTGTTAATGCTGTAGCAGCGACCATTCATTTATATTTTTGGAAAAGTATGCTTTGGGCCACTAGAATTGGAAGTGATGTTCTCTTGTTGATGAGGAAGAAGACGGTACTGTGAGGCCTGGGAAGCAGGCGAAGAGCTGCTTAAAAGCAAGTTGTAAAGCTGGCTGTGCAAGGGTGCTTGATAAACCAGGCTTTCTGTTGGCTTTGGCAACGTTGTGTGGATTGTATTTTTGCAAGCTGACTAGATCCTTAACAATTTCTCCTCTGTGCTATGTACCAAGCTTCCAGCTTTGGTGTCTGTTTATTTGAAAAGATCATACTGTGCTGTAGTGCAGTTTGCAGCTTCTATTGCTGTGCCATCTGTATCATTCTGGTTCTCTGCCTCTCTCCCTGCACAACTGCATCACAAAACACAGTGTAACCATTTGTTAAGAACTTAGAAAAAAACACATTTGAGAATTAGTTTAAATGTTTTGTTCGTGGACTGATAGGAGACTAACAGAGAATCAATATTCAAAAGAAACTAAGGGGTGCCGCAATATCTCTGTTTACTGTGGAATTGAGGGCCACACACAACATGATGGAGTTAGCCATGTTTATTCATCCATCGGTTGGCATCAAAACAGGCATGGAGGGAGATGAACTCTTATCCTGCTCAAACTCTTGTCATTTCAGGTCGTTTGTCTCCTTAGCTATTCAGTGTGATGTGGTAAGGTTTGCAAAAGTTGCTTTCTCCTGTCCCTGCACCTTTCTTGATGTTGAAAGCAGTCAGCCCCCCCCCCAACAGTGGATGCTCCTGTTGTGCTTGGTTAGATGGGTCTCCTTGACAAACAGTTTGGGAGCTAATAGTATAATGTCTTCAGGGCTGCTTTTCATGCTAGTTCTAAAATACATGGTGGTGCCCTCAAGTGTTCCCCATCCGTTGTTGAGAAAAGGTATGAATATTCCAAAGAGAGGAAATTAAAGCTGATGAACCACTTGAGTGGCTTGTCCGACAACTGTCCATCTTCTAAAACAGATTTATATTACCATTTGAGCTTTACAGGTACAGGTGTGCTTATATGGAAATAATGTATCAATTGGTCTTATGTGGTAGTTTGTTATGGTTGAAGCTGTTCTGCAAGTGATTAAATGCTTTAATCTTCTTTCTGTGAGGATGTGAATTGGCATTTTGTAATTGCAACAAGCTGTGTCATGGGTTAAAACTGAAATCAAAGAAGTGAAAATTCAGAGCAATCTTCTTCTTCAAGCCTCATTTTTTAAAAAATCTGGTGCTGTATAATCTGGTGCGCCTTCCCTGGCATAAAAAGTGTTTTGGTTTTTAAAATAAATCTTAGTCAAACAATATATTTATATCTATATATCTATATAAATCTACCTATATATGTGGGAGGGGAAGAAAATGATATGATGCAAACATACGTTTTAAATGTTTCTTCTTACAATTGAACCTGCCACAAAAAAACCACAATACTGGCCCATGGCCCTACAGCCCTGATGCTGAGGCTTTTATGGAGGTAGATGCAGATCAAAAGGGGCTTGCCAACAGAAGGTGAACACTGAAAATCTTAAAAAGAAGTGGTTTGCAAAAAGGGAATGAGCTGGTGTTGTGCAGATGCAGAAGAAATTGGAAATGAAACTCTGCAAGCTTATATATATGCATGCACTTCCTGGCCCTTCTACAGCTGAAGCACTGTGTGCATTACTGAAAGGATGTTCAAACACCCACAACCAAAATATGAAAAGTAGCTGTTGTGGGTTCCAGGATGCTGTGTCAGAACCTGTAGCCTAAGGTTGTGTCCATACTCCTGTTTACTGTGCACTCAGTTCTTTTACAGTGCTGGGTTTTAAATGCATAAGTATCCTGTACTTTTTAATAAAATACTACTGTTTGATGCATTATTTCTCAAAGCAGCTTCACATGGATTGGAGTCCTGAAGCCATTCACACCTTGGCTAGAGACAAATTAGGATCACCTTTGCATGGAACATTCTCCCCCCTTGACATGTACAAAAACAAAGGAATGAAGCTGTGTTGATGTGAACATCTGGGAGGAAGTGCTGTGAAAGGCCTGGGGCAGGCACAACTTACTGGCTCTAAGGCAGAAATGTGAACACATCCTCAGTTCCAGCTTTTGTGAAAACTGTTGATTGATCTCTGGCTTCAGTTAACAAGTTGCTGTTGAACCCCTTTTTATGTCAGTGAAAGTATCATATTTTGAGTTTAGTCAATTAAATAGTGTTGTGCTGACCTGTGCTTCCTGTCATAAATCTGTCTTTTTCATGAGTAGCCACGTTATAGTTTGAATTATGGAAGTGATTTGCAGAAAGACTCCCACACCTTCTGTAGAACCAAATAGGATATAAAAAAGCTTCCCTCGGGGGGGGGGAGGGACCACATCACACTAAACTCATATTGACACTAGAAACAGAATTTGTAAAGCACTTTCACCTCCCATTATAAGTGTTTGGGGGTTTAATAATATAGATTTTTGTGGGGGTGGGGTAAGGGTAGGGTTTTTATATTCAGCTTCTGCAGATGTAGTTATGAAGATGTTTATTGAGGCTTTGCAACTTTTGACTGGAAGTTGCTTTTTTTTTTTTAAGTAGTTTAGGCTACTTTTAAAAGGTAGTAGTAATTCAGGGCACAATCCTACACTCAACCCGTCAGGCATGGGTGGTATGTGGGCATTGTTGCTGGCACAGTCCCTGACTGGTGGACATTGGCTGTGTTTTCAGGGATGCTTAGACCATGGCTACCCGTTTTGTACAGTATTGTCTGGTAGAGTGTTTCCCCCCACAAAAAATCCTCAGGTAACCCTGTACAGTGGTACCTCGGGTTACATACGCTTCAGGTTACAGACTCCGCTAACCCAGTACCTTGGGTTAAGAACTTTGCTTCAGGATGAGAACAGAAATCGCGTGGCAGCGGCGCGGCAGCAGTGGGAGGCCCCATTAGCTAAAGTGGTGCTTCAGGTTAAGAACAGTTTCAGGTTAAGAACAGACCTCCGGAACAAATTAAGTACATAACCAGAGGTACCACTGTATAGTTGTTCCAGTTCTGCTGGCATTGTGGTTGTGTACCCCTCCCCCCAAAAAAACCCCCAGTGCTCCACATAATTGGTGTATGGAATTGCTTTGTCAGACTTCCACATCCTGTAGATTTCTTAAAGTTTTTTTTTTAAAATTCCTTAATGTCTAACTTTGGGTGGTACTTAACCCGAGGTACCACTGTAGAATGAAAGTTGTTGGAAAAACACATATTTGAGATGTGCGTCTAATCTTGCTTGCCTCTTCACTACTTAAAAACCCATTTTGACTTTGACATAGAAGGAAGCATTGAACAATATTGCACTTTTTCCTATAACACAATCTTTTTGAAGAATGTGTAAGGAATATAGGCTCCACAGTGGCTTTAGGGTAAAAAAATAAAATAAAACGATGTGGTTCTAGGAGATTTTCCCTCTACAGCGGTGGTGGAGGGGCCCTCTAGTTATAAAGCAATTTTTATTTCCTGTTTCACCTGCATCAGTAGCAGAGATCTGCTAGTCACTGAAGTTTGCTTTGCAGCACTATTGATATGATGACACAGCTTCTAAATCTGGGCTGTACTCTTGATGGGCGGAAACATTTGTCCAGGCTGCATTGTTTTTACGTGCAGCAGTTTTACAGCATGTTTGTGTGGCTGGATAAAGAAATGAGTTGCTGTGGTGCCTTAGAGGCTAACATGTCCATTGTATGAGAGGCTTCTGTAGGCATATTAAAGAGGCGTATGTATTTGGTTTTAGTGTATTCTGAGTGGATAAATGGACAACATCTGAACTATCAGGAAAAAGGTATCAATTAGCTTATCATCACTGTGTATGTGTTATTTTTAAAAGTGAGCTGAAACATGCAAATAAAGAATGTCTGTACAGTGGTACCTCTGGATACGAACGGGATCTGTTCCGGAGCCCCATTTGCATCCTGAAGTAAACGTAACACGTGACTGTGCGTCTGCGCATGCACGGGTCACGTTTCACCGCTTCCACGCATGCGCGTGACATCATTTTGAGCGTTCGCGCATGCGCAAGCGGCGAAACCTGGAAGTAATGCGTTCCGTTACTTCCACGTCGCTGTGGAGCGCACACTGAAAATACTTAACTTGAAGCTACTTTAACCTGAGGTATGACTGTATACATTTGCTTCATTCACATGATTATGCTTTTGTCAGCTAAACAGAGCACTGAAGCTTTTCCTCCTGGCCACTAGACCACTCCTGACTTATTCAGCACCTTCTGGCTTTGGAGATTTCAGTAGACATTGTGCAGTTTTCAAGCAAGTCTTCACAGGTATATGTTTAAGAACCTAGTTTTTAAAACAAGACTGCAGCAAAAAGTTGAGCTTCTCAGAATGTTGGATTCTGCAGGCAATATTGAAATCTGTAGCTTTAGTTATACCTGCACAAAATATACACAAACCCTGTTCATTGCATTATACCTGTCCTTTTTCCAAATTGTCCCCTGGAGCAACCTTCATACTCAGGTTTCCTGTAACCATCAGGTCTAGTTTGCATTCTCTTTTGCACCAACGTGGAAGAGCTATTACTAAATATACACATCATTTTTTATTTTTTATGTGAAGCATGGCAGTATGAGTTTTGTTAAAAGTAGTACTTTTGTGTTGAGAAGAAAGCAAAACTCATCAGACACCACCAAGTTGTAGCAATATTAGGGGTGTGAGGCTGTTAATAAGGTACCATATTTTTCGCCCTATAGGGCGCACTGGCCCATAGGATGCACCTCGTTTTTTGGGGGGGGAAATGAATTTTTAAAAAATTACCGTATTTTTCGCCCTATAGGACGCACTTTCCCCCCTCCAAAAATGAAGGGGAAATGTGTGTGCGTCCTATGGGGCGAATGCAGGCTTTCGCTGAAGCCTGGAGAGCGAGAGGGGTTGGTGCGCACCGACCCCTCTCGCTCTCCAGGCTTCAGGAAGCTATCCGCAAGTCTTGCAAGCCCGGCGGGATGTCCCACGGGCTCGCAAGGCTTGTGGGCAGCAGCCTGCAGCCCAAAAGCTCGGGGGACAGCAGGGAGGCGCAGCGCCGCCACCCCGCTATTCCCCGACCTGATCTGGAGGCTGCGGGGGGGGGGGAGGAAGCAAGCTTGCTTCTCCCTCCGCCAGCCCCACAAACTCGGGGGACAGCGGGGCAAGCTGTCCCTGAAGGCAGAAGAGGGAGACGGAGCATTCCGTCTCCCTCTTCTAGCTTGGGGATGGCTGCGCAAACCTGGGGGGGGGGAATAAAAATTTTTCCCTTGATTTCCCCCCCAAAAAACTAGGTGCGTCCTATGGGCTGGTGTGTCCTATAGGGCGAAAAATACGGTATTTCCCCCAACCCCCAGAACAGGCTGCTATCCGCAAGCCTTGCGAGCCCAGCGGCAACTCCCGCCGGGCTCGCAAGGCTTGCGGAGAGCTGCGTGAAGCCTAGAGAGCGTGAGGGGTCGGTGTGCACCGACGCCTCTCGCTCTCCAGGCTTCAGCGAAAGCCTGCATTCGCCCCATAGGACGCACACACATTTCCCCTTCATTTTTGGAGGGGAAAAAGTGCGTCCTATAGAGCAAAAAAACAGGGATGCAGGTGGCGCCGTGGGTAAAACCTCAGTGCCTAGGACTTGCCGATCGTATGGTCGGCGGTTCGAATCCCCGCAGCGGGGTGAGCTCCTGTTGTTCGGTCCCAGCTCCTGCCCACCTAGCAGTTCGAAAGCACCCCTAAGTGCAAGTAGATAAATAGGTACCGCTTTCTAGCGGGAAGGTAATGGCGTTTCCGTGCGCTGCGCTGGTGCTGGCTTGCCAGAGCAGCTTCGTCACGCTGGCCACGTGACCCGGAAGTGTCTGCGGACAGCGCTGGCTCCCGGCCTCTTAAGCGAGATGAGCACGCAACCCCAGAGTCGGACACGACTGGCCCGTACGGGCAGGGGTACCTTTACCTTTACCTTTATAGGGCAAAAAATACGGTATATAGCCTCAAAGGCTACACTAAAGTCAGCTAATTTCCATGTCACTTCATCTTCTCTGATCTTCTGCACTTGAGCTACTTGTAGAACTGCTTACCATGATCGGAATTTAATAATAAAAAATGATGAAGGCTTTCTGTGTGTGCCTCTTCATGGCAGACATGGTAATGCTGAGCTGTTAACATTTGCATTGATATCTAAAGGAGAGGAATTAATCTTTCCCCATTATGGTTTTGGTTATGATAAGGATTTGCAGGAGTTCGCCTTCTGCTTAAAACTGTAATTTGGAAAAGTGGCCCCACTTCCAGCCCTTCTCTGTCTGAAAGAAGAAGCTAGCTTTAATGGACATTCACAGATGGAGCTCCTCAACAAGTGACACTGTTGTCCGTATATTTAAAGCCTTTCCCCCCTGTTTATGCCATACAAGGATAGAACAGCCTTCTCCAGCCTGGAACCCCTCCAGTTGCAGTTGGACTCCTACTCCCATCTGCCCCAGCCTATGTGGCCAATGATCAGGAATGGTGGAAGCTGAAGTCCAAAAAATCTGAGGGTACCAGGTTTGGAATGGTTGATATAGAATGTATCTACAGTGGACGCTCGGGTTGCGAACGTGATCCGTGTGGGAGGCACGTTCGCAACCTGCAGCGCCTGCAACCCGCAGCGCTGTGTCTGTGCACACGTGGGTTGCGATTCAGTGCTTCTGCGAATGCACAAAGCACAATTTAGTGGTTCTGCGTATGTGCGAGCGCCGAAACCCGGAAGTGACCCATTCTGGTACTTCTGTGTTTCAGTGCGTCCGTAACCCAAAAATGCGCAACCTGAAGCATCTGTAACCCGAGGTATGACTGTATTGGTGTTACACAGCTGTGCCTTAAGAGCCAGCAGCTATTTTTAAATACGAGTCATGTTTTTGAACTGCTCAGAGGGCTAGCAGCATTGATTCTGCATAATGATTATCCTATGACCCCAAAGCAAAGGGCTCTCTAAACCATGGGTTGGCAAACTAAGGCCTGGGGGCCGGATCTGGCCCAATCGCCTTCTGAATCCGGCCTGCGGACAGTACGGGAATCAGTGTGTTTTTACATGAGTAGAATGTGTGCCGCTTCTATTTAAAATGCATCTCTGGGTTATTTGTGGGGCATAGGAATTCGTTTCCCAAAATATAGTCTGCCCCCCCCCAAAGGTCTGAGGGACAGTGGACCAGCACCCTGCTGAAAAAGTTTGCTGGCCCCTGCTCTAAACTCTTTCTTCACACAGACAATAGCAGAGGCTTTGGAAGATCCCTCTTCACTAGCTCTGGGTGCAGGCAAACACTTCCGAAGTCATCATTTCCTCACCCCAACCCCATTCCTCCTCCTTGTTATATTTGTCAGACTTCTTTCTTTATGTGCCTTGTCAACAAATGTCACCCCTTATACACCCAAATGTTCTGCTGGAGAGGGCTACCAGCAGGATGCCATCTCAGTAGATGTAGGAAACAGACCTTTAATGTGGCACCACCTCCCCTTTGGAACTTACACACACACACACCCTGACAGGCATTGTCCTCATTATCTTTTCAGTGCCTGTTGGAGATGTTCATCTTCCAACAAGCCTTTTAAATAGAGATGTTTATGCCAGTTTTTATCTACATTGGACTAGAAACTGAATTTACATATTTTTTTATTGTTAATTGCTTTGGGGTGTTTCATGGGAAGCAATTCATAAATAAAATGAAAGAAATATAATTATTGTGACTTGCTTTGACAGCAGAAGAAAGCTTTATGCATGAACTGAGTGGAATGTTGGAGACATCATCTAGTCAGTATTAATGGTGAAGTATGTCTTAAAGGTAAAAGGACCCCTGACCATTAGGTCCAGTCGTGACCGACTCTAGGGTTGCGGCGCTCATCTCGCTTTATTGGCCGAGGGAGCCGCCGTACAACTTCTGGGTCATGTGGCCAGCATGACTAAGCCGCTTCTGGCGAACCAGAGCAGCGCACGGAAGCGCCTTTTACCTTCCCACCGGAGCAGTACCTATTTATCTACTTGCGCTTGATGTGCTTTCAAACTGCTAGGTTGGCAGGGACTGAGCAACGGGAGCTCACCCCGTCGCAGGGATTCAAACTGCTGACCTTCTGACCGGCAAGTCCTAGGCTCTGTGGTTTAACCCACAATGCCGCCCGCGTCCCTTGAAGTATGTCTTAAATATGTTATAAAATCTTTCTTCTCTTTCTTTGTCTTGTGTACCTCAGTTGTTTACTCCTCCACATGCCAGGGCACAAGCAAACGGGAATGGGAAGCTGAGGTGCATGAGGGAAAGAATTCTGACGCTGTGCACACAAGTCCCAGCTTCCTGCAGATTTGAAGGCAGCATTTCAGAGCTGTTATTGCCTATGATGTGCACATTCCTTTTTGGTGCCTTGCCATGGTCTCTGACCAAACCAGCTCTGAGTTTTCATAGTGTTCAGATTTGTACTCTGAAAAATCCAAAGCCAGCCCCTGAAAGCAAATGCATATTGTAGCAACATAGCTCTGTATGCTTTGGTCTGATTGTCATGAGCCCCTTTATAAATGCACATGTTGGTGTTGGTGCTCTAGTTTTCGTTGTTTATAAGTGGAAGTGTTGGCATATTGCGGACATACATGGTCAAGGGCCTTTTAAAAAAGAAGAAAAATTCAATACCACCTTTTTTCCAGGAATACCATAATTCAAAAACATTTTTAAAAGGTTATTTTTTGAATAAAATTGAGTATAAAAGAGACTGCTTGCAATCATGTCTAATCAGTATTGTCACTCCAATGAGTTTGCTGTAGTTGGAAATTGAGGTGGGGAACTCATCTCCCCCCCCCCTAAAAAAATGCAGGCTTTCCTTGCCAACACTGTTTTGGACTGTTATCAAACTAAACAATTCTGAGAGGTTTTTTCTTGTTTTTGTTTTTGAGTTTTGTAAACTTCAGTCAGTGAATACATTAAAATAAATGTTTATGGTGAAAATTGAAAAGATGCTGGAGAGCTTTGATTGGATCGTTTGTCTCTTTTAATATTATTAATTAAACAACCAAATGAGGGATCTGATTGGAGCAAAGGAGGGATTTTAATGCTTTCTAAACAGTTTTACTAGTTAAATATTTTATTTTATTTTATTATTTATCAAAAGATCCCAGGACTATGTACAACATTAATAACACACTTTACAGAACACAATAATAAAAACATAATAATAAAATAACCATAAAATAATCATAATAACAGTGTCTCCCTCCCCCCCCCCATTTAACAGACCATAGATTATTGAATGGCCAAAGGCATGGGTAAAGAGGAATGTTTTTGCCTGGCACCTAAGACATACAATGATGGTGCTAGGCAAGTCTTTTTGGGAAGAGCATTCCACAGATGGGGAGCCACCACAGAAAAGACCCGTTTTTGTGTTGCCACCCTCCAAACCTCCCGGGGACATAGAAAAGTGCCTCAGATGACAAGAACAGAGTCAGTTTGTATGGGTCAGTTTGTATGGGGGGGGGAGATAGTCCTTAAGGTATTGAGGTCCTGAGCTGTGTAAGGCTTTATAGGTCAACACTAGCACTTTGCATTGGGCCCAGAAACATACGGCAGCCAGTGCAACTGGGCCCGTAAATAGCAAGCCCCCTGTAGCTGTTTTCAGCGGGTGGGGGGGTATTTAGATTTGTTAAATGACACATAGAAGGAAGATCAAGCCGGGCTATTCCAATTCAATTTGCCTCTCACCCCAATGATTTTGTTTTTTAAAAAAGGAGATCAAATCATGGATCTTCAATTTCTTTTGCCTTAAACAAAGTAGCTAATTGGTGGGACTGAAAAGTAAGGGTGTATTTGTTTTGATTTGTTCGTTTTAGTCCTGTAGGTTTCCTCCAAATAACGGAATGAGAAAATAATATTGTTGGAACTTTTCTTGTCTCAATAGTGTTTCTTTCTAGTAATACCTTCAGTATCTTAGAAAAGGCACGGCACTGAGGTTATGGTAATATGCAAATATATTTTCCTTGTTTTGTTTATAATTATATGTTTGCAGATTTTTAGAGTGTAATCTACTTTGAGCTTCCCATCTGGATGCAGAGCGCAAACAGGATAAACAATGTACATCTCAGTGTAATGAATTGATCTGTGAAAGGGCAAGACAGTAAACTTAAACACTTAAACTGCTTGACAGTTTAATTATTATTTCTGTTTATTTATCTATTGCTATTGGTGTATTTGGTGCTTTACATATGATCTCTTGTTTGAGGTGAGTGCAAGGACACGTGCCGTGATACCATGGGAGTTATCTTGCAGAAATAACTGTAATCTGCTTGACAGACCCTCAGTTGCTATTTGTAATATGGAATCAGAATTATAGAGCCCTTTGCTTGTGCTGTAGAGCCAGTAGCTGAGGTTCATGATACATGAAAGGTTATGTCAAATCTTCTGAAGAGAAGGAGGGTGCTATAGACATTTGTGTGCTTCTGACTCAGATGCTTTCTCTAGCATGAGCCAAGATGCATGAAAAGTGAAAAGAAGAGGTACCTTTGGGTGTGTGGGTGTGCTAGTGGCCAGATTAGAATATTTTTTGGCGGGGGGGGGGGGTTGAACCTTAAACTCAAGTTGCCTATCCATTCTCCATTGTAACTGCACTCCACCCCAAACAACTAGATTCTCTCTCCCTGTTGTGAAGCCACCACTTTTCTTTTCTTTTCTTTTCTTTTAAAGCATGTTTATTCCAATTTTAAGATTACAGAAAAAGAAAAAAGTAAAAAAGAAAAACAAATCACATACCTCCTACAAAAAAAAAACACTCAGTACAAAGAAAAATACAAAAGACAAAAAATCACAAAAAATCAAATTAAACCATTAAAACCGTTTTCCCATTTACTTATTTCCGTGACTTCCTCTCACTTCTCTGCTTTGTATTCTAATTTGAATCGTATCTCCAGCAAATCCTTCTAACCTTCTTTTCATTTACTTATTTTAACATTCGAAAGTATTTAATTCTCCTCTATCTTTATTTTACACTTCATATTTACTTATTCCATTATACTCTGTCTGCCAATACGGTCTAATATTCTTCTCCAACCTTTTCTAACATTCTTTTATATTACAGTATTTCTGAAGATATATTTTAAATTTTTTCCAATCTTCTTCCATCGACCCTTCTTCTTGATCTCGAATTCTGCCGGTCATCTCAGCCAGTTCCATATAGTCTATCACTTTTCTCTGCCATTCTTCTCGGGTAGGCAATTCTTGTGTCTTCCAGTATTTCCCAATAAGTATTCTTGCCGCTGCTGTCGCATACATAAAGAAATTCCTGTCTTCCCTTCGCACCAATTGGCTGACCATGCCCAAGAGGAAGGCCTCTGGTTTCTTCAAGAAAGTATATTTCAATACCTTTTTCAGTTCATTATATATCATTTCCCAGAAGGCCTTAATCTTTGGGCACGTCCACCAAAGGTGAAAAAAAGTACCTTCATTTTCTTTACATTTCCAACATTTATTATCAGGCAGATGATAAATTTTTGCTAGCTTGACTGGGGTTAAGTACCACCTGTAAATCATTTTCATTATATTTTCTCTTAAGGCGTTACAGGCCGTAAATTTCATACATGAAGCCACCACTTTTCTCCTGTTTCTGTGACTTAAGAAATCAGGCAACCCAAACTACATGTACATTTGATAAGGAGTTTTGAACTGTTCTGACACATGTCTCTGTATAATATACCTATTTGTTAATTTGCTGGAGACTTTTGTCTATAAAGGGACTAACAAATGAAATTAATAATAATGATGATGATGATTTATTGAGTGCATGTATTACACATTCTTGTGTAATTTGTATACTTTATGATCAAGTGAAGTAGCCCCTATGTTCACATACATGGAATAGATACAAGTGATGCTATTAGCAGTCTACACAGTTGAATTTACTTACCTAGGTGACAAGCATTCCCGAAGCGGGTACATAGGTAAGCTTAATAAAATAAAATATATTGAGGCATATTCTAACTTATTTTGAATGGGTCTGCTCTTCATTATTGATACTTGCTGTCCAATCCAGCTGGGTGGATGAGTGAGCTCACTCTTTGCTTAATAAGGAGAAAAGTAATAATTAAAAAATTGGATTTCATATATATATATATATATATATATATATATATATGGTCAGTCATTTTCTCTTAGCCTAACCTAGTAACCTAGTAACCTTAGCCTAGTCACTGACGGGCTGCCCTTCTCCCTCCTTGGGGGAAAAGCCCCCAAGAGCACGCTCCACGCGGCTCGTGAAAGGGAGCACGGCTCTTGGGGGCTTTACCGGGAGGTGGGGAAGGGACTGAGGGACTGCCCTCTGTCCCTTCTCCCACCTCCCACAAAAGCCAGCAAGAGCTGTGCGCTCTTTAAAGGGAGCGTGGCTCTTGTGGGCTTTTCTACGAGGTGGGAGAAGGACAGCCCCTCAGTGACAGGCTGCCCTTCTCCCACCTCGTAGAAAAGCCCGCAAGAGTCGCGTGGAGCCTCTTGGGGGCTTTTCCTGCCTGCATTCACACCATAAGACGCACACACATTTCCCCTTAGTGTGTCTTATGGAGCGAAAAATACGGTACTCTATCCTGAGTTCCTTGACAGAGAAGTGGAATATAAATGTAATAAAATAAAATTGAAATATATATAAAAAATGAAATTTCTTCAAAGCTTGGCTTAGATGGAAATTGAATTGATTATAAAAATGTTAAATTTGATGCCTTTTAATATTCATGACCCTCTATCAAATGTACCTGAATTAAAGCCTATTTTTCTACATGGAAAAATATTTGATTTCTGAAGTAAAAACTAAGTACAGTGGTACCTCGGGTTACATACACTTCAGGTTACATACGCTTCAGGTTACAGACTCCGCTAACCCAGAAATATTACCTCGGGTTAAGAACTTTGCTTCAGGATGAGAACAGAAATCGTGCTCCGGTGGCACGGCGGCAGCAGGAGACCCCATTAGCTAAAGTGGTGCTTCAGGTTAAGAACAGTTTCAGGTTAAGTACAGACCTCCAGAACGAATTAAGTACTTAACCTGAGGTACCACTGTATAGGGCTTTAAAGGTTAAAACCAGCACCTGTACTCCACCGGGAGCCAGTGCAGCTGGTATAACACCGGGTGAATGTGATCCCACAGCGAGGACCCCGTAAGGAGTCTCGCCGCAGCATTCTGCACCCGCTGGAGTTTCTGGGTCAGTCTCAAGGGCAGCCCCATGTAGAGCGAATTACAATAATCCAGTCTGGAGGTGACCGTCGCGTGGATCAGAGTGGCTAGGTCAGGGCGAGAGAGGTAAGGAGCCAACTGCGTAGCTTGGCGGAGATGAAAAAATGCCGCCTTTGTTATAGCTGCAATCTGCGCCTCTATGGAAAGGGAGGTGTCGAAGATTACACCCAAACTGTTAATGGACGGTGCTGGCACTAATTGCACCCCCGCAAGAGATGGGAGTTGCCCCCCCAATCCCATATCGTCCCGACCCAGCCAAAGGACCTCTGTCTTTGAAGGATTTAACTTCAACAGGCTTCCACGTAACCATCCAGCCACAGCTTCTAAACATCTGATCAGTGTGTCTGGGGCCGAGTCAGGATGGCCATCCATCAACAGATAGAGTTGGGTGTCATCAGCATACTGATGGCACCCCAACCCAAAACTCCGGACAAGCTGGGCGAGGGGGCGCATAAAGATGTTAAAAAGCATCATAGCCAAACACTGGAGAGTCCTGGTACCAAATGGGAAACAGCCTTACGAGAAAAGCTAACCTAACAGACTGAAACTGACACGGGGACAAATAGAAGAGGACTGTCTCACCCCAGTATGGCTTCCCTTTATCTCATACACAGCCCAACAAGACCACAACAAGAATCCACTGAAAGCATACAAATCAATTTGGCCAATTTGACCCAACAAGCCCCCCCCCCACTTCACAAATGCAAACAAACCTCACTGCAGACAACCACAGACAACCATCCACACCCTGGACTCCCCCAATCCCTCTCACTACCAAGGAAATGTAATAAGCAAACAGAAAGAGAACCTACCCAGTTGATGCTGACACAAAACCCCACATGTACACTGTAAAAAAATAAAAATTTCACCGCCACCCCTTCTTTCCCCCCATCATCTTCCTAGCCTTATACCAGGGGACAGCAAACGTTTTCAGCAGGGGGGCGGTCCACTGTCCCGCAGACCTTGTGGGGGGCCAGACTATATTTTGGAAAGAAAAAAATTGAACGTATTCCTATACCCCACAAATAACCCAGAGATGCATTTTAAATAAAAGCACACATTCTACTCATGTAAAAACACACTGATTCCCGGACCGTCCGCAGGCTGGATTTAGAAGGCAATTGTGTCGGATGCAGCCCCTGGGCCTTAGTTTGCCTACCCATGCCTTATACTGTATTCAACACTAATGTCTCACAACAAATGTAACTGATCTGAAAAGACTTTAGAGGCTGAAAAAAAGAGAAAAGGCATGTACTTTTGTAAACCAAGAAAATTGTTAATAAAAATTATTTAGTGGTCTATATGACCAGAGGCTTTGGATTAATCTCCTAGGTAGTATAATGTTTTACTTTGTCACAAACAAGGTATATGTTAATTGTATTTTGATAGAAACCAGTTAATACACACTCTTATTTAAGAAATGCATGAATTACAAAATTTAACTCCCATTTTAAAGTCAGCCATTTGCCACAATGATTTAAACTAAACCACTTGTACTTTATTTTTTAGAAATTTTCTAAAATCTTCCCAGCTGTGATCCTGCTGTGCATAGATTCTTCTTCCATGTTGCCTATGTGAGTGCATTCAGGGTTTGGAGTAGATGGAAAGACAGGGAAATGATGAACAATGCTGAAAGCAGAAAAGATGGGAGTGGAGTTAAGGGTTTTTAAGGCAGTTATCTTAAATTGTACCTGAAATCCGTCCATTATGATTCGACTGATTTTTATGAAGGGAGAGTCAAGGCTTGCAAATGGAAGTGTTTTGAAAAGTGATTGTGTGTTTGAGACAAACATATTTGGGTGGTTTTGAACCCCAACACAAGCATCTGCTAATGTCTGAAGTGTGGAGGCAGGGTTGTCCACAGACATCTGTGCTGCAGTGATGAGTAGTGGTGTATAGATGCATAGATGTAAAAAATTTTTGGGGTGTGTGTGTGTTTTGTTTGTTTGTTCTGTTTTAGGCTGGGTATGTTGAAGGACCAATACAGGTGGTGGGGTTCCTCTGTGCACTTAAAAACAACAACAGAATCCCTTCCCATTTCCTCTTTACCCATATTGACCAACTAGGTTACACATGGTGCTTATGGTTGTACTGTAATTAGTTGCTGTGGTGCAAACAGTATTAATGGCTTTGTGTTCTGCTTTTGACTTACCACTATGGGAAACCAGAATATTGGACTAGATGGACCATGGGTAGGTGAACAATCTGGCCCAATCACCTTCTAAATCCGGCCCACGGATGTTCCGGGAATCAGCGTGTTTTTACATGAGTAGAATGTGTGCTTTTATTTAAAATGCATCTCTGGGTTATTTGTGAGGCATAGGAATTTGTTCATTCCCCCCGCCCCCACAAGGTCTGGGGGACATTGGACCGGCCCCCTGCTGAAAAGGTTTGCTGACCCCTTGAGATGGACCCTTGATCTGGCATTCGTATGTTTATGCATTGTGTTTATACGCTTGGCAAAAATGTGTCTCTCCTTCCCTGTTCTTCACTCAGGCATGTGGAATACGCAAATAGCAGTCAACCAGTTCCTTAACTGGTGTAGGTTGGCTTAGTTGTACAGACTGAAAAATGTCTGTCATACCAACTGGAGTTCAGCTGAGGATATTCAGTCAGCTCTGTGTTTTACATCTTTGTTTTGTTAAAATAAATGTGATTTCACGCAGGCCATAACTTAGGTTGGAGATCTCCTAATTACCAAAGTATGTGCCTGCTCTGGTTTTGCAATTCTCCACCTCTCACAGCAGTGAAATGTAACTTGTGCTTTCTTTGCTTCCGCAGTCTCGAATTTTGAAAGAAAGGACACAGAAAGCACAGGGTGTTTTTCCCTTTTTGTTTTGTTTTTGTTTTTTCTGTGTGAGGGGAATTGAATAGGCTCCCCCCAAAAGTGTGTGTGCATTACACTTCAGCTGAGTGGCTAACTGGGTAGAAGAATATGTGGGCTCCCACTCTCTCTGTGCCCAAATTGTTATCAAAGCTTTCACCACTTCGAAAAAACTAGCAGGGCTTGTTCATCAAAAGGCCTCTGTTGCATTGATCACCCCAGGCATTCAGCAATAATGAATTAAGCTATATAAAGCATGAGTTAAACAGTACATTCTGTAATCTTGTTGGGTTTCTGAGTTTTGATCATGCAATTTCCATGCATCTGTTTTATTCCTGCAACCATGAGAACTAGAAACTTTTTTTAAAAAAAAGTAAATCATTTTTCAATTTTATAACAAGAATACAATTTTTTTAAAAATCAAACATACTCTTTATATTTGTTTATTTTTCTTTTAAGATCTCCCTTTCACATATATCTTGACTGCTCATTTTATGTTAACCCTGCTAATGTTTTAAGTTGTTTACAATAATTTTTCAAATAATCCACAATTTTTTTCCATTCTTTATTCAAGGTTTTTTCTTCCTGGTTCTTCATTCTTCCCGTAAGTTTAGCCATTTCTGCATACTCCATCTTCTGCCAGTCCTCCTTAGTCGGAACTGTTTCTTCTTTCCATTTCTGCACATAAATCATCTGGGCAGGCGCTGCATACATAAACGTTTTTTCTGATATTTGGGTTCCTCTGAGCCTATTATCTCTAGAAGAAAAGCTTCTGGTTTTTTTAAAAAAATAAAATATATCTTCAACATTTTGTTCAGTTCATTATAAATCATTTCCCAGAAAGCTTTCACTACCTTACATGACCACCATGTATGGTAAAAGGTACCCTCCTTTTCTTTACATTTCCAGCATGTATCTGATTCTGATTTATACATCTTAGCTAATTTACTAGGAGTCAGATACCATCTATACATCATTTTCATATAGTTGTCTTTTAGTGTATAACACACTGTAAATTTCAAATCTGTATTCCATAGTTTTTCCCATGCTGCTATTTCAATGTTATGACCTATATTCCTTGCCCAGTGTATCATTGCTGATTTTACAAGTTTGTCTTTTGTTTCCCATTCCAATAACAACTTGTACATTCTCTATAAGTTCTCTTTCAAATTGTGAGGTTTGATTCATAAATCCATTCATTTTATCTAATTCAAATAGCTCATTAAGTTGATAATATTGTAACATATTCAAACCTTTCTCATTTTACTTCTCAGTCTACATCCATTAACAAATCTGTATATGTTGCCCATTCATTTTTCATTTTTTCAAAGATATAGCTTCAATAGGAGAGAGCCACAAAGGTTTCTTTCTTTCCAACTGGTTTTTATATTTATTCCATACTGTATATATTTTTTCCTGATTGCATGATGCATAAAACCTTTATGCATTTTAATTTTACCATACCATAAATATTACCAAACTTATTGTCATGTCCTTCCAAGTCTAACACCTGGTTAATCACTCCTTTAACCAGCAAAGAAATGATGCCTCATAATCTGGTCGTAAATCTGGTAATGAGAATCCACCTTTTCCTTTCCAATCTATCAGAATTTTATATTTAATTCTTGGTTTCTTCCCTTGCCAGACAAATCTAGAAATATATTTCTGCCATGCTTTGAAGCATCTTCCATTGCTGATTATTATTATTTTTTTTAAAATGATATTTATTAAAGTTTCAAGAAATACAAAAAAAAAAAAAAATACAGAGTACAAAAAAAAGAATAACGTTTTTAAAATATAACAAAAAAATAAAGAATAAAAAGGCAACATACAAAATAAAACAGTTAAAAAGACATTGATTTTCCAAACCTATCTTCCCTACACTTATTTCCCCGGACCTCCTCATACCTCCCTTTTTTGTATTCCAGTTCAGTTTGTTAGTTCAGCAAATCCTTACCATTAAACTTTTACCCAATTGTTAACCTTTTTTCATATCTCTTAAAGCATTACAGCTAAAAACCTCTTACTTTCTATTCAACATCCTTCTAAGATTCCTTAATTTTGCAATATTTCTGTAAATAGTCTTTAAATTTCTTCCAGTCTTCTTTCACCGACTCTTCTCCCTGGTCTCGGATTCTGCCAGTCATTTCCGCCAATTCCATGTAGTCAATCACCTTCATCTGCCATTCTTCCAAAGTGGGTAGATCTTGTGTCTTCCAATACTTTGCGATGAGTATTCTTGCTGCTGTTGTAGCATACATAAAAAGGTTCTGTCCTTCTTTGGCACCAATTGGCCGACAATGCCCAGAAGAAAGGCCTCTGGTTTCTTCAGAAAGGTATATTTAAATACCTTTTTCAGTTCATTATATATCATTTCCCAGAAAGCCTTGATCTTTGGGCACGTCCACCAAAGGTGAAAGAATGTACCTTCAGTTTCTTTACATTTCCAACATTTATTATCGGGCAAATGATAAATTTTTGCAAGCTTGACTGGGGTCATGTACCACCTATATATCATTTTCATAATATTCTCTCTTAAGGCATTACATGCCGTAAACTTCATACCTGTGGTCCATAACTGTTCCCAGTCAGCAAACATAATATTATGTCCAACATCTTGTGCCCATTTAATCATAGCAGATTTCACCGTTTCATCCTGAGTATTCCATTTCAACAGCAAGTTATACATTCTTGACAGGTTTTTAGTTTTGGGTTCTAACAATTCTGTTTCTAATTTTGACTTTTCCACCTGGAAGCCTATTTTCTTATCCAAATTATATGCCTCCATTATCTGATAGTAATGAAGCCAATCTCTCACTTTATTTTTTAGTTTTTCAAAACTCTGCAATCTCAATTTATCTCCTTCTTGTTCCAAAATTTCCCAGTATGTCGGCCTTCCACTGCTGATTATTGGAGCTGTTTGAAATAAGAGAAGCATCATCGGTAACACATTCATCTTTATGACTGACATCCTTCCCATCAATGAAAGCTTCATTCTAACCCCATACTTCAAGACTTTTCCTGATTTCTCTCCATGTCTGAATATAATTTTCTTGGAATATGTTAGGGTTTCTTGATGTTAACCAAATTCCCAAATACTTAACCTTTTTATCCTATTATTAATCCCGTATTTGTCTGTTCATCGTTCTTTACCTGTTTGTCTATATTTTTCACTGAAATTTTAGTTTTACTTTTGTTTATTTTAAACCCTGCAACTTCCCCAAATTTTCTTATCTCTTCTAATAGTGGGAACTAGCAACTTTTCTCTTTAGACGAAAACTGAAATACAAAAGATATAACTTCTGCAATTTTGAGTGTTAGAATGCAAAACACCAGAGCGCATTAAAATATATTTAGCTTCCTTTTACAGCACTGAAAAACTTGGTGGCAAAATAGAAAATCTTGGCTGAACTGTTTTTAGAACTAATACTGGATCGATGTTTTATCATTTTCATAAAAGAGACTTGCTATTTTAGAAGCCAGCTGTCTTCTGGCTGGAGGAGAGTTAACATTGATTTGAATTGTATCCTGCCCTTCTAGTACATTTATTTCAGTCCTGTTTACAAGCTGCAATGATTCTTAAAAAGAGGCCATCAAGATAATCCATGGTGTATGTTGTGTAACAAAAATATAGACTTGGCATCTTGTGTTAGTGTCATGTCGTTCTGTTTTCCAAACAGCAGGAGTCAGTGCTATACAAAGGACTCATTTCTTACAGTGTTTTCAGCTGATTTTTGTTTAGTGGACTTGAGTCCTCTAAGAGTTTCTATCTTATAACAAGGAAGAATGGGGTTGGTTGGTTGGAATCATCTTTGTCAGAAACAGTGTTAGAAACTGAGATATGAAAGCTAGGAGCTAAATGGCACCTTAAACCTAGGTTATGGGCGTAACAGCAGGATGTCTAGGCGCACTTATTTTATAACAAGAATTCAAAGCTGAAAATGAATGAACTGCAGCCAACATATTGTGTTCATGTTTTACATTGTCTAGTCCTTCCCCTGCGCACTCCCCCACCCCCTGATATTCTTAAGAGGGTCTCTTCTCCAGTCTTCAGAGAGTATCTGGAAGTGGAGAGGCAGAAAAAGGTCTTCCTTTCCTTCCACTCTGCAGTTTTAATCTGAAATTTTAAGCCAGGGGTCAGCAAACTTACCGCACCTCGGGCCGGTGTCTCCAGCACCAATCATGCAGTGGGCCGGAGGGCAGAGGAGTGTGTGCCCATACGCATGCGCACACACTATTTCCAGCATACTTCCGGGTCAGAGGAGCACTGGAAATAGCTTGTGTGCATGTGCACAGGCCTCCTCCGACCTGGATGTGCACTGGAAATAACACTTGTGCATGCGCAACCGATCCAGAAGTGGGCAGCTGTGCAGTGCAGCTCCGGTAAGTGCAGGCAGCAGCGGGCGGCGGGGGTCGCTGTGGGCCGGATAAACGAGTCCCTCGGGCCTTATCCGGCCTGTGGGCCTTAGTTTGGGGATCCCTGTCTTAGGCTCATGTTCTGGCTCGCGCTAATGAAATTCCCTGTCACAAAATGCACCTAGAACAATGGGAGTTTTGAACACTGGGCAGAAATCACCCTTGATAGTGGATAGCTTAAAGCTAACCTTAATGTTAATGCTCCTATAAGCTGGGCTGCTGTGTTGCCTGTATTGGTATTCCTTGGGGTGACATCTGCAACATCTAGACCTTGAACCACACAGGCAGCAGTTATGCTACTGTGCAGACCTTGGATGCATAACGGCCAGCCTATAAAGCATTACTGCATCTCCATGGATTCAATTTATTGTTGGCATCTGTGTGGGGGCTATAATGTTTCAATTCAATGTTTTAGATGTAACCCCACTACAAAAGCTACCAACATTTTTTTCTGAGCCAGATATATAATTTGTACTAGAACCAGCACCTGATTTTGCCTGGCCTCATGTATATTGCTCTCAGTTCTTAGGGAATGAATAAAACTGTAACCGGCTGTGAAATGTTTGATGGATTGGACCACATGCAAGTTGCATTCTGTCCACAATTGCCACCCCCACCATGTATTGCTTTGTTTTTAAAGTCCAGCATTAGATGCAGAATTGCTAGTTGGGGGTGGAACTTGGCACCTTACAGGCTCCCCTACCACCAGTTTCCTATAAATCGTTTTCCCAAGCCTGTACACTATAGAAGGTGTGGAGAGCAGAAGACTGTTTTGGGATAGTTATGTTAATGCTGGTGTTTGTGCTTCACTTGTATTCAGTCCCCAAACAGGCACAGCCTAGTTCAGTGGGTGCAAACCTATGGCACGCGTGCCAGAGGGGGCCCTCAGAGCCCTCTCTGTGGGCATGCACGCCGTTGCCTCAGCACAGAGCTGGCAGAAGGCAAGGGCAGTGCGTTGAGTCCTCAGCTCAACTTGTGTCTCAGTAGAAGCACCTCGGGTGGAGGAGACCGGCCTGTTCTGGAAGACAGCCCCTGGATTTAAAGCTGTGAAGGATTGGGTGACTGTGCTTCTCTGTGGCAATGCGGCTGTACACTTGATCAAGCCAGGTATACTGTAAAGGTCTGAAAACCCCTGTGCCCTCAAAGGCATAAACAATCACCTGCTGCCTGTCTTCTGGCAGTCCAACAAGAGAGCCTGTCTGACTGCTGCAAGCTCTCTGGACTGGTTCCACAAGTGCTTCATTCTGGAAGTGAGGATTCAGGGTGGATTTGATTTAAATCACAATTTAAATCACTAGTCAATAAGACTTTATTTAAAACATTTTTTTACAGAAGGACTCATTCTTGCTGGTATAATCTTAATATTTACAATGTGAAGGTTTCATTTTTTGAATAATAAATTTTCAGAGTAGTTTTTACAGTTAAATCACAAATTACTGATTTGGTTATACCATTAGTAATACATAGACAGATAATTATGAAATTATTGTGAGGTTTAATAAGTTAACTGTTTATATTTGGACAACTTTTCTGCTACACTTTATTTGAAGGAGAAACATAATCATTTCCTTAATAACAATTTAAACAATTTATTTAACTAAAACAATTACATTATAGCATATGTATTCATGTTTGTTAACTGATGTGGTTAAACTTAAAAAACAAAACTTAGACTGAGTTTTAGCACACATGAAAAAACTTAAAACAAATCCTTATTTCCTGATGAATAGCCTTTCGTCTATAATGTAACTTAAATAGAAAACTATCTTTAGAAAGGTTTTTCCTCCAGAAGCATTTTATTTTATTTAAATAAATAAAAAATCCAATTTAAATATTTAAAATCCGATTTAAAAGAAAAATTCATTGATTTTTATTCACCCTGGATGCGTTACTTGCTGGAGAATGGGCTGGAATTCAAAGTGCTACTGTTGGTGGACAGTGTTCCTGGGACTGCAATTTGTGCACGATGATGTCACGGTTGCCTCCCCCCCAATACAACCTCACTCATCCAGCCTTTGGATCAAGGGGTGATTCGCTGCTTCAAGGCTCATGATGCCAGGCTCACCTTTGTCTTGCTGATCAATGCAGTGGATGCTGATCTGGATCTCGACCTCACGTCATTCTGGAAGTCCTTCAACATTGCAAACTGCAATCAAACCTATATCAAAGCAGGCAGTGGCTGCAATCAAGCCTGAAACCATGAACACATGCTGAGGCAAACTCTGGAAGGAATGTTTTCATCGTATCAAGGAATTTCCAGGCATTACCACTGAGGTGGAGAACATTGTGAAGATGGTGCTGATGACATTGGCTTTGTTGACCTCATCCAGGAGGAAGTGGAAGAACTGACTGAGGGACAACAGGCCTTGAGCGTGAAAGAGCTGAGATCGAGTTCCAGCTCTGAAAGCAGGGAAGAAGGGGAGGATGGTGAGCAGGATGACCAATCCACCTAGACCCTGGAGAGCTTTTCTGAACTCTTTGGCACACTCAACCATGTGAATTATATCATTGTGCAGTATGACCCCTCCATGGAACGCATCCTGAAGATCAAGCGTGCCATTGCAGGCAGTGTGTGACCATACAAGGAGATGTTTGACCAGCTGAAGAGACAAAGCACCAGCTACCTATCACCATGTTCCTCTGCAAGGCGCCAGCAGCAGCAGCAGCAGCAGCAAGTGAATCTGACCCACTGCCAAGCACTTCAGGATGCCTCTTGTTGTCATTTCCACATCCTCCAGTGATGATGAAGATATAGAGCCACCACTGCCACCATTCTTGCCAGTTTGGAAGGGCTGCTGGGTTTTTAAAATGGATTTTCAAGAGTTTCCAGGGGTTTAGAGGGTGTTTACGGGCATTTTAGATGGTGTTCCCTGCTATACACATTTTCAGTTATATACACCGTACCTGGGAACATAACCCCCATGTAAGTGGGAAGTCACCTGTAGTATGTAATATAGTATGGGGCTTTGCTATTTCAAGGAAAAGCAAGTAAAAAATCTCACAGGACATGCTCAGGCCTGAGGTGGGCCTGAAGTAAATCTTTGGAGCCTTGCCACTATCTAAGCTGTTGGCAGCAAGAAACCTGTTCTGTGAACCTTGGCTGGAAGAAGAAGAAGAAGAAGAAGAAGAAGAAATAATAATAATAATAATAATAATAATAATAATAATGTAGTAGATATTCAGGTAAAATGTGGTCATGTTGCCTTTTGAATGGGGAAGCGGGGGCTGCATGAAGTTAGAGAGATAAAGGGTCCATGGATTATCACATTAACCAAGACAGCTTATTTTACTCTGAGACAAAATCTCTTTAAATCACCCATAGTAGCTCATGGAAGCTACTATCCTGCAGCATTTTTTGCAGGTCTGCTGGGGGATGGCAGAGAAGAGACAAAAGCTGCATTTCCATGCTGAGTGTGTTTCTCCTGTTCATAGCTGTCAACTTACAGATTTGAAAATAAGGGATCAGCAGCCAAAATAAGGGATTTTAGTCAACCAGCTCCTTTCCTTTTCCTCATAACAGTCAATCGAAGGAGCCTCCAAAACAAATCCAACCCCCCCCGACATTGCCGCCCGCCATTGTACTCAACCTGCTCCTTTCCTCCCCCCCCCCCACCATGTGCCCCCGCTCCTGACATACCTTTTCCCCAGCAAGGGTGAGTGGGCCGTCGATGACGTATCCATCCGATTCTGAGCACAGGTATGTTCAACTTCTGAGCCCCTCCGAGCCAAAGGCAGAAAGCCCAGCCAGCAACCAAATGAAGTGGTGGTTCCCACAGCGCAGCAACCCGGCAAAGGGGATGCAGCGAGGAAAACCACTGTCACCTCTCCGCTGGGAAGCGCTGAGCAAAGGCGAGTCCCCAGGCAATGCGGCCGATTTGATCGGCACAAGGCATGCAAGCTCCACCCCCCAGTCGTTCTTAGACTCCTTATTGGGTGAGCAACGCAGCCAAGCAACACAGTTGGAGCCTCCCTCCTCCCTGGCTGGCAGGGAGGGAGGGAGAGGAGCTGCTTCCTTTGAAACCCAGGAAATTTAAGGGACATCATCAATCCAGGACAGCAGCGGAAACGGCAGTGGGATAAGGGAGTTTCCCGCCAAATAAGGGACGGTTGACAGCTATACTCCTGTTGCAGCCTACGTACTCTCTATGCTGGCTGCACAGGAGTGACAGAGTGCTCCATCTGTCCTTAGCCTTCTCACTTGCCTGTGTATGAATTTCCTGGTTTCTGTATATATACTAGTCCAGAGCCTTGGGGGGGGGGGCGCTAGCCAGATTTTTTGCCCCGGGTGAAGCCTCCATAGGGCGCCATTGAGGCTCCTAGCCTCTGTGTGTGTGCGCGCACGTGTGTGTGTGTAAATACACATGGGGAGTGCCAAACTGGGTCTTTGATCCAGGTGAAATAAAGCCTAGTTTCGCTCCTGTACCAGGCTAGTGCTTAAATAAAATACTGCTTTACCACAACTACCCCAAGCCCTTAACCCAGGAGAGGGATTCTGATGGGAAGCTGTGCCTTGTAGCAATGCCACAAGTGAAGTAAGGTTTAAATTCATGGTATCAACTGCTGGTGCAGAGCAGCCCTCAGTTCTGTGAGTGAGAAGCAAGAGAAAAGACATATCGAACATATGAAAACTCTTAATCTGTTTATACTCATTAACAGTCTCGGTTTTCAGGAGCTTGATGCTTTTGCACTAATGTTTGGAAATGAAACTCCATTTTCAAATGATATTTATTGAATCGAAATGGTGACTCAGCAACAAGAACCATCTTAGGTAACATTGTTCGTTCTTCAGCAGCATTTTAAAATACAGCGGTACCTCGGGTTAAGTACTTAATTTGTTCTGAAGGTCTGTTTTTTTTTTTTTAAAGATTTTTTATTAAAGTTTTAAACAAACAAAAAAAGAAAAACAACACACACAAAAAACAATACAAAACTTAACAATAAAAACACAAAACATAGCAATTAAAAACAAACTCTCTTTTCCATTTCCAATTTTAAATTACTTATTTTCTGGACTTCCTCATACCTCCCTCTTTTGTATTCCAATCTACATTGTTTGTCCAGCAGTTTCTTTTCCACTTTTTTAATCCCAATCTTTAATTTAATAAAACGTTAAGATATATAACTTCAACTTTTTTTAAACCTAATCCTTGATCTTAATGTCATATAACTTTAAGTTTTTCCCTTTTATTATCAAATTTCCATTTCTTTAAACATCTTTAATCTTGATCTTTAATCTTAATCTATCCTTAACTTTAACCTGTACAGCTGGAAACCACTTGTTTTCAGTCCAACATCACTCTAACATTCCTTAATTTTGCAGTGTTTCTGAAGATAATCTTTGAATTTCTTCCAGTCTTCCTCCATCGACTCTTCTCCCTGGTCACGGATTCTACCAGTCATTTCCGCCAATTCCATATAGTCCATAAGTTTCATCTGCCATTCCTCCAGCGTGGGAAGTTCTTGTGTCTTCCAATACTTTGCGATGAGTATTCTTGCTGCTGTTGTTGCATACATAAAGAAAATTCTATCCTTTTTTAACACCATTTGGCCTACTATGCCCAGGAGAAAGGCCTCTGGTTTCTTAGGAAGGTATACTTAAATACCTTTTTAATTCATTATATATCATTTCCCAGAAAGCCTTAATCTTTGGGCACGTCCACCAAAGGTGAAAAAATGTACCTTCAGTTTCTTTACATTTCCAACATTTGTTATCGGGCAAGTGATAGATTTTCGCAAGCTTGACTGGGGTTATGTACCACCTGTATATCATTTTCATAATATTCTCTCTTAAGGCATTACATGCCGTAAATTTCATACCTGTGGTCCATAACTGTTCCCAGTCAGCAAACATAATGTTATGTCCAACGTCCTGTGCCCATTTAATCATAGCCGATTTTACCGTTTCATCTTGAGTATTCCATTTCAACAGCAAGTTATACATTCTTGACAAGTTCTTAGTATTGGGTTCTAACAATTCTGTTTCTAATTTGGATCTTTCCACCTGGAAGCCAATTTTCCTGTCCAATTTAAATACCTCCATTATCTGATAATAATGAAGCCAGTCTCGCACTTTGTTTTTAGTTTTTCAAAACTCTGCAATTTCAGTCTATCTCCGTCTTGTTCCAAAATTTCCCAATATTTCGGCCCTTTGACCTCCATATTGACCTTTTTCAGGCTTTCGCTTCCATTGGTGACAGCCACCTTGGGGTTTTATTTTCTAGCAAATCCTTATATCTTATCCAAACATTAAACAGCGCTTTCCTGACAATGTGGTTTTTAAATGCTTTATGTGCTTTGACCTTATCATACCATAAATATGCATGCCATCCAAATACATTATTAAAACCTTCTAGATCCAAAATGTCAGTGTTTTCAAGAAGTAGCCATTCTTTCAACCAGCAAAAGGCTGCTGATTCATAGTACAGTTTAAGGTCTGGCAGGGCAAATCCACCTCTTTCCTTTGCATCCGTTAGTATTTTAAATTTTATTCTGGGTTTCTTGCCCTGCCAGACAAATTTAGAAATATCTTTCTGCCACCTCTTGAAACAGTCCATTTTGTCCACAATTTGCAATGTTTGGAACAAAAACAGCATTCTAGGCAATACATTCATTTTTACCGCAGCAATACGACCCAGCAGTGAAAGCTTCAAATTTGACCAAATTTCTAAATCTTTTTTCACTTCAGCCCAGCATTTTTCATAGTTATCTTTAAATAAGTTCCCATTTTTTGCTGTCATGTTAATCCCCAGGTATTTAACTTTCTTAACCACTGTTAAACCTGTCTCATTCTGAAACCTCTCTCTCTCCATTGGTGTTAAATTTTTCTCTAAAACCTTGGTTTTTAACTTATTCAATTTAAACCCTGCAACTTGACCAAATTCTTGAATCAGTTCTAAAACCCTTTTGGTACTAGATTCTGGCTCCTGTAACGTCAGTACTAAGTCATCTGCAAATGCTCTCAATTTGTGAAGGTCTGTTCTTAACCTGAAACTGTTCTTAACCTGAAGCATCACTTTAGCTAATAGGGCCTCTTGCTGCTGCTGCGCCGCCGGAGCACGATTTCTGTTCTCATCCTGAAGCAAAGTTCTTAACTCGAGGTATTATTTCTGGGTTAGCGGAGTATGTAACCTGAAGCATATGTAACCTGAAGCGTATGTAACCACTGTATAGGGGGCTCAGTAGGCCAGGACAAAGGTTAACTTGCCCTCAACTCATGGTGTGACCTTTGTGACAGCAGCTGTTTTCTATCTATGTCTTCCATGTGTGCCATATTATGAAGATTATGAAGATTTTAAAAAATGTTACTCAGCACTGAAATTGCTTGTCACAATGGAAACTTGGATGGGTTGGTAATTGGACTGGATCTGAGTAAAAAAATATCCTAGGAGTAAGAGTACCATTTCCACTGAGTCACAATGCTGATTGTAGCTGCCCATTAATGTTGTTTGGAAGCAAGAGATAATTTATTGCATGCTACATTGCAGAGGTCTGCTGTGTGCAGAGGGGGGAACTGAGCTAAGCTACTACTATGACATTTTAAAATCTAGAATTTGTTTCGGATAGCAAATTCATGCAGCCTTAGGATATTCTTCAACTGCTTTCTCATTAGGCATCAGATGTGAGGTGGAGACTAGTCCATAGCATTTGCCCACTTATTGTTTATGGTGTGTATCAACAACAAAGTGTTCGAACCCTTTAGGATTATTATTTGTCATGTGAAAAATAAATTAATTTTCTGTGCATGTTACTGAAGCATAGGCCTGGCTGATCTCAATTTAGCTTTTTTAAAAAACTGACACATTAATTCAGATTTATATCCCACCCTGTTCCAAGAGTTCAGGGTGCACAATTGCAGCTTAGGAGCTCCATGTCCTTTAGTCTCTTCTTTTAAAAAGTGGAAAATATGTTTGTCACATAAGCGCACCCAGGAGGAGAACAGGGAGGGATGGTTGTTGTTGATTTTTTATTATAAAAAAGTACTAATAATTTTGGTTAAACACACATACGCATAAATAAGGAGAGCTAGGGAACCTGTGGTCAGGCCTATGCAGGTTGTGGGGCAGCTGGGTCCACTTGCCTTGGGCCTTGGAGAGCTGGGCTGGCCGTGGGGTCCTGCCAGGGGCTTGCCAGACTTACACTGTCATGCTGAGAACAAGATCCTTGCCCCAGGCCTCAGACAAGCTCTGCATGGGCCTGCCTGTGGCTCTCCAGATGTTAGTGGGCTCAAGTTCTCCTCAGCCCCAGCCAGCGTGGCCGATGGTCAGGGATGATGGGAGTTGTAGTCCAGGAACATCGGAAGGAACACAGGTGGGGTAGGCCTGGGCAATGTATCAGTTCATCGCCCAGGACCGGTATGAGGGGCAGACAGCAATGGCAGCTTCACTCAGTGGTATATTACAGGTGAAACAGCCTCCTCCTCAGTTCCTTAGCCACCAGTGCCCAGCGCGCCAAGGGAGAAACAAGCTGCAGCCGGGCACTGGAGGCAGAGGGACTCGGGCAGCGGCAGTTTCACCAGCGATATCCAGCTGAGTGAAGCTGCCATCCCACTTTGCCCTCAAACTGGTGCAGAGGGAGAAACATGCTGCATCGGAGAGGGGCCAATACAGCTTGTTCCTCCCTTCACTTCTTTAAACTGCTTGGTTGAGAAGCATACATCTGCCATTGCTCAGCCAGGCAGTTTTATGGAGCCCCCTACACGCCACTGGCTTGCACCAGCTGGTGGCAGGATAGGGACTCTGTGAAACTGCTCTGCTGAAGGGCGCTAGGTTACCGCCCACCTCAGCCAAGCAGTTAATGGAGCCCCCAGCTCACTGCTGGCTCGTGAAAGCCAGTGGCATGTCGGTACTCCCACCCCACAGCCGAACAGTCCCGAAGCTTCTCCTGCTTGCTCGCTTGCAAGCAGGAGAAGGATTGGGGGCTCCCTCAGCTGAGGAGCGGGAGGCTTTGCGTTCCCCAGCTGAGCGGCCTCAATTCTTCTCCTGCAATCTGGAGAAGGATGGGTTGCTCAACTTGGGGAGCACAAAGCTGCTTTCTCCCTGGTGCAGTGAGGCACTGGGGTGAAACCACCTCAGCAATTTCACCCTGACGCCTTGCAGTGCTGTGGTAGGAAGCAGGTTTTGGAACATGGTGATGTACCGCCAGATCACATTGTTTGCCTGACGATATATTGTGATGTTGTAAACCTTACATCGCCCAGCCCTCGTTGTGGGGAGAGTGTTTAGCAGGAGAGGAGACTGTAAGTACAAAAATGGATATGTTTAATGGTGTCTTTATCTGTCTCACTTCTTTCTCCAGGCTTTTTTCTACCTGGTGGCTCATCCTTAGGATCAATCCGCATGATCCAAGAGTAGATGCTTGACTGAGTCTTCATCTGCTTTCATCTTTTGCAGTTTGACATTGTGTCTCTTACTTTCTCCTTAAAAGCTGCCATAGGGGTTTCAACTTTGATCCTAGCAATGGTGTGTGTGTGTGTTTATATATAAACTCTTTCATCTGGATACTATTTTCCAGGTCTGAATTTCCAGCCTTTAGTCATTTTTCATAGGGGATAGCAGGAATCAGTGTTCCATGTGATTCCTGTGGAAGTCTCTACTGTGAAATATTTTGAGGAGAGGTTTCTAAGGGTGTGTGAACCTGGGACTAAACTTACCAAGAAATTCCCAGAGGCAGCAAGCAGCTAGTCAAAACCTGCTGGATGCTGGAGCTTTCAGAGCTTTCCAAATTGAGCGCCAGAATTTGATCGACCTCTTCTCTTCTCCATCCCTCCACCCATTCAGTGTGAAAAACTGGTGGTGTTGAAAATTTTCCACTGCTGTACTTTTCCATTTAAAAATGAATTTCTAAAAATAAATAGTTTTGTTAACCTAATTGGTAATGTAATGAATGGAAACAGTCAAATTGAGCAGTTTCTGCTTGTAATAAACTTTTTCAGGTATCTGTCTTTAGGAACCACACTTGCATGTATTATATATAGCCAAGCCGACTTTAATGTATTTTTAGGAACCATCAGTTGTACAATTTCAGGATGGTCCTCTGACCATTTAGTTTCTAAAAACGCACACACTAAAAGATACAAAGTTGCAGAGCGAAATGAAATGGAAGTGAACATCATAAGTGACACTTTTGGCACATTATAAAATTAGTATGATAACCATTAAAAGACATTTTAGGAAGTGTATGCTAATGGGTGTTATATCTTAAAATATTTTCAAAACACCTTTTTAAATTGTCTTAAAATATTATAATAAAATGATATCTTATTTGTTATATTTCTATTTCTGTTTATAGTTTTAATAATGAATTCCAATAAAAATGCTTAACAGTGGTCTAAGAATATTTTTAAGTATTCTAAATAAGAATTAAAGCTTTGAATTTGTTTAGATGTGATATTAAAAAATATTAAGTATGTTTTCTTGAATTTCCAACTTACCTACTTCTGACCATGTGTGGTAGTGATAACAGCTCTGAGTTTGCCCCAGGGGTCAGAATGGGCAGGTCAGAGTACTGATCACCTCCACCTGTTATTGATGCTCTTCATACCAAGTTCTGCATTGGATAGGGCAGATCTTGTAGGAAGACACAAGTCTGAGAAGCAATTTTAATTTCTGTTAATGTCCCATGATGGTGTCTCCTGCCTGAAAGGAATGTTGATCCAAGATGGTGCTCACTTCCTTCAGGGAGCAACAAAAGGGTAGGACATTTCCTCATCTCGCCCATCTTCTTCAGTCCCACTATTCTGGCTTCTAAAAGGGGCCACTTTTGCACCCGCTGCCATAGGCTCCTGGACGGGGTTCCTTCTCATTGTCCCAAGACCTGACGTGCAGCCACTCTTTTTTGCCAGTTGAAAGAGGCATGCAGTCTTGTTAATCTGAATGCATACTGCAGTTGCTAATCCCTGAATCAAAAAGGCGTGTACTTACAAGGTGACTCTGGAGGAGGCCCAGGAGAGTGTATTGTCCCTCTGTCCCCCTGCTGGCCATGGGTCTCTCTCTGCCTTCAGAAAAGGAAGTGGAATTACCAGAGCAGTAGAAGGAAGCACAAGGGACGCGGGTGGCGCTGTGGGTAAAACCTCAGTGCCTAGGACTTGCCGATCGTATGGTCAGCGGTTCGAATCCCCGCAGCGGGGTGAGCTCTCGTCGTTTGATCCCAGCTCCTGCCCACCTAGCAGTTCGAAAGCACTCTTAGGTGCAAGTAGATAAATAGGTACCGCTTTATAGCGGGAAGGTAAACGGCGTTTCCGTGTGCTGCGCTGGTGCTGGCTCACCAGAGCAGCTTCGTCACGCTGGCCACGTGACCCGGAAGTGTCTTCGGATGGCGCCGGCTCACGGCCTCTAGAGCGAGATGAGCACACAACCCTAGAGTCGGACACGACTGGCCCGTACGGGCAGGGGTACCTTTACCTTTACCTTAGAAGGAAGCACTCCCCACATCACGGGGGGGGGGGAGTTGTTTGCCTTAGATGAGTGGGGGAAACCCATGACATCTAAATTCAGCAGGGCTGTTTATATATAAAATATCGTACCTAAAGAGGTATTAAGAGTGGCCGAGGGTTCTGTTAATAGATGCTCCAGTAGCTGTCCTAGTCATAGGGGCAGTGGTTCCCATGAGATCAAAGCATATATATATATGTTTTTTAAAAGATAAGAAATATGATGTCTTATTAACAAAATCACATGAGACTTTTGTCCTCTTCATCAGGGCAATAATGGCCATTTCCTTCTGGGCTAAAGGAATTGTCAGAGAGGTTCCAGCAACAGCAGAGGTTACAGATAATTTGCAGCCATTTCTGAGGCCAGCCATTGGATTTATGAAGAAACCAGCAAACATGAGTCTCAAATAGGCGGCAAACTGCAGAGTTTTGTGGCTCAATGAACTCAGTTGACATCTGATCATTGAGTGCTCAGGATTGTCCAGAAGGGGTAGTTTGACACCATGCCTCATGATCTGTGTGTTTTCTGCTGCAGATGGGGGTGATAGAGCCTGTTCTATCTGTGCAAGTCTTCTACGGATGCTACTTTGAATTTGTCATAGTAAAGCAAAACAAAACGGAATGGAGAGCTATTTTATTTTATATTTATTTTATATTAAAAACACATTTATTCAAAAGTTACACTTCACTGCCATAATACCACAGTATTATGTGTGTGTTTAGATATTTTAGTTATTTTAGATCTAACACAAGTGAATTGCACGCAGTGGCACAAGTTCCTGCTGGAGACACTAAAAGACTATTTGGGAGAGTCTCTAGTGGGGTGACTATTTTGCTCAATCTTGCATACGTGTAACTGACTTGTTTTAAAGAGCATTTGATTTCTGACTGAAATACCGTCTACTTCCACTCCTGCATTTAACTTCAGAGAAAGACACAGTGAAGGAACGTTGCATTTTAATTTACCACTTCTCCAGCTCCTGGCATCTCTGCTTTACTTTGTTCTTTTCCCGCTGATTTCATCTTCTTCTTTCCCCAAACTACTTTCAAACTAGGCTTTATTTCATCTTGGTCAAAGACCCAGTTTGGCACCTTCCCCACCTGCATTCAGTGGCACCCCTCTGGAGGCTTCACCTGGGGCAAAAAACCAGTCTTACTCCCCCTTAGCTACGGCCGTGTCTTATGGTAAACACCAATAATCTCCACGCATCTCTCCATCCCTTTAGTTTGTTTTAAGGCAAATCTCTTACTCAGGTGGGGAAAATGTCTTCTTAGCACACTGCATGCTACTTCTGTTTCTTAAAAACTCCCAAGTCCTAAACTCCACCCCTTGCTTTAATAATAGCTGCAGCAACACAGGAAGCAGCTGGATTGCTTCTGAGCCAAGCTAAGCAGGCCAAGGAGGCTCTGCATTGCACAGAAGGGGTTAGGAAGCTCTCAAGCAACGGGGTCCTTTGAATGTTTTGGATGCTGACAGAAAAGAGAAAAATGAGGACCACCTAGAACAGGGCTTCCACAGCTTTGGCTCCCCATGATGTTGTTGCTATGCACAAAGTTGCACAGGGCAGTTAACTTTGGAAACAACAACCCTGAAGCTCAAAACCTGTCACTCTTGAGAACCTGTCACCACTTCAGTCTGCTGCCTGAGCCCTCTGTCTCACCTTATCTCATGGGCAAAAAGATTCCACCATTGGGTTGGACTAGATGACCCTTGTGGCCCCTTCCAACTCGACAATTCTATGATTCTGTGGTAGGGTGCCCTGCAGATACAGGAGCTGATCCAAAGACTCTGCACTCCCTACATGAAACTGCCTGAATTCTTAGATTATTTTATGAGATCCCTCTCTGTGTGCACCCATCTTCTGAATTTGGGCCAGTTGTGACCAGAAGATAGGTCCTCTTTGGTGGCGGCACTCTACCTGTGGCACCATCTCCCCAGAGAGTCTTCTATCTTTTCGGCACCAAGCAGATGCCTTTTTTATTCACCCAGGTCCCTTGTTTATTTTATCTGTTTCTGTTGATAATTCCTACTACCTTTTCTTTGTTTGTTTGTTTGTTTGTTGTCTCCTGTTGCTTTAGTATGTTGTGATTTTGATATGTTGTGTGACTCTTTGAGAGTGTGCATTTGAGCTGAAAGGTGAAAGGTTAAATTTTATACATCAATAAATAAAATATGTTGCAGCCGTCTTGTGGAATCTGAGCGAGTCTACATCTGGTCAGGTGTCTAGATGGGGAGGCCACATGGAAACCTCATGTATGTCACCTTGAGCTCCACTGAAAAATATAGGAAATGTCATAAGTAGGATTGACTCCTTTTTTAAATATGCTTTTTATTGGAATGTCTATTTTTTTGTAAATTGACTTCAAATTAAATAGTTACATTGTTTCATGTACAGTGGTACCTTGGTTTACGACCTTAATCTGTTCCAGAAGTCCGTTCTTAAACCAAGGTGTGCTTTCCCATAGTAGCGGGGGACTGAATTTACACTCAACAGGAAGCGGAACATGTTCTGCTTCCAAGGCAAAGTTTACAAACCAAAACACCTACTTCCGGGTTTGCAGCATTCTTAATCCAAGTTGTTCATAAACTAAACTGTTCTTAAGCAAAGGTACCACTATATTGAATTCCCACCCCTGCCTCCACGGTGTTTTTATCCAAACCCTTTTCTACTGTGTTATTTATCAAACTCTTATCTATTACACAAATCCACCTGATAAAATAACTTTATCATTTTTCTTCCTCTTCTCATATCTCCAATCCTGCCTGCAATTTCATTTGATTGTAGTACTTTTTCAAAGAGTCCTAAAAAGGCCTCTAGTCTTCTATAAAAAGTTCATCATTTTGATCTCTTAATATTATTGTCAGCTTTGCCATTTCCGCATAGTTCATTACTTTTAAAAGCTATTCCTCCTTCATTGGAACCTTCTCTTCTTTCCATTCTGCGCATATAAAATTGTAGCTGCTGTTGTCACATACATAAGTAGTTCGGTCATTTTCTTTGGAAAGTCCATCCCTATTATCCCTATATGAAAAACTTCAAGTCATTTGGGAATAGCCCATTTCAACACCTTCTTTATTTCACTATGTATCATTTACCAAAACCCTTTAGCTTTTTTTACATGTCAGGATTGACACTGCTCTCTATTTCCATACAGCCCACTCCCAGCCATCACTACTGCTGCTCCCCTACCCTCCAGCAGCAACAGCCTTGGTCTTGAATAGCAGCTGCTTCCCATCGCTTCCTGTCCTCTGGGAACCCAACTCCCAGTTGTCTATTCTCTCATTCTAGTACTTGTGTTGCCCCGACCCCATGAAAGAAGAGGCAGAACCCAAGAGAAGAGAGAGCATATTGGCCGGGAGGCAGCCATGTGAAACTTTGTGGGCATGAGCTATAACTGCTGCTGCTGCTTCTTTGTTTGCCCATGCTATACAGCCAGGCCTGCCTCTCACTGCCTAGTATGCATGTATGGCACGATGTTTGTTTATTCATTTCTCTCAAAACAAAAATTAAAAAACAGTTCTTCACCTTTCTGTCAACTGATGAGAAAACATATTGTTCCCGTCTGAACAGCTAATGCTTATGTCTGATAGAATGTGTAAAGCTTGTTATTTCCAGAAAACTTGGTTTCAAGTTTTTTTTCTTTCTCCCCTTTCCATACTTAATTGGCTCTGTCAGGGAGCCATCTGGTGGCTAGGATCCAAGTGCTTTTCTGGGTCAAGGAAATAGATTTATTTACTTCCAAATTTCTACCCTGCCAGCTACCCCATAAATGGGGTTTTCATGATGGCTTGCAATTTATGATAGTACAATAAGTGGCGTACAATAGAATCAACTTCAACAAGGCAAATTAAGCACAACCTAAACAAAATGTAATAATAATAATAATAGATTTTATTTATATCCCGCCCTCCCCAGCTGAAGCCGGGCTCAGGGCGTATGTATTGGTAAGGCCCTCCACAAAATAAAATGACTTGTGTGGGTGGTCAGACTGGTATGTCTGGGTGGTCAGACTGGTAAAAATGTGGTTAGAAGTAGTAATGGGATTGGAACTGTGATTAACAGTTGACCCTTTAGCAGGGACTATATTTTGACATGAGCAAAAGCTGAGTCTGGTAACACAGGCTTTGCCTGCTGATGCACTCCTGTTAGCAACTAAGATGCAGGCAAAAGGCTCTTCAGCTGCCTCCTCCCCAGTGTGAGAGGAGGAGCTCCAACAGAGCCTGGTAGGAGGTTAAAGAATCCCGGTCTGGGGAAAAGGTGGGATATAAATAATAGTAATAAGCTCTTGCCCTGTGTTTCTGCTTGCACTGAGAAGAGCCAGGGAGACTGTTAGAACAGAGCCAAATGAGATGTTCCCAAATGAGATGGGGATCAAGTTGAATCTCTGGCCTGCCAGTTTTCTGTCTCTAGATTAGAACATCTGGGTTGCTTTCCTGCTTATAACAAAAAGTTGGGTGTTGGGCTGCTTTAATGTTTTAAAACCATTTCTTCCAGCAGTGGTGAATGTTGCCATTTGAACACTCAGTGCTGAAGTCCCATGATGTAGAGTGGCTCATGGAGTTTGATTCAGCCCTGAATAAGGAGAACTCTGGTTAAATGATTCTGGCTCTGTAGGTTAAATGCAGCTTTGGAGCTAGTGCTGAACAACCTGGTAGGAACCTTAAAGCTGTCTAAAACCTCCACATTGATAAGCTGTTTATGCATACGGTAAAAAGGTAAAGGTAAAGGTACCCCTGCCCGTATGGGCCAGTCGTGTCCGACTCTAGGGTTGTGCGCCCATCTCACTTAAGAGGCCGGGGGCCAGCGCTGTCCAGAGACACTTCCGGGTCACGTGGCCAGCGTGACGAAGCTGCTCTGGCGAGCCAGCACCAGCGCAGCACACGGAAACGCTGTTTACCTTCCCGCTAGAAAGCGGTACCTATTTATCTACTTGCACTTTAAGGGTGCTTTTGAACTGCTAGGTGGGCAGGAGCTGGGACCGAAAGACGGGAGCTCACCCCGCCGCGGGGATTCGAATCGCCGACCATGCGATCAGCAAGCCCTAGGCACTGAAGTTTTACCCACAGCGCCACCCGCGTCCCCCTTATGCATACGGAGGTACAAGCTAATAGACCTTTTCCCCCAACCTTGACTTTCTCATGGCAACTCCATGTTACAGATTTGCATGGAAATACTGAAAGTCATGGGAGGAGGCCGTCTTATTCTCATGAACCTGCTCTCTTTCCCAAGTTGGTGGCTACAGCAAAGCTAGCTGCAAATACGTCTTGATCTCAGAATTCTCTTGAAGCAATTCAGTATTGTTGAATCTGGCCTTCAGGGCATATGGTCTCCTTGATAAAGAAAGGGAAAAGCTGGGATGTGGAGAGTTGTTTCAACAACTTTTAGTTTGTGGACAGCAAGCTACAGGACCTTCACAAGTTGAGATTCCTGCATTGCAGGGGGTTGGACCTCAGGGTCCCTTCCAATTCTAAGATTCTATAGCAGTGTTTCTCAACCTTTTTCTGACCATGGCCCCTTCTGACCTCGTTTCCTTCCTGTGACCCCCCCTTTCCTACTGATAGAAAGGTAGCTATTTAAATGGTTTGTTTGTAAAGAGAACCTTTTTTATAATTTTTATAATTTATACAAAATACAATTACATAAAAAATTATACTTTAGGTATTTCTCAATCAATCTGACCCTTGTTCTTGATGACTAGAAGCAAGCTTTTTATATATCCAATACTATTGCTTTGAGGGATGACCAAAGATCACCTCTGTCCATTACTTTAAGGCAGTTCCACGTTAGGCTGAGTAAATAATTCACACGACTGAAACCTGATTCTACCAAATACAAAGTAGGAAATGCCATGAAAAACAATTTTGCTTTATTCCAAAGCTGTGGAAACTTTTTAGATACTATACTCTTTATCCAAAAATGGTCTGTGGCAACATACCTCCTTTCTCAGTAATAGTTGCACGAAGAAACAGCACCCCACGCACCTTGCCCGTGACAAATGAGATGTGGACAGCTTAGTGCGCACAGAGGTGGAGTGCAGAAGTGGGAGGGAGAAGGAAGTGGAAGCAAAGTTGCCACAGCGTGTGCATGGTGATCCATCCACTGGGAAGCACAGTCACCTCTCTGTTCACTCTACTTCTCTGTTTTCTATTTTCTTCACTTCTCTGGGGTTTTTTTCTTTTCTGTTTTCTTGATCACTTCTGTGTTTTCTTTACTTCTTTCTGCTGTGGTCCCTAGACTCATGCCGTGGCCCCCATTTATGCAATTTTCACCTGTGCCCCCCTTGGAATATCCTGGGGGCCCCCGGTTGGGAAATACTGTTCTATAGGAATCAGTTCTTATTGTGAGGCCAACTATACTTGGCCCAGCTCACCAAGAAGGTAGAGAAAAAGGCCAAGACGTGGGGGTATCAGTCAGAGCCTGTATCAGTCAGAGGCCAAATAGCAGCTCAGGATGGTAATATGCATGACAGATTACTTGGTCAAGCTTCCTGAAGTTGATAACAATAGTGATTATCAGTTGGAATAACTGCCCTTGGGGCCCCAAACCTCTCTAAAATTTAGTTGGAGGGGCTGAACATGGTGCCAGGCTCTGAATTTGGAAGCATAACTCTGCTATGTAAGCTGTTCGACTACCTATCTGTGTTTTGGAGATTCCATTTTGAAGAGACTGTTTGGCCTTCCTGCTTCCATATTTCCTGCAGGAAAATACGTCCATTTGAACATGCATTTGTCATTCTACAGTTAACAGTGCTGTGTGTGGATTTTGCCATCGAAATTGGGTCCTTTTTGTACTAGAACTCAAAAAGTAAGGTGTGAATTGACCCTGTATTTTATGCATAGCAGGCACTACATTTCTGGCTCTAGAAACTCTGTAGACTGTAGAAGAGATGGGCTTATCAGATGCAGCCAAGGGCTGAGCTGTTGATTTGTGTTTCTGTCTTATTTATATCCCACTTTTGTCCTAAGGACCTATTTATCCTTGCCAGAAACCTGTGAAGTTGGTTATTCTGAAAGACAGTGAGCTTCATAAGCTTGAACCAGTGCTATGAAATGTTAATTGTTACTTGAAGGCTGCAGAAATCCTGTGTGAATGTTCAAATAGGTTGCCTGCTCTGATCCTGCTGGAGCTTCTAAGCAGTCTGCAAGAAGACTTTCAGGGACAGAATGTTGTTATATTTGACCATCAAGACGATTAAGTGCATTCAGCATTCTTTTTACCCTAGAGTAAATCATATTGCTCTGAATTGCAGCAAGCTGCTGAAAGCAACAAAAATGCTTTTGTTTGCAAAGGATGTTCTGCACTTTGTTTATGGAAATAATACCATAGTGCCATGTGGTTCAATCTGGAGCTATGATCTTTATGAGTGTGTGTGTGTGTGTGTGTGTGTGTGTGTGTGTGTTCTAGACTGGGTATGGTCAAGGCTGTTAGGATGGCTAATATTATGCATTTGGGTTGTGTTCTGTATTTTGGAAGAAACAACTTTTCCCCAGTATGAAAAGACTTTTGTCACACATGATTTAAACCCACATGGCCTTATGAGCAACACCTGCTTTAACTACTGCCATTCAGCAAATATTTTTGATGGAGAAGTTGTGTGATGTTTTGTAGCTTGTCTTCCATAGTAAACAGTTTAACTTTATAGATTACAGAGTGCTTCTGCCATCTTCAAGGTCTTTCTTCTTCCTGTTGTCCAGTGGTTTCAGATTTATTATTAATGTAGCAATTAATGACATGGTGCTAAATTACACACTGTGACTGCCTTTGTCTTTGGACAAAGCTTGACATGCCTCCTTGTCTCTTGTTTTTAGAAAGTCATCCTGAGTCACTTGTATACAAAATAACATGTTTGGTACTCTTGCACACCGCTCAACTTGTTGGCAATAGAACTGTAATGGCTGTAAATGAGTGGGGTGGCGTGCATTTGTTTCTCACTTTCTAAAGTGGGAAGCCATTTCTGCCAAATTAGTTGACAGATGCCTCATAAACTACTTGCATCAAATGAGCTTGGCATTTTTGACTTCCAGTCAACTTCTTGTCCAGAGGTTAATCATGATGGAAGAAGCTAAGCAGTAACGACTGACCTGCATGCACCTGCCAACAAAACAAAGCAAGGCATTTGGAGCTGCTCATACCTGGGAGAATCTCTGTCTAAATTGGCAGGATTGCAATGAAACCACAGTGTGGCACTCTTTGGCCTTGTGCTGTTGTTAAAGCCTGTTGACAGAATATGATGCTATTGTTGCCTTCCTATAATTTGTAACTGTGACTGCTCTTTGTCTTAAAACTAGCACAGATTCCTTTAGGACATGGATTCAAGAAGCAAGTTTGTATCCTGGCCCTAGAGCCCCTAGCAATTTGACTCTGAGCAGTCCCCAGTATCAAGGGTGTGGAAATAAAAGGTACAACCTACAAACTAGGTCTCTTCAGACAACCTGATGGTCACGATACCAGATCCCATACACACAGCGATCACCCAAACCAGGGCTTTGTTTCTAGAAAACAAGGTGCTGGAACTTGTTGACCTTTTGCTAGGGGGAGCGCTCCCCAAAAGTTGTTGAGCCAAAAGAAATTCACCAACATTGCAGAGATAAAATTCTGCCAAACAAAATTCAGATACCTAGGGATTCAAATAACCACAAACCTCAACAAACTATACCTCCACAATTACAAACCCCTGTGGTGACAAATCAACTAAGACATGAGGAAATGGAACAACACCAACTTCACCCTCTCAGACAAAATTAACCTACTTATTCCAAACCTTCCCAATTTGGATTCCCCAAACCCAACTCTGGGAATGGCAGAAAAACTACACTTGTTTAGTTTCTCACACAAAAAGCCAAGAATAAGCCCCAAAGGAGGATGGGGAATCCCTAACATAGAATCATATTGCATTGCCAAACATGTGTGCCACATAATCCCATACATTCCCGAAGATGAGACAAAACAATGGGTCCACTTAGAGAGAGACACAATCGAAAACACCCCCCACAACAGCATACCCATTTCTCCAAAACAAACTAAAGAAAATCCCCACAACACTAAACAGGTTCACACAATCGGAAAAAGTAGGCAAACTGTCCCCAGCCCCACTAGCCTCCTGGCTCATAACCCACTACAGTGGTACCTTTGTTTGCAACCGCTTTGGATTACAACCATTTTGGATTACAACCACATCAAACCCGGGAGTGCGTGTCCCTATTTTTGGATTACAACGCATTTTTTTGGATTATAACCAATTTTGGGGGGGGATGCCCCATTGGCGAAAGCTTGCCTTGGGTTACAACCTGTTTTGGTTTACAACTGGACCTCTGGAATGGATTGTGGTTGTAAACCAAGGTACCACTGTATTCCAACACACAGCATAAAACTTCCAGATAAAAACCTGGCAGGCCAAAGGCCTATACTGTCTAAAATACTTCCACAAAAACAACAAACCCATACCAACACAAGAAATACAAAACAAACTAGGTGATACCCAAATACGCTGGCTAACACATCACCAACTACACACCCTCCTTAAACAATCCAGCAGTAAAATCATCAGCCACTAGGGGGGCCCTTGACCACCTTCGAAAACCTTCTCCTGACAGCAGAGGGACACGGCAAAGGGATGGTATCCACAATATACAAAGTAGTGCTCCAAACTCCTACAAACCCTCTTGTCGCAATCAAAGAACAATGGGAGCAAGGCATAGGCTATGAAATTAACCCCACCCAATGGACTGGAATGTGAAATTAACCCCACCCAATGGACTGGAACCTCCCTTTAAATCCATCTCAGACAAAAGAAGGGAACTCAGTCTGAAATTCACCTATGGATGGTACCTAACACCACAGAAACTGGCACTAATATGCCCAGGAACCTCACCAAAATGTTGAAGAGGCTGCACTTCCACAGGCACATATCTCCACATGTGGTGGGAATGCCCCAAAATCCAACCCTTCTGGACATCAGTCCTACAAGAGATATGCAAAATAACTAAACAGGTATTTGAATTCACCCCAGAACTGGCCGTACTGAGTATTTTCCAGTATAATGACCACTCACATTATAAAGAGCTTATAACCCACCTACTCTCAGCAGCCAGAAGCATCGTAGCCAGACACTGGAGAGACCTCTCAGGAGTAAACATGAACTAATGGTACCAAATGGCTCCCCTTTATCATATACACAGCACAACAAGACAACAGGAACCCACCGACAGCATACGAATCAATCTGGCTTACTTGGCCCAACAAGCCCTCCCCCCACATCCCAAATGCTAACAAACCTCGGGGCAGACAACTATCCACACCCTGAGCTCCCCCATTCCCTCTCACTACCAAGAAATAAGTGAACAGAAGAACTTACCTAGTTGACACTGACACAAAACCCCACACGTATACTATATAAAAGAATAGAAGTTTCACCCCCTCCTCTACCCCCTTCATCCCCAACCTTATACTGTACACAACACTAGTGTTTAATATCAAATGTAACTGATCTGTAGAAAAGACTTTACAACCTGAAAAAAGAGACATTGTACATACTTTTGTAAACCAGGAAAATCTTTAATAAAAAAATTTTTTTTTAAAGAAGTAAGCTTTGTTGTTATTTATTACAGAGAAAACAAGACATGCAAACAGAAAGAGTTTGAGAAAAGTAAAATACTTTGAGCAGCGAGTCAGAAAACCCTAACTAGGGCAAATCCTTATTTGGAGTGTAATTAGACATGACAAAGGAAGCATTATATTGACAAATGCATGGTTCTAACAGGGTTGGGAAACTTGTTTTCCCTGAAATGTTGATGGGATAGTAGGGACACATGAAAGATGATTTCTTATACACTCTGCTGTCAATAAAGTTGAAACCATGTAGCATCTAGGTGAGGTAAGATTAAGGTAAAGGATCCTTGGATGGTTAAGTCCAGTCGAATTTGACTGTAGGGTGCAGTCATCTTCGCTTTCAGGCCAAGGGAGCCAGCGTTTATCTGCAGACAGCTTTTCCGTGTCATGTGGCCAGCATGACTAAACCGTTTCTGGTGCACAGAGGACCGTGACAAGTGCCAGAGAGCACGGAAATGCCATTTACCTTCCTTCTGCAGCGGTACCTGTTTATCTACTCGCGCTGGTATGCTTTTGAGCTGCTAGGTTGGCAGGAGCTGGAAGAAAGCAACTGGAACCCACCCGTTACTTGGATTCAAACTTCCAGCCTTACAACTGGCAAGCCTGAGAGACTCAGGTTTAGACCATAGCGCCACCCACGTCCTGATGTAACATCTATGTTGTCCTTAGCCTGACAGTCTTGCTCTGCGAGGCACAAAGGAGTTGGGACAACCTTGTTTTAATCAGTTGAGAAGTTTTCATGTTGAGCAGAGAAATTCTGAACGCTTGAAGAAAAAGGTCTTTCCCTAGATTTTTACCCTTTATTAGAACATAAAATTTATTATGTGTATACACGTCCTCCTACAGTGTCTTGCATGGCTTTTGACAGTGGAACGTACTCCCTCAGAAGATGGTGGACTCCTTCATTGAAGGTTTTTAAGCAGAGGTTGGATGACCATCTGCCATAAATGCTGTAGCCAAAGATTCCTGCATACAGGGGTTTGGACTAGATTACCCTTGGGGTACCTTCCATCTCTACAATTCTATTATTCTGTGTGGAATTTAGCACTTAAAACCACATTGTTTGATTAATAAATGCACCCTAACCCACTGGATTTTATTCAATCAGTAATTACAGACGCAAACAGGAGTTAATAAGTATTAACAGGTATACCAGAAGCAGATAACAGAAGCCATCAAAATGGTAGTAAACTCACAAATATTATGTTTGGATTTAGAAATGGTATCTAGACATTGGCCATTAGCATTTCCAAAATGGACTAGCAGCAAAGTTAGGATATTACCCTGACTTCAGAAACCTAAATTCTTATTTTTTTAATGGAGCATCATCGTAATAAACGATACTAGAATTATATTTGCCTAATAATTTTCTTACTGTGTTCATATTAAATATTAATTAACTTCATAGAAGCTACTTTAAAGGACTAGGACAAGGCTCGCCACTATGGTGCCCTCCAGATGTTGCTGAACTACAGCTTCCATAATCCCTGGTTATTTGCCATGCTTGCTGGGACTGTTGAGAGTTGGAGCCCAAAAACATCTGGAGGACATCATGTTGGCTTTGCTTTCTCTAGACCAGCGGTTCTCAACCTGTGGGTCCCCAGATGTTGTTGGACTACAACTCCCATCCCTGAGCTCTGGCCTTGCTAGCTAGGGGTGATGGGAGTTGTAGTTCAACAATAGCTGGGAACCCACAGGTTGAGAAAGGCTGCTCTAAACTAAGGGATAGTGTCAATAGAAAAGGAATAAGAAAAGCCCTGATACATCAGACCAAAACTGTTTAGTTCTGCATCCTATTTCCCACACTAGTGAATTAGATGCCTCTGAGAAGCCCATAAGCAGAACATGACTGCAGTAGCTAATGCCTGCTGTAGCTCCCTAGCAGCTAGTATTCAAAGGTATCTTGCCTCTGGTATTGGATGCAGCATATAACCATTGTGAATAGTAGTGGTTGATGGCATTATCTTTCATGTATTTGTCTAATCTCCTTTTCAAGCTAAATTGAATCTTGTGGCAGCAGTTTCTATAGTTTTTATCTATGCATTCTGGGAAGTGATGCATTCTTTATCATGAATCTCCCAGCATTTGGGTTGCCATATTTCAAAAAGTAAAAACCAGGACACCCTGCAAGTGTCCTTTCGGAAATCCCAGTAATATGGCAGCCCTATTCATTCACCCCCGATAGGGACCCAAGGTGGCTTACAGATAAAATACAGCTAAAAACATGGGTTGGGGGGGGAACAATAATTAAAGAACAATTAAACATTAATGAAATACAACTATATAAAATACATCACACCCACACACCCCTGTTAGAAACATCCAGATAATTACCATAAAACAGCATGGCATTAGCTCTTTCATTAAAAGCACTCAGATCCCCAAAGCCTGTTGGAATAATTTCACCTGAACCTTAGAATGGAAGAACATTTTTTTAGGGTGCTAGGAGCTTTTTGTCTGGAAATGCTCTTTGTCATGAGGACTAAATGCTTCTCTAGTACTTTCAGCATTATTGAGATATTTTACTTACAAAAACGTGTGGTGTCCCTAGATTCAATGAAGGAAGGCCTTTCAGTGCCAGGGACATAATTTATATTTTTGCAAGTTTATGCTGAGCATTTGTGTGCTCTTTTCCTTGATAACTTTATAGCTCTGGCTGGTTCACCAACTGCAGCCTTTGCTGAACTAGGATAGTCTGGCCAAAGTTTTGTATGCTTTGATAGCCTCCTGAAATGACTGCTGCTGTCCATTCCATGTAGGGCTGCCCTTGAAGAAGGTCCAGAAACTGCAGCTTGTGCAGAGTGTTGCTGCTGGCGTGCTCATGGGTGGGGACTTAGGTGCACAGTCATAGAACACTGGTTTTGTGGGGTCTGCTCCAGCTGCCTGTAAATAACCAGGCCCAATTTAAGGTGGTTATGTTGATATAAACATCCCTGAACGACTTGGGACCCTATGTATCTGAGAGAATTCCTCTACCAACACCAATCTGTCTAGGTCAGTGTTTCCCAAAGTGGACAGCACAGCCCCCTGAGGGGTGCTGGAATGATGCAAGGGGGCGGTAGTAGCCTTGGGTGGAATTGAGGGAGCATTGAATAAAAATAAGTGGGCAGCGGAAGCAGAAAGAAAGAAGAAAATAAAAGAAAAATTTGAAAATGGTTTGTACATGTTTAATCTGTTGGATAATGATGCTTTCCGCAAGGTCGGGTGCCGTTGCGGGACAGTGCCAGCACCTCCCCTGGATCTGCCAGTTGTGCTGGAGGTGAGGGGTTTTCCTGGGCTTCAACTAGGCTCAACTAGGCTCAGGAAATGGATCGCAGCTTGCTGACAAAATAGAGCCGGACATTAATTGATAGCACACCAGGTTCATTCTTTTCATTAGGATTATTAATATTATTCATAATTTTAATTTTAATTTTAATATCCTTAGTTATCTGAATTTTCTGTGTGTAATACGAATGTTACTGTGGTTGATTTTAATAAATAATTTTATAATGTTGAGCTTCGGGGTATCTTATTTACAACAACATATTTCTTTACTAGGTTATAGGATGTAGGTAGAAATATAGATAAATAAAAGAATGCAAATTTGTCACTGTTTGTTCACTTAAAGAAGGTAGATTTTTTTGGGGGGAGGTGCTGAGTATCCCCCCCCCCCGAAAAGTGGGCAGTAAGCCAAATAGGATTGGGAATCTCAGGCCTAGGTCTTTATATTAGGAGAGGAGCCCTACTTACTGTATCCCATGGCAAATGTTGCTCACTGTGTGGGGACATGAAAGGATGAGATAATAATTATAATTAGAGTTATAATACTTTTTATTTATATGCCGCGCATCTAACTGGGTTCCTCCAGCCACTCTGGGCAGCTTCCAACTAATTAAAACACAATACTACATCAAATTTTAAAAACTTCATTGATCTTCCGAAACGTTTGACTTCCAAAGCGCGGCTTCTCATTGCCTGCAGGAAGCTCCTGCAGCCAATCAGAAGCTGTGGAAGCCCCATCAGACGTTCGGCTTCTGAAAGAATGTTCAAAAACTCACTTCGGGAGCCGAGGTACGACTGTACAAACACGTGAATCAATCAAACAACGTCTGGGTCAGGACCACGTGCAATTCTGACTTCTGACTGTAGCTCCGGATGAATGTGGGGCAATTTGTACATGTCCCGCGGTGTGCTGGCAGTGTGCTGACATCACTATTACAGAAAAGGATAAAAATACAACCATCATTAGATCAAATGTATTGACAAATGGTTGGACCACCATAAGCTCATTCTTCTACATAATGTGACACCCTATAAAACATCTAAGCAAACTTTTTTGAAATAATACATCCAGCTTATAATGTTTTTTGATCAGGGGTACATAATTAATTCAATAGGGTTTTTGTTGATTGATAGGTTTCAAAAATATTATTTTTGATATGTTTCAAAAATGTCATTTAAAAATGCCAGAAGATAATTCTGGCTCTGCAGGAGTCACAGAGGGGACAAACCTCTTTTACACTAAAGCAGTGGTTCTCCAAGGGTGTGGTGCACCACACAGATGTGCTAGGAGAGGATGACAAGTGCGGTAGGAAAATTCAAGAACAATCAAAGAAACATTTAAGCATTTTAGTGAAGCTCCGTATAGTATAGTATCTGTCCATGTTTACATTTTCCCTGCTCCAGATTCTCTCTTCCACAGTTTGTGGAATGGTGGACAACAGGGGTGCCTACTTGTCCCCCACATTGAGGGGGCCCAGCATCACGTGTTGTGTCCTGCCCCACCTGTTGCACCAGTGCTTCTCTGGCGGTGCAGGAGTTTAGGGAGCATGGAGGGGGATCTCCCTCCCTGCGTGTTCTGCCCAGCACACGCAAGTGCTCACCTGACGGCAGTGGGGAATGGCAGCCCCCTCAATATTGGGGGGGGGGGCTTGGCCCTCTGCCCACAAATATTGAGGGGGCTGAAGCCCCTTCCGCCCCCTATAGTTGGCACCCCTGGTGGACAGCGAAAAGATCAACTGCCCTTTCTTGCTGCTGTTTTTCTGCTCCTTATCACACCATTGGATGAAGTTAATTATGTTTTTGCATATAACTTGTAGTGGTAATTGAGTGTCGATAAACAGGGCTCTCTGCAGGGCTTTTATCATGGCCCGGAGAGATTGATTTTTTGCTTGTTATCTGCATTCCAACTTTACCCATCAAAGTAATGAACTTGCAAGTAGATCAGAGTGCTTTGGTTGTTGCTTTAATGTACAGGTGGCATTTCTGAGCTGTTTTCGTTTTCAGAATTCCTAAGGTTTTTGGTCTTAAGAGTTTAGAATTTCATTGAAAAGATCCTATATAAGAGCACAACACTCTTCATAGCTGCAGAAAGCACCCCACTGAGGTTCAGACTTGATGCAACTTGAGGAGAAGGTGTTTGAACCCTTTCACTGATTTATATCCACATCTTTTACCCACTGCCATGCTGCTATTAGGTGCAACAGGAGGTGGATTTTAATGTGCACCTTCTTCTGGAGTGCTATTTTGAGGCTGCTAATAAATTTAAATAAAGGATTTGGGGGAGATGTCCCTAATCCCAGATTTCCTGTGAAGCTTTTGTTTAACCCTTAGTTCCTCACTGGCAGTGTTGCATTGCAAGTCCTTGGACATCTGGAAAAGTCCTTGTCTTTCCCATACCCCAGTGCCATCTTGTGCTATAAATGTGAATTGCAGCCATTTAGAAATCTCTCTTTTACAGAACTAGATTCAGTCTATCTAATGAGAAGGCTGGCTGGAACTTTTATTGATTTGCAATGGTTAACCTTCCTTGTAGTATATTTTGGGGTATGCGTTCATGACTGCATGCATGTAATTGTCCTCCTTTTTAAAAAAAATAAATCTCTGATATGGAACCATCCAAATGAATGGACATACATTGTTCAACTGGACCTGTAACCCAACCCCCAGAAGAGAGAAGGATGGCATGTTGTGGTCCAAGAAGGTAGTCCAAAAAAAGTGTCTTTATAAAGTCCTCTTACCCAGTTCCTTCAGAAAATTCTTGGCAGTGAATTATAATTGTGGTGGAATCCAAGTTGACAGCTTGATTTAAAGCTTTCCATATTACCCAGGTTAATAACTACTGTTCTTTACTTGTAAAATGGGAATGAAATGGATAGTAGGTTTCCAACTATTGCCGCTATGATTTCAAAACTTGTGGCTTGTATGTTAACCCTTACTTTCATGTAAATGGTTTCTAGGACTGTGCCTCTGTACCATAAATGTGCACAAAGACAACCAGTGGGCTGTATCCATCAGTTATTTGCTTGTTTGTTTGACAAATACCGCCCTTCATCATAAGATCTCAGGGTGGATCACAAGATAAATATGCAAGGTAAAAGCACAAATAAATAGGTCAAATTAAAGCAACAACGCAATAACCCACCCACAAACACGTTTAAAAGGCTGTGGAATATTAAACAGCCAAAGGCCTGGTTGAAGAGGAACGTTTTTGCCTGACAGCTAAAGATATATAATGAAGGCACCAGGTGAACCTCCCTGGGGAGAACATTCCACAAATGGAGCCACTGCAGAAAAGGCTTGTTCTTGTGTTGCCATCCTTTGGACCTCACATGGAGGAGGAACATGAAGAATGGTGTCAGATGATGAACGCAGATGATTTATATAGGGAGAAGCAGTCCTTGAGGTATTACGATCCTGTACAATTTAAAGCTTTATAGATCAAAAACAGCATTTTGAATTGGGACCAGAAACTAATTGGCAACCAATGCAGTCGGGCCAGGATATGTGTAATATGCTCAATCTGTCTTGTTCTGGTGAGCAACCTGGCCACCAAATTCTGCACCAGCTGAAGCTTCCAAACGATCTTTAGAGGCAGCCCTACATACAACACATTGCATTAATCCAGTCTAGACGTTACCAGAGCATAGACAACAGAAGTTAGACTATCCCTGTCCTGATAGGGGCGCAGTTGTGCCACCAGCTGAAGCTGGTGGAAGGCACTCTGTGCCCCCTGAGGCCATCAGAGCTTCAAGGAACAACAAAGGGTCCAGGAGTACCCCCAGGCTACATGCCTGCTCCTTCACAGAGAGTGTAACCCCATCAAGAGCAGGCAATCTCCCACCCATCCGATCCACTAACAGTGCCTCAGTCTTAGCTGGATTGAGCTTCAGTTTGTTGGCTCTCATCCAGTCCATTACTGAGGCAATTCAGTGATCCAGCACACTCACTGCCTCACCTGCAGATGGAAAGGAGAAGTAGAATCATAGAATCATAGAGTTGGAAGAGACCACAAGGGCCATCGAGTCCAACCCCCTGCCAAGCAGGAAACACCATCAGAGCACTCCTGACATATGGTTGTCAAGCCTCTGCTTAAAGACCTCCAAAGAAGGAGACTCCACCACACTCCTTGGCAGCAAATTCCACTGTCGAACAGCTCTTACTGTCAGGAAGTTCTTCCTAATGTTTAGGTGGAATCTTCTTTCTTGTAGTTTGGATCCATTGCTCCGTGTCCGCTTCTCTGGAGCAGCAGAAAACAACCTTTCTCCCTCCTCTATGTGACATCCTTTTATATATTTGAACATGGCTATCATATCACCCTTTAACCTCCTCTTCTCCATGCTAAACATGCCCAGCTCCCTTAGCCGTTCCTCATAAGGCATCGTTTCCAGGCCTTTGACCATTTTCATAGAATCATAGAATCATAGAATCATAGAGCTGGAAGAGACCACAAGGGCCATCGAGTCCAACCCCCTGCCAAGCAGGAAACACCATCAGAGCACTCCTGACATATGGTTGTCAAGCCTCTGCTTAAAGACCTCCAAAGAAGGAGACTCCACCACACTCCTTGGCAGCAAATTCCACTGTCGAACAGCTCTTACTGTCAGGAAGTTCTTCCTAATGTTTAGGTGGAATCTTCTTTCTTGTAGTTTGGATCCATTGCTCCATGTCCGCTTCTCTGGAGCAGCAGAAAACAACCTTTCTCCCTCCTCTATGTGACATCCTTTGATATATTTGAACATGGCTATCATATCACCCCTTAACCTCCTCTTCTCCAGGCTAAACATGCCCAGCTCCCTTAGCCGTTCCTCATAAGGCATCGTTTCCAGGCCTTTGACCATTTTGGTTGCGCTCCTCTGGACACATTCCAGTTTGTCAGTGTCCTTCTTGAACTGTGGTGCCCAGAACTGGACACAGTACTCCAGGTGAGGTCGGACCAGGGCAGAATACAGTGGCACTATTACTTCCCTTGATCTAGATGCTATACTCCTATTGATGCAGCCCAGAATTGCATTGGCTTTTTAGCTGCCGCGTCACACTGTTGGCTCATGTCAAGTTTGTGGTCAACCAAGACTCCTAGATCCTTTTCACATGTACTGCTCTCAAGCCAGGTGTCCCCATCTTGTATTTGTGCCTCTCATTTTTTTGCCCAAGTGCAATACTTTACATTTCTCCCTGTTAAAATTCATCTTGTTTGTTTTGGCCCAGTTCTCTAATCTGTCAAGGTCGTTTTGAAGTGTGATCCTGTCCTCTGGGGTGTTAGCCACCCCTCCCAGTTTGGTGTCATCTGCAAATTTGATCAGGATGCCCTTGAGTCCATCATCCAAGTCGTTGATAAAGATGTTGAATAAGACCGGGCCCAAGACAGAACCCTGTGGCACCCCACTAGTCACTCTTCTCCAGGATGAAGAGGAACCATTGATGAGCACCCTTTGGGTTCGGTCAGTCAGCCAGTTACAAATCCCCTGAGTGGTAGCATAGTCAAGACCGCATTTTACCAGCTTCTTTACAAGAATATCATGGGGCACCTTGTCAAATGCCTTGCTGAAATCAAGGTAGGCTACATCCACTGCGTTCCCTTCATCTACCAGGCTTGTAATTCTGTCAAAAACGAGATCAGGTTAGTCTGACATGACTTATTTTTCAGAAATCCATGCTGACTATTGGTGATCACAGCATTCCTTTCTAGGTGCTCACAGACTGTTTGCTTAATGATCTGCTCCAGAATCTTCCCTGGTATTGATGTCAGATTGACTGGGCGGTAATTATTTGGGTCCTCTCTTTTCCCCTTTTTGAAAATAGGGACAACATTTGCCCTCCTCCAGTCTGCCGGGACTTCGCCTGTTCTCCAGGAATTCTCAAAGATGACAGCCAGCGGTTCTGAGATCACATCTGCCAGTTCTTTTAATACTCTTGGATGCAGTTCATCTGGCCCTGGAGACTTGAATACATCTAAACTAGCCAAGTATTCTTGTACTATCTCCTTAGTTATTCTGGGCTGTGTTTCCTCTGCTGAATCATTTGCTCCAAATTCTTCAGGTCGGGCATTGTTTTCTTTATCGGCGAAGACTGAGGCAAAGAAGGCATTGAGGAGTTCAGCCCTTTCTGAGTCCCCTGTTTGCATTTCACCATCTTCTCCTCTGAGTGACCCCACTGTTTCTTTGTTCTTCCTTTTGCTACGAACATACCCATAAAAGCCTTTTTTGTTGCTTTTAACCTCTCTAGCAAGCCTGAGTTCATTCTGTGCTTTAGCTTTTCTGACTTTGTGTCTACACGTGCTGGCTATTTGTTTGAATTCCTCTTTGGTGGTTTCCCCCTTTTCCATTTTTGTACACATCCTTTTTAATCTTAACTCAGTTAAAAGTTCTTTAGATAGCCACCCTGGCTTCTTTAGGCACCTTCCATGTTTCCATCTCATTGGTATTGCCTGACGTTGTGCTTTCAGTATCTCCCTCTTAACAAACTCCCAGCCATCATGAACTCCCTTTCCTTTTAGTATTACTGTCCATGGGATCTCACCCAGCACTTCCCTAAGTTTTATGAAGTCGGCTTTCTTAAAGTCAAGAAATTGAGTCCTAGTATGCTTGGCTGCTCCTTTCCGCTGTATAGTAAACTTCAGAAGAGCATGATCACTCGCGCCTAATGATCCTTCCACTTCTACCCCACTAACCAGGTCATCCACATTGGTTAGGACCAGATCTAAAATGGCTGTTCCTCTTGTTGCTTCTCCCACTTTCTGGACAATGAAGTTGTCTGCAAGGCCAGTGAGGAATCTGTTTGACCTTATGCTCTTGGCTGAGTTTGACATCCAACAAATGTCCGGGTAATTGAAGTCCCCCATTACTACTATCTCCCTTCTTTTTGCATGCTTGGCCATCTGTTCCAGGAAGGCATCATCTATGTCCTCCGTTTGGCTTGGGGATCTATAGTAAACTTCCACAATGAGGTCACTGTTATTCTTCTCTCCCTTCATTTTGACCCAAATGCTCTCACTTTGGCTTTGAGGTTCTAAATCTTGGATCTCTTCACAGGTATACACATCCCTGACATATAACGCCACTCCTCCTCCTTTCTTGTCTGGTCTGTTTCTCTGAAATAGATTGTATCCCTCCATTATTACATTCCAATCGTGGGACTTATCCCACCAGGTTTCCGTGATGCCTATTATGTCATATTTAGTTTGCTGTACCAAGAGCTCAAGCTCATCTTGTTTATTTCCCATGCTTTGCGCATTAGTGTACAGACATTGAAGTCCATTAATCATTCCCCCCGTGTCTCTTATTTAAGGATTTTTCCTCCTACCACTAGGTCTGCATGCTGTTTGCTCCATTTGGTCTATGACATTTGGATGATCATCTTCATCAATTGATAGACTCCTACCTTCAGGAGCACTGTCTCCCTCCCCCACATTAGTCAGTTTAAAGCCCTCCTTTTGGTTGCCCTCCTCTGGACACGTTCCAGTTTGTCGGTGTCCTTCTTGAACTGTGGTGCCCAGAACTGGACACAGTACTCCAGGTGAGGTCTGACCAGAGCAGAATACAGTGGCACTATTACTTCCCTTGATCTAGATGCTATACTCCTATTGATGCAGCCCAGAATTGCATTGGCTTTTTTAGCTGCCGCATCACACTGTTGGCTCATGTCAAGTTTGTGGTCAAACTTGTAGATCCTTTTCACATGTACTGCTCTCAAGCCAGGTGTCACCCATCTTGCATTTGTAGAGCATAATGTCACCAGCATATTGCTGACAATGTACTCCAAACCTCTGGATGACTCCACTTAGCGTTTTCATGTAGATGTTAAATAGCGTAGGGGATAAAATTGAGCCCTCAGCAACTCCACATTGAAGCACTCCTCAAGAATCACGCTCTGGGAGTGACCATCCAAGTAGGAGCTGAACCACGGCAAAGCACTGCTACCTACCACTAAGACAGCTTATCCAGAAGGATACCATGGGATCAAAAACTGCTGAGAGGTCAAGGAGAAATATTTCTCCTGTCTCTCTCCTGAATATGGTCATTGTGCAGAGTGACCAAAGGAGTATCTGTGCCAAAAGTAGGCCTTCCTGCTAGTTTTTATCAGCCAAGATGGGCGAGGGTCCAGGGTGCAAGTAACTGCCCTGACCAATCCCAGCATCTTGTCTGCATCCTTGAGCCTCCAACTGAAATTCATCCAACACAATGGGACTACACTGTGCTCTGGACACCCCTTGAGATTCATCTGCTATCACAGCAGAGTCAAGTTCCTGGTGGATGCAAGCAATTTTATTCTCAAAATGCTTTGTAAACAAGTCACAGTGAGCTGCTGTCGTTTCTGCCACCTCCTTCGGGCCAAACTGTAACAGACCCTGCACTATCCAGATCAGCTCTGCTGAGCTGCGTAATGAGGATGCAATAGAGGCAGCAGAGTAAGGCTTCTTTTCAGCCTTTACTCACTGCCACTAGGCAGGCTTGATTATGCACCATCACCAGTGTTCGACTGCATTCAACCAGACTTTTCCTCCGTTTGCATTAGAGCCATCTCTAAGCTTGTTTCCTCGCCCTCAGCTCTGGAGTATACCAGGGAGCGTAACTGGGATTTGTGATGTTGCCTCTCCCCTTGATTCTAACAGGAAGAAGAATGCACACAACAGCTCTGGCGCTTGGGGTCCATGCCTGCCCCAGTCCCCCCCCCCTTTTTTTGCCTTTGCTGACATCGGAGGTTTCTGTGGTGGTGAGGAGCCTTAAGAGGTCTGATCTACATCTCTGAAGGGAGAGCTCTCTTTCTTTCTTTCTTTATTTCTTTTATTCAAAGTTATAACAAAACATATTTTCCAAAAACATATCCTTATTCCCCCCCCATTTTTCCTCTCCCCACCCCCCACAGAACCCATCCCCCCATCCCATCCCCGACTTCCCTCAGTTCCAGTCTTTGTTTTCTCCAATAATGCTATTTTCTTCATGTTACAGAGTTGTATAGATCCTCCAACTGTTTAGCTAATTATTATCAGTAAAAAATTGTGGATGTTTATTCAAAACCTGCCAAGGAGTCCAGTTCACTTTGTTGCGTCTTCAAATACTTTGTGAAAGGTTCCCATTCATCCTTAAAGTCACAGTTATCCTTGTCCCGTAGCTTATGTGTCAATTTTGCATAATCCATCAATTTTTCTTGCCATGATTCTTTAGTTGGGATTTCTTCAGTCTTCCATCCTTTCCAAAACTTGTAGGTCCTTTTAGTCTGTTCTTATTTTTAATCCCATGACCATAGTCTTGTTTTCCAAATCATAAATCCACAGGCAATTAAAGTTCCAATTCACAAGCAGCTGAGGCTTTGATTTACCACTCTTATTTGGAGAGCTCTCCAATTTCTTTTTGGGGCACTTTAGAATACTTTAGGATACTTGGGAAGCTGTTCCAGGCTCTTTTCCACTTTTACTTTGGAGGTTGCCTCCAGATGTGCAAGAGTTCCCTGCAGGCTTCCTGTCTTCCCCCTTTCTTCTTTAGCTCCTCCAAATTTTTATAAAATTTGCTTAAACCTCCAGCTGTGTAGATTTCCACTTATATCTCATTGGGTAACTGGATACAGTTAAAGTTGCAAGCCATTAGAATGTGACAATTCAGTCAGATTTAGCTGTAGCAATTCTCCATAGCAATAAACAAAGTCGAGTCCCATTCACAAAAAGAATCCCTTGCAGAGCCTGTCCGCAAACATTGGAGACTGACTTCCTCTTTTATCTCCGTCTCACCAAATTGAAGTTTTATGGTCTAATTACGCCTTTAAATTGTTTTATTGGCATTTACCTCTAATTAGGAAGGTCTGCTGCTTCTTGGGTGTCGGAATGTAGCTTTGGCAGGGGCCGCGATGGTGCCTTGAAGCGTCCTCAAGCCTCTCCCCCTTTCCTCCCGTGTGCTAAACAGGCACTGGGGGGGCCGGGGGCCGAGAAATTTCACTTTGCAGGAACCCTTGGGTCCCCACACTCCTGTGGGAGTTTTTTGGGGGTGCGCTGAGCTCTGGCACTGCCCTCAAAAGCCTTTCTGCCAGCTCCGTGTCGCAGCCGACACTTAGCACACCGACATTCCTTTCCGCAGCAGCCGGAAGTCCGGGAGAGCTCTCTTTCCACCTTGTGAGAGAGATCCAAAACACCCTTTGGCCCTAGGGACTCTTTAAGATTTTTGCTGAAGAGAGTTTCTAGCTCAGTGGATTAATAGGGAAGAGACAAGTTGCAAGATATTCTCTCTCTCTCTGTCTGAAAGTTCAAAAACTTGAGCAAATTTAATTTATCATTTAAGGACAGTTAAGAACAGTTTTCCTTAGCTGGTTTTGCTTGTTTGCTTAAAAATGTAAGCCTTATAAAGCATTACTCACATGTAGGGAATGTCCCATGTTGTCGATGGAGTGGGGCTGTGCTTTTAGCCCCACAGGAAGGTTGTCGTCTTGGAAGTACTGTGTGTTACATGTAAATTGGCAAGAAATTGGTGGCCCAGCATATTAAAAGCAAACCTGGCACTGAGGATGGTAAAGGCATATACATAATATTACGAATTGCATGTAGCAAAGGTAAACCCTACCCAACAATAGCATCTGACTCCTTAAAGATTATCCACAAGGGAATGCAGCCCATGGTAGAAAAAAGGTTCCTCACTCCTGATATAGAGGCTAGAATAAGAATGTGTTTTAAGAAATTAGTGTTTTCTATAATCCCCTGCCCCCCTGCCAAAGTGACTATGGCACAAACCATCTGCTTCAGAGTTCCTGTCACTATTGTATGTCCATCTAGATACAGTGTTTTTTTTTGGGGGGGGGTAATCATAAAAAATGTTTCATTGTATTTCTGTTGCTAGCTTCATGTGTGCCAGTTATTCTGGGCCAGTGAGGGTAGTCACTTAAGATGTACCCTTACACAGCAAAAGTGGGCAACCTATGGCCCATAGACTGAAGAATTTGTCGATAACAGCTTTTATTTAGAACAATACTGTAGCAGCAAAAAGCACCCTGTTTGCAACCTTTTTAGTTCCAGAGAGTAGTTTAGAAGTTAAACAATACAAGTTTAAAGAAGCCAACATTTAAGTTCTGACTGTTGAGGGTTCACATCTTTCCTTTAAAAAATGATTCAAACATTTCAGCTAGCACAGAAACATTACTAAACCTGGGAATTCCCGTTTATTGAAAAAATACATTAGGTTTCACTGTACCATGCAGTGGCTGCTTCTTTAGCGGGGGAAGTTGGTTGCTGGATAGTTCCCCCACCCACAGTGGTTCTTGTTTTTTTGTAGCGCTAGTTTGTCTTTCCTGGTGCTTGCACCTGCCTGCATTTTTCAGTGCTTCCAAATTCAAATATGACACTTTCAATTTTTAAGTTGACCAGCGCTGTGGCAGTATGCAATTGTAGCTCCAGTGAGACTGTTTGTATTTTTCCTTGTGCAGAATGATTGTCCAACTATTGAATAACCTTCAGAGGTGACATTTTCCCCAGTAAATTAAAAAATAAAAACCAGGAATCCTTGGTGAAAGTAGTCTTTCCCAAATTTACCGAGTAGTATTTGGATCAGACCCATCTAATCTAATACTCTGTCCTCACAGCCGCTAACCCAGTGCCTCTGCTCTCCAGCAACTAGAATTCAGGGGTATCCTGCCTGCAGCGCTGGAGGTAGTCTGCAGCCACGTCAGATGCCATAATTTATTGCCACAGCAGGGTCTTTTTCAGCAGGCTGGTAAGGCAGCTTATCAGTATTACCCTACATACTACTGAAGTAAGCTGAGGCTGAGCGAGTGGCTTACCTAACTCACTCAGTGAGTTTATGGCTGGGATGAGTGTTGACTTCCTGGCTCATGCACAACTGTTTACCTATCTATCCTTCTCCCATTAAAACCCACATTCAGCTGAAATGTGTATCACCCTGTTTGTTTCTAATTCCTTGAGCCCTGACCACAAAAAGTTTACTCCTTTCCTGATGTTGATCCTAAAGGCTATTCCTCAAACAGCATTCAGTGCTCTCTACAACAGAGACTGGGATGACACACCTTTCAGCTCAGCTGGTAGCATGAATGGGGAGTTCCCAGAGACTGAAGACAGCAGCTATTTTGGAGGGGAGGGAAACCCCTCTTACATCAGAAGGCAAGAATCTCTATGAATAGCAAGAAGGAGGCAGATTGAGGTGCTGGGAATGTGGATCTGAGACTTTCAAAGAGCAAAACATTTAACCCTTGTATTGGCTTGATACTTAGAGCATTTCATTCTACTGTGCTCTAGTGCTGCGTCTTATACAACTGGCTCTGGAATCCCTGCCTGGCACAGATTACAAGTGACCTAGATAATGCCAGCTGGACCAGCGTCTCCCTTTCTGAGCATCCCTTCCTGCCTCAGCTGCTGCCAGAGTGACCCTAAAAAATCTGTGAGGCCAAGGCTTCCAGCATCACCAATAATAATATAATAATAATTTTTTATTTATACCCCGCCCTTCCCAGTTTAAAAACCACGCTCAGGGTGGCTAACAGCAAATATAAAACATTGATTAAAATGCGACTTAAAAACAGCATAAAATGCAGCATCAATATCAATAAAATTCTAAAATTTAACCTGGCATCCTTCTGTCCAAGGTTTTTTCTAGGCCAGCCCAAGGATTCCTTGTCTGGCACAATTCTGTTGCTTGTACTTTAATCTATATCCCAATTAATCAAAATCCTACCATTTATTAATTTATAGAATTTAGGGAGGTCCCTCCCAAATCTATAACAATATATTACGAGAAATGTGCATGAATTGCATGCAACTTTTCATGTGAACTTCCTCCCTCCCTCCCTTTCTTTGCAAACTTATGAAGAAATGGGGCAAACCGAACTTAAAATTGGGAAAAGAAAAAACAGTGAGAAATGGAAGTGATAGATTTTCCTATCCCAACAGTGAGTTGTGTTATAACTGTTACGCTTGCTTGCATCAGAGGTAGTTTCAGAGAGCGTCAGAGCTGGCTTCAAAGAGAGAAATTATGGGGAAATCATGGAAATTTGACTTAGTCGCTACATCCACATAAAGCTCAATAGTTCAGAGTCTCTCTCACACACATACAGGTTTAATCCACTCAATCACAAATGTTCCATAGTTATTTTACTTCTTTGGGGGGAAACAGTTTGGAAAACATTACTGAGGAAAACTCCCTCAGTGCTCGCTGATGTAGAGTGACTGTATACCCTGCTAGAATTACAGCTGTTCTGTAATTATTTATAAAGCTATTGCCACTTTATAAATTATATACCATGCTCCTTTTTATTTTTGTCTTAATAAGTTTGTATTAATTCTGTACAGGAGTTTGAGCTATTACAATATCTCAGCTGTTGCGTATTCTTTGTTATCAATATTTCATGTTGTATTTATTAAACTGGTATTAAAAATGACCCGGGTATCCTAGATATTGCCAGAGGTTATAATACATATTGCCAGAGTGTAACGGAGAGGCTCCGTCACATGGATGCATCTACTCAGGACTTCCTGTGGTGTGAGCAAATTGTTATAAAGCCCTCCAGAGTCCTCCATATGTTGCTGGATTCGAACTCCATTCATGGCCACTGGACATGCTAGCTGGGCTGATAGGCGTTGGAATTCAACAACATCTGAAAGACATCATATTGGCCACACCTGATCTAGAGTATGGGCTGATAGGTGCCTGGTAAAAACAAGCGTTTGACCAGGACACTTGAAAGGATACATTTTGTAGAAAAATATGTATCTGTGTGTGTCTGTGTGTTTTTGATACTATTCTTCAATACTATTCTCAAATGATAATAGCACACTCTGGCAATACCATGCAGATCTCCGCAGGGAAAGAAGCAATACAACCCAGAGGAGGAATAAACTTCTTGTGTAATTTTTTTTTTACTGAGGATGTTGGTGGGCATTATTGTCCATCTGGTGACACTCTGAAATGTAATCCTACATTAGAACAAACATACGGTAGTTTAAGCATGAAGTATTTATTTCCAATGAAAAATATGTTAACTCCCATCTTCTCCCTAGTACAGACAGTGACTGGTTTAGGAACGTTGGAGATAATATTAGTATTGGCTTTAATTTCATATTCATGACCTTCTGTTAATGTCTTGGGGTGACTTTTACAATAACAAAATCTTTCTATGTATCTTAGGGTTTCTTCATGCAACCATCTTGTCTGCTTTGTGTAGGGTGCCATATTTCAAAAAGTGAAAATCTGGACACAAACGTTGTTGAGCTTGTTTTGTTTTGGCAGAAAAAAGTAAGTTTTTGAGCTATTTTGGGGGGAATTCACAAAAAAAAATCAACACTTCCGATATGGGCTGCCATATGCCCGGATTTTGCCAGACATTCTAACTGATTTCTGAAAATTCTGCCTGGATGCTCTTTTTGGCAGACACATCCTAGATACATCCAGGAAATTCTGGACGTATGGCAGCTCTAGCTTTGTGAGATACATGTAAAGCATGACCTTACATTCCTTTTTTAAAAAAAATTTTTTTTATTGATTTTCCAATAAAAACAGCCAATCAACATATCCGCATCATAATCTTTTTTTAAAAAGTTTTTTATTTATACAACAAGAAAAACAAACAAACAAAAAACATAAATACCAAATTACACACAACTTACAAAAATAACCATAGACACATAATATTCTTAGCAAACAATAAAACATCTATTGGTCTTAACACTAAAGACCCAACCTCCCGTCTATTCCATACTTCAAATTCATATTACTTATTGCCAATACATATTTTTTTTCATAATTAAACTTATTCTCATTAAATCTAATTTCTTATATCTACCTTGCAACTATTACTGAAGTTCCTCAAATGCTGAAACAGAATTTAAACTACTATATTTATTTTTCAGATATTCTTTAAAAACCTCCCATTTAGAAACAAATTCCTATCCGCATCATAATCTAATTAAAAACAATAAACTAAAATTTTAAAAATGACCAAAGACCTTACATTCTTTATACTCCAGTGGCCATGTGTCCACAACCCACAGTCTATTATAGGTCCTATTAAAACATCTGCCGAAAGCATTAACATATTAATTAAATGTTTATAAATGGAGTTAACAGAGTTAAAGTGTTGACAGTAGTGAACACTGGAGTCTCTAATGAACACAACTGATACTTAAAATTAAGTGTCCCTCACCCTTGACTGATTCTCAAGTCTGTAGGCAGTGTTGTGCAATTTGTGTGTAGGCAAAACTGAGAAGCTTTGTGTATGTGTGTCAGAGAGAGACCAAGGGTGGCACAGAGAAATGGACCAAAGAAACGCATGCTGTGCATTCTCATGACAGCTTCAAGGAGCTGAGTAGCATCTCAGAGTCTGGGCTCAAAGAGTCTCATAGTACTTGAGGTTTTGATGTTGAGTCTCTTAAGACTGTTCTAGTATTATTTCTCCTGCCTCATCAAAGTCAGCCCTCTGACCGATGAGCACTTGCCATTCTGCCCCACTAAGGAAGTGAAAGCTTTATTGCTTTGGTAGGTGCTGGAACTGAACTCGGGCAGGAAATACAACTGGGTTAAAGGTTAATGTCAAACCTTTCTGCTCTGCCATACGTCTAAGCTAGTTTCAAGCCACCTTACATGTTTGCAGAAATGGTGTGGAGGAGGGGCATGGTTTAAATCAGAGGTAGTCAACCTTTTTATACCTACCGCTCACTAATGCATCTTTCTTGATGGTAAAATTTCTTTACCGCCCACCAGGGCTTGATGGAAGGAGGATTCAGCTTGTGCGTAGAACCCGCCCACCGAGAATCCTGAAACGCCCACTAGTGGGCGGGAGGGACCAGGTTGACAACCCCTGGCTTAAACAGAACAGGTTAGGTTTGATAGTGCTGAGATACCACCATGAGTTTCTCTTAGAAATTTTGGTGAATCAGTTAGGATGACTCTGCTCTTCTCCACATTGAGGTTTGGAGCTCTCAGCCACATTGACAAGCGCCTCTTCCATAAGCACAACTTTAGAAACAAGTAAAAAGAAAGTTTTTGGTGTACTTTCCCCAAGTCCATAGTATACAACCATCAACATTAGCTTGTGAATTTATTTTTAGAACACAAAGATTAATACCATCTTGGGGAAGATTTAGCAAGAAATTCCACAGAATTTTTAAACTAATGAAGCCAACTGTCAATGTATTTTTATTTAGGAAAGTTTTATTTAGGAAAATGGGGCAGAGGATAAAGGAAACAAATCACATAGACTTCCAAATAAAACAAGGAAGTCAGTTAAGATTAGCTAGTTGCATCTTACCTACTTAGGCTTCAGAGCTTAATTCCTTTCAGAAAAAAATGGTCTGAGAGAGGGTTAGTCCCTTTGGTTAACCCAAGCATTTAACTGATCTGCGTAGTTCCCAAGGAGATAAAAGGCTTTGGGGTGATTCACACTAGTAAAAGCCAAGCTACTTCCTTAGAATGTGGTGTGGACCAATGATAGAAGGAACTTTATTGTTGATATCAGGGAACAAAGGAGCCCATGAGAAAGTTACTTGGAGATTGTTCCACCATTCTAACAGATTTGCATTTCGAACATAAAAGAGCTAGCCAGGGGTCAGCAAACTTTTTCAGCAGGGGGGCCCTTGTGGGGGGCTGGACTATATTTTGAAAAAAATAAATGAACAAATTTCTATGCCCCACAAATAACCCAGAGATGCATTTTAAATAAAAGGACCCATTCTACTCATGTAAAAACATACTGATTCCCGGACTGTCTGTGGGCCGGATTTAGAAGGCGGTCGGGCCAGATCCAGTTCCCGGACCTTAGTTTGCCTACCCATGAGCTAGCCAGACCACTCCAACTATTGGAAAAAAGGATTAAACTGGAAAAGTTGATGGAAAATAAAACTGAAGAATTGCTTCCATGCTGGGGTCAGTAGGGGTCTAGATTCCCAGATGAGTAGGCTCTGGTCTACTCAGGCTCAGAGGGCTTGGTACAGGGCATTCATACATCAGTACAGAAAGATACTGACTGTGGATCGGGGCCCCTGCATCCCCTGCCTTGCAATCTGTGGACAAGAGCTGCTGCTTTTATGCATCTATTAACTTACCCTAGCCTACCTCACAGGGCTGTGCAAATATAAAGGGTGGTGGGAACACATGTAATCTTGAGCTCCTGGGTGGAAAAAGAAGGTACGAATATATGCCACACAGCCCATAGTGAAACTATGGAATTTGCTCCCCCAGGAAGCAGTGATCGCCACCAATGTGGATGGCTTTAAAAGACGATTAGACAAATTCATGGCTACTAGCCATTGCTATGCTGTGCCTCCATGATCGGAGGCAGTATTTTTCTGAATACCAGTTGCTGGAACTAAGGGGGCAGTGCTATTGTGCTTCTGCCTTGCTTGCAAGCTTCTCACAAACATCTGGTTGGCCACTGCAAGACGGTGAAGCTGGACTAGATGGGCCATTGGCCTGATCCAGCAGGCTCAATGTCATTCACAAATCATATAAACAAAGCCAGAAAAAACAGCCTCATTGTGCTAACTGCAGTGTTTCATATTCCTGATACTTACAGTAAAAAACTCAAACAAACCAAAGGTTTGCCAGTCCAGAAAATAATAACAAACAAAAACCACTCCTAATTATGTGCAGTTTCACAACTTCAGTGTCTGAACAACAAATTCTCAGCCTCGTCTACGTTGTGAATATAAAAAGGGAGAGGAGAAGACAATGTACACAGCCTTGAGGAATTTAGGAGGAAAAATAAGCTACAAGTATGCAGCAATAGGGAGCAACAAATATGTAGAGTTTCACAGCTCTCAGCCACACACCCCTCAAAAATACACATTTTGCCAACCTTAAACAAAAATCCTTAAAGTACACTCTCTGTGGGGTAGAGAGGCTGCAATATCACAATGTTTTTTCAGTAGGAAGGAAATCTCCTTTATTTCAAGGGAGTTACTTCTGAGTAAAACATACCAAAGCTAACCAGTTGTGTTTTATTCTGTAAAGGCAGTAGACTTGAGGAACGACATAATGTGGATATGAGCATAGTGCTTAAACAAATATACCCCAGTATCTGCTCCATCCAGCTTCTCCTGTTGCTCCGGGAGGGTCCCCTTCTTGTGTCCTAAGTGGAGGTGGTCAGCATTCCTTCCTCAGGTTGCTTAGCAACAGTGATTAAGTGATTGGGCATCCTTAGCAATAGATGTGCTAAAGCATTAGAGTAGTCTTCACACTCAGTTTTATGATTTTCTTTGGAAATTCTTGTTTGGTTTTTTTAAATAAAAAAATGAAAGCTAATAGACTGGACCCTCTATTGGCATGGAGCCTTCTTTATTTGTACTCCCTGTACCCTCCTGTCAGCAGCCCTGCAGGGAAGTTAAAAGAGATCAGGCCATTTAATGTGAATCATAGCCATGCTAGTTCTTTCTTCAGAAGGAAAGCACTGCTGTTTGATGCAGTGATGCTTCTGAATGCCACTCATTGCAAGAGTGGAGAGTGCTGCTGCACTCAAGTTCTGCTTGCAGGCATCCCATAGACATCTGGCTGGGACTGTTTAACACAAATTGTATACTACTTAATCATCAAAATTTCTAAACAGTTTACATAACCAGATTTCATCAGTATTTTAAATTTTAAGTTATATGCAAAATTTGTTGCTATTGTATAATAGAAAATTCTATTACTATTATTTTTTAAAAAAAATAGCAATAAAATCAGTGTTTAAAGCATTTGGAACTAAAAAATTCAAAATATAAAAACTTCAGTTTTTAAAATATACATAATAAAAATACTTGTCCAGTTCAGTCATCTTGTCTCACACAAGGGTTGGCTTGAAGCGGCTCCTGTGCCGCTGCCAGGAATATTGTATAACCAACATTGGAACTGAACTTTGCAAAATCTAAAGTGCTTGTTTTCTCAAGATCTTGGAAGCCTCATAGGTGGGAGATCAGTGGAAAGCCATTGGAATGGGTTAAAAACTTTAAATACCTAGGCATCCACTTCCAATATAACACTTTCTGGAAATACAATTGTAAGCTTGCACTTAACGGAGCAGATACTCTAATGTAAGCACTGATAACTGGGAAACACGGCCCTGTGAGCACTCCAACTGGAGAACAGCCTTTATCAAAGGTGTCATGGGCTTTGAAGACTCTCAGACTCAGGGCAAAAGGGAGAAATGAGCTAAGAGAAGGCACCTTTGGCAAACCCTGACCGTGATCAACTCCCACTCAGAAACCTATGTCCCCACTGTGGAAGGATGTGTGGATCTAGAATTGGCCTCACAAGTCACTTACAGACTCGCTGTTCATGGAATCTTACTCAGCTACGAGTGATCATCAAAGAAGAAAGAAGAAGAGGAATGCATCCAATCCAAATTTCTGTGCAAAATCCCGGGGCTGCCAAATTGTGTGCCATATGCAGCCATGTTTCTGGAAACTGGACAAGGGCTGCTGGGAACCAAAGCGTGGCTCACCGCTATAAAATTCTGGCTCCGCCTACATTTCATGTCCAACCTGTCGCCTTTAATTTTCAACATGCTGACAGAATGCCACCACTCCAAATGGTTAGCTTGCATTGAGAGCAAAATCAAAACCTGTGGCCTATCACTCAAGTCGCTGCTTTTGCTCCCACAGTTGGAAGCATTCCAGACAATCAAGCGCAGAATCCTAGAGACTGAATTCCCAACCCTCAGCAGCGCAGGCAATAAAATCTGTTCCCCATTGGGGTTGGGAATTCCACCCTCGTTTGGCCAGGACACTCTCTGTTTACATCACCTTTACAATTCTCACCTACGCAGAACTCTTTCCCTCACAAGATGTAACATCTTACCAGCTGCAATTTTGCAAGGTAGATTTTCAGAAATCCCATATTCTGAAAGATACTGCCCTTGTGTCACAAAACAGGTCGAATCCATCACACACGTTTTATTTTATTGCCCATTTTATATAAATATATGATAATTATTTGGCCCCCTTATTGAAGGATGGGATTTATTGCACTGACTCTTCCAAGGTGTCTTATCTGCTGAATAATTGAAGGAATGACATTGTGGAGAATGTGGCAAGATTTTTGAGTGACGCCATGAAATTACATTACCATGGGTCCTAAGAGTCATTTTCGTACCTCATGATGTCTAGACAGTTTTATCCTAAAATATCTCCTGCTATATTTCGTTTATTGTGTTGTGTTCCGATCTATGTATACGATGCACTTTCTCTGTGCCAGTAAAGGAGATTGATTAACATGTCCAATGTACGTGTATGGGTAGGCTTGCCTAAACAAAAAACTGCTTTAGCAGGTGCATAATAATAGGGTAACACTTGGCATTGCTGAATGCTGACTTGCGTTCCTGGCTTGTTCAGAATTGTAAACATGAAACTTAACTAATTTACATGATACATCATCTGATACGTTATTTTACTTTTCTGTTGAAAAAAAAATTTATAATAAATAGTACCTGTGCCCCAGCTAAAAGGCAGGATGCTGTTGTGTGCCAGGGGCTTGTGGTCTAATACAAGCTCTCTGAGGAAGTGGCTGGGTTCCTGCTCATAAGTGGAGTCTAACTGGTTGGGTGACTGCCAGATATCAGCAAGGACTCCCCCTGCCTCCTCCCTTCACTATACCACATGAAATTAAAATAGCAGTTTCCAACCCGCTTTGGCAGTTGCAGGAGTTCCCAGAGTTATTTAATTTAGTACACAGACTGCAAGTGTATCTGTCCATGTGCCTTAGTGAATGAATCTTCAGTGAAGATTTTGCCAGAATGCATGAAGAGGAGGATAGCTGTGTTGATGTGCTAACCACTCAGTGCTGTTTTGCTAACACTGAAAGGAAAAACAGATTATCATAGCTTACAAAGATGAAACCATTGCTGAACTGTACCACCACCTCTGATATTAGTGGAAATTCAGCTGTATTCATCTGGTATAGCCAGAGATGGATAGCTCTCTTTCATGTGCCACCATTACCGTTTTGAGAGCACAGCAGGCTGTCTTCCATTTGTGAACAAGCAACATCCCCTCTCTGTAGTCTTGCGTGATTTCTGGTTTTTTTTTTTTTAAATGATATTTATTAAGGTTTCAAAAGAAGGATACATAAATAAAAAGAGAAAAATAGAAAAAAGAAAAATACAAAATACAAAAAAAAAAAACAATTAAAAACAATTCCATCATTTCATCACTTCTCTTTCATTTACTTGTTTCCCGGACCTCCTCATACCTCCCTTTTTTGTATTCCAGTTCAATTTATTAGTCCAGCAATTCCTTTCCCTCCTTTTTAATCCTGATCCTTAATCTTAATATATTATAGCATTAGGTTTTTACGTATTGAAAATCCAATTTTTCCATATTCTTTTATACCATTACAGCTAGAAACCACTTAACTTCAATCCAACATCATTCTAACATTCATTAATTTTACAATATTTCTGTAAGTAGTCTTTAAATTTCTTCCAATCTTCTTCCACCGACTCTTCTCCCTGGTCTCGGATTCTGCCAGTCATTTCCGCCAATTCCATGTAGTCCATCATTTTCATCTGCCATTCCTCCAGTGTGGGTAGGTCTTGTGTCTTCCAATGCTTTGCAATAAGTATTCTTGCTGCTGTTGTGGCATACATAAAGAAAGTTCTGTCCTTCTTTAACACCGATTGGCCGACTATGCCCAGGAGGAAGGCCTCTGGTTTCTTCAAGAAGGTATATTTAAATACCTTTTTTAATTCATTATAAATCATCTCCCAGAAAACCTTAATCCTTGGGCACGTCCACCAAAGGTGAAAGAATGTACCTTCAGTTTCTTTACATTTCCAACATTTATTATCGGGCAAATGGTAGATTTTTGCAAGCTTGACTGGGGTTATGTACCACCTGTATATCATTTTCATAATATTCTCTCTTAAGGCATTGCATGCCGTAAACTTCATACCTGTGGTCCACAACTGTTCCCAGTCAGCCATCATTATGTTATGTCCAACGTCTTGTGCCCATTTAATCATAGCAGATTTCACCGTTTCATCCTGAGTATTCCATTTCAACAGCAAGTTATACATCTTTGACAAAATCTTAGTTTTGGGTTCTAACAATTCTGTTTCTAATTTTGATTTTTCCACCTGGAAGCCGATTTTCTTGTCCAAATTGTATGCCTCCATTATCTGATAATAATGAAGCCAGTCTCGCACTTTGTTTTTAGTTTTTCAAAACTCTGCAGTTTCAATCTATCTCCATCTTGTTCCAAAATTTCCCAATATTTCGGCCATTTGACCTCCATATTGAGCTTTTTCAGAGCTTTTGCTTCCATCGGTGACAGCCACCTTGGGGTTTTATTTTCCAATAAATCCTTATATCTTATCCAAACATTAAACAATGCTTTCCTGACAATATGGTTTTTAAATGCTTTGTGTGCTTTGACCTTATCATACCACAGATATGCGTGCCATCCAAATACATTGTTAAAGCCTTCTAGATCCAAAATGTCAGTGTTTTCAAGAAGCAGCCATTCTTTCAACCAGCAGAAAACTGCTGATTCATAATAAAGTTTAAGGTCTGGCAGGGCAAATCCACCTCTTTCCTTTGCATCTGTTAGTATTTTAAATTTTATTCTGGGCTTCTTGCCCTGCCAGACAAATCTAGAAATATCTCTCTGCCACATCTTGAAACAGTCCATTTTGTCCACAATTTGCAATGTTTGGAACAAAAACAGCATTCTAGGCAATACATTCATTTTTACTGCAGCAATACGACCCAGCAGTGAAAGCTTCAAATTTGACCAAATTTCTAAATCTTTTTTCACTTCAGCCCAGCATTTTTCATAGTTATCTTTAAATAAGTTCCCATTTTTTGCTGTCATGTTAATCCCCAGGTATTTAACTTTCTTAACCACTGTTAAACCTGTCTCATTCTGAAACCTCTCTCTCTCCATTGGTGTTAAATTTTTCTCTAAAACCTTGGTTTTTAACTTATTCAATTTAAACCCTGCAACTTGACCAAATTCTTGAATCAGTTCTAAAACCCTTTTGGTACTAGATTCTGGCTCCTGTAACGTCAGTACTAAGTCATCTGCAAATGCTCTCAATTTGTACTGTTTGGCTCCGACCTGTATACCTTTAACCAACTGGTCCCTTCTTATCATATTCAGCAGAACCTCCAGGACCGATATAAAAAGCAATGGGGAGATTGGGCAACCTTGTCGTGTCCCTTTTCTATCTTAAATTCTTCCGTCACCACATTATTTACAATTAATTTAGCCTTTTGTTCCGAATATATTGCACTTATACCATTTTCAAAACCTTGGCCTACCCCCATACCCTGTAGGTTTTTTTTCATAAAAGTCCAAGAAACATTGTCAAAAGCTTTCTCCGCGTCCACAAATATTAAAACTGCCTTAGTATTTATATTCACTTGTAATTTTTCTAAAATATTAATTATGTTTCTCATATTATCAGATAGATGTCTTCCTGGGAGAAAGCCTGCTTGGTCCTTGTGTATCTCTTCCACTAAGACTCTTTTTAATCTTTCTGCACTGCTCTGGGAGAAAGAAAGCAACGTGATCTTCCAAATGCTGCTTCTCCAGCTTTATCTACAAACAGCTTGAATTTCTGCTGCAGTAATTATAGCCTGAAGATCTAGGCACTTCCTTTGGAAGACCTCCCATATTTTTCTTTATCATAGCTGCCAGATTCCCCTCCCTGTGAGGAAAAGGGAGAGGTGGGTGGGGGGGTTGGATGGAGGAGGCCTTTGTATTAGATCTACCTGTGTGAATTTTGTGGTCTGCAGTGTCCTGTATCTTTCCATGTTCTAGGAATAGATTTCCTGTATGAATATTGTGCTGATCTACTTATCAAATCTGGACAAAAATTAGTGCCTAAGCATCAGTCTCAGGATTTTCTTCATCCCTTCAGGACTGAAGAGAGAGCTGCAGGTAGCTAAGTACTTGGGTGTCTGAGCAAATTTGCAGCCCTATTTCAGTCTCTGGAAGTTACCATATTTTTTGCCCCATAGGGTGCACCTAATTTTTTTGGGGGGAAATAAAGAAAAAAAATATATTTACCCCCCCAGGCACCGGGCTAGCCCGAGCTTCCCCCGACCCCAGCCCCCGGAACAGGCTGCTATCCGCAAGCCTAGGGAGCCCGGCAGGAAGTCGCGCCGGTCTCCCCAGGCTTGCGGAGAGCTGCCTGAAGTCTGGGCTCCAGGCTTCGGGATGCAGGCAGCTCTCCGCAACCCTGGGGAGACTGGCGCGACTTCGCGCCGGGCTCCCAAGGGTTGCAGAGAGCTGCCCGAAGCCCGGGGCATGCTCCGCTGCGCTCCCCAGGTTTCGGGCTGCAGGCTGCTGTCCGCAAGCCTTGGGAGCCTGGCGGGAACTCCCGTGGGCTCCCCAGGCTTGCGGATAGCTTCCTGAAGCCTGGAGAGCGAGAGGGATGGGTGCGCACCGACCCCTCTCGCTCTCCAGGCTTCAGCGAAAGCCTGCATTCGCCCCATAGGACGCACACACATTTCCCCTTCATTTTTGGAGGGGAAAAAGTGCGTCCTATAGGGCGAAAAATACGGTATTTTCTTTGAGCTGCTGCTGCCTGTTACTTCATCTTCTTTGCCAGAGCAGAAAAGTTTTAACAGGGGGTGAACCAAGCTCTTGAAGAACCAAGCCTTGTAGTTCCTCATCGTTATGTCCTCCCTCTGAACAGTCAAATGGAGGGTGGGGAGCAAAAAAAACCCCAACCCTGGTTTTTTAGCAGGGGAGAATGGAACATCAGCTATATAAAAAAAGCAGTAAAACATTTTCTGTACTAATTTTCTGTATGGGGCTGTACTCTTATATGATTTTTTTTTTCACTTTCAAAGATGAATAGAAAGGCAGTGATTTAGGGCTGGTGTTTATTTACATTGTTTTTGTTGGGGAAAAATGTGTTCAGTTCTTCCAATACAGGAGTATGTTGTCCTAAAGAAGGCCTTCCTGGTGCCCAGTACAATGGCTTCATATTAACAGTGCAGGAGATGTCTGCAATAAATCTTAGGAATTTTTGAGGCTCAACCCATTAATAGCCCATAATCATTTTGTGCTACACCAGAGAGCTCAAATTTCTTGTTTCTATCTACTGAATCCCCAGTAGACTGAGACTGTGCTCCCAAAAGATGTGATGGGTGGGTGTGCTTTATAAGTGTTGTTTTGGCTCTGTGCTGACTGTAGCTGTAGTTGGATGAATCGTTCCAGTGCTTTTTTCTTTTAAAATGTTTAGGGGTACTCTCATTTTCCTACTCATATTGAAATACTGCCTCTCAATGAGGCCAAACTTAGATTCACAAAATGTTTAGGGATATGTGTACCCCTGCGTCCCCCCCCCCCCAGAAAAAGAGCACTGACTTCACCCATACATCCTTTATCTATTTTGCTCTGAGGCATACTTAGAACTAATGTGAGCTTTTCTTTCCCTTGCAGGGAAGAAAGATCTGAGGACCAAGACTTACAGAGTCCCAAGGATAAGTCGCCAAAAGCCAAAAAATTCAAAAAGGAGCGGAAAGAGGAAAAGCAGCATGAGCTTGCACAGCCTTCTGCAGAACCAGCTGAAGCAGGCAAGGCAGAGATGTCGGAAGGAGCTGGGACTGCTCCAGCTGTACCCGAAGCCTCTGCGTCTCCAAAACAGCGCCGTTCTGTCATCCGGGACCGTGGGCCGATGTATGATGACCCCACCTTGCCGGAAGGCTGGACCCGCAAGCTTAAGCAGAGGAAGTCTGGTCGCTCAGCGGGGAAGTATGACGTCTACCTTATCAAGTGAGTGACAGTGGAGGATGTGTATTGCTCACAACATGTACTGCTTTTCAAGGCTTAAATTGAAATCAGTGCTTAGGTCTAGTTCCAGAATTTGATTTGTGCCATGCTTCAGCCCTGGAACATGTGGCAAGAAGTGCCTCTGAGCATGTGCAATGCCTTCTTCTCACCAGTAAGTAACCATAACTAGTCCCCACACTCTCTGGCCTTCAGGTCTGGGAGCATAACTTGCAGACCATAGCTCTTGCTGAACATTTGCTTGTTGTGAGCTCAACTAGTTGGTACTTTAATTCTATTGAATCCCACAGTGTGAGTGTATGTGCATTTTAACTCCCCTGTACCATTTCAGATTGCAGGTGAAGTTAACGTCATTTTCCCCTTAACATTTACCTTCCTTACATTAATAATTTCCTAAAAATGGAAAATTAGTACAGCTGCCAAAGTCTCTAAAAACCTACTGACAGCCTAAGCATACTTTCTGCTTTGTGTTACTTTTGAAAAACTAATTTTGAATCCATGCACTGAATGAAGGGGAAGTTTCAGCCATCGTCATTTGATTAAAAAAGGTAACATTTTTCTTTTTCCTCATGTTTGCCTGAAAGCATTAGAAAGACCACCTGCATCCATTTTCTCATAAAATCTCTGCTCATTCCCCATCATAGGGCTCAAGCACAACTCTATTTGCTCTGCTGCTTCCCTTGAACTGAATCAGACCAAATGGCAATCAGGTTTTCTGTGGAATGTCATTTGTTCTGATTCAGTGGTAAAGAACGTGTCTTCCAGGGGAAAGCTGCAGAGCAAATGTAAAACTGCTTGGACCTGTGCCTAGAAAGCACAGGATAAGTGGAAAACCGCTCAGACCCATCCTTTTCAGGCATGGGACAAGCGAAAGTGTGGATGAGCCCCTAGTTGCAAGACTAGGATTCTAAGTCCACCATCAGGCTCAGCATACATAGGAAGCTCAAGCCATAATAATTGGTCTCTGTAGCCCAGTATTGTCTGTGCAGACTGGCAGCAATTCTCCAAGGTGCTTCCCAGCTGAAGATGATGTGATAGCACCCAGGGCAGTGGCTAGACAGATTTCTCAGTGAGATTCATGAGCAGGGTTATCCCTGTTATCTAGCAGTGGAGACTGCACATCGTTAAATCCAGCAGCTAGCCTTCCTGTGACATTGCACACGAAACACATACACACACACACCATTTTAGAAGAAGCTAAATTTACCCAGCAGTGATTGGCTGTCCACTGTGACAGTCAGGAAACCACTTCCCTCTCCCACTGAATTTAAAGTGGGAAGAAAGAAGGGATAGGCCTGAAATAATAAAGCATCAGATAAACTTTTTTTAATCAGATAATATACCAGGTGTTTGTAGGGAAGAAACCCCAAAACAAAATTAACAAACTAGCTGTCACTCTCCTTCCACCACCACCACCCCGCCCCCTCCAGATGCCAGGTACAGAAGCAAAAGTGAGGAGAAACAGAGCCTAGCCTACAGAAAAGCAATCAAACGACCTCACACCCTACTTCTTTCTTAAGTATGTTTGTTACCAATCTGATGGATTTATTGGACACCTCCATAAATGTTTGATTTATTCAGTTAAGTACCGAGCATGTACAAGGTTGTCCACTACAGGGTTTTGTGCACCTTCCTCAAAAGCAGAGACTTTTTCAAGTCAGGAAGTAAACTTGAAGTATGCATTTGTAGTGTAATTCCATTAATTTTCCTTCTGTTCTTCCTCCCCTCTCCCTTTTTCTTTTTGTCCTTTTTCATATCTCCGGCTCTTGCAAATGCAGCCCCCAGGGCAAGGCCTTCCGCTCCAAAGTTGAGCTCATTGCCTATTTTGGAAAGGTGGGGGACACCTCTCTGGATCCTAATGATTTCGATTTCACGGTGACTGGACGTGGGAGTCCGTCACGGCGAGAACAGAAGCCTCCGAAGAAACCCAAAATCACTAAAACGGCTGGCACAGGTCGCGGGCGGGGCCGACCAAAGGGCAGCGGCTCTGCCAAGCCCCGAGGAGCTGCCTCGGAAGGTGTGCAAGTGAAGCGGGTGATTGAAAAGAGTTCTGGAAAACTGCTGGTCAAGATGCCTTTGCAGTCCTCTCCAGCAGGAGCCAAGGCAGAAGGCACTGGTGGGGCCACCACCTCCACACAGGTCATGGTGATCAAGCGTCCTGGGCGCAAGCGGAAATCTGAATCGGACCCCCAGGCTGTGCCTAAGAAACGGGGGCGTAAGCCAGGCAGTGGAGCAGCAGTGGTAGTTGCCGAAGCCAAAAAGAAAGCAGTCAAGGAGCCGGTTGTCCAGGCGGTCCGGGAGACAGTGCTGCCCATCAAGAAGCGCAAGACACGTGAGGCTGTTAGCATAGAGATAGCCAAGCCAAGCCCACCTCCTCCAAGCAACACTGGGGAGCGGAGCCCCAAGGGACAGCGAACGGCTGCCAAGAGCCCAGGGCGCCGCAGCAAGGAAAGCAGTCCTAAAGGGCGGGGTGGCAATGCCGTACCAACCTCTGCCCCTTCCTCCTCCCCTGGCAAGAAGGATCAGCACCATCCTCCCCATCAGCCGCCTTCGGAGGCCCAGGGCAGCTCCCCTTCTCAGTCCCCTGAAAGCCCCAAGGACAGCAGGAGCCTTCCAGCTGAGCCCCAGGACTTGAGCAGCAAGAGCTGCAAAGAGGAGAGGGCTCCGGAAAGTGATGGCTGCCCAAAGGAGCCACCTAAGACTCAGCCCAGCGGCACAGCAGTGCCCTACAAACATGAGCGCAAAGACACTGTGTCGTCCTCCGCGGCCTTGCCCCGGCCCACAAACAGGGACGAGGCCGTGGACACCAGGACACCTGTGTCAGAGCGGGTCAGCTGACTTTGAGGGGGGTGAGTGAGCAAGTGAGCGCCAGAGGAAACAAAGAGAGAGACAGGCACTCCCAGCCCCCCATACCCAGATGAGACTCCAGGCAGCTGCTGGGCAGGACTCCCCTTTTCCCCAGAGTGCCCTGGCTTTCAACCATTCAGCTACTCCAAAACTATTATTCCTCTGTTCCAATCCTTCCCCCATTTTCAATACAGACAAGCACAGTGTGGGGTGCAGAGACATGCCTCCCAGAGCTGGAAGCCACTTTGCACTTTTTCTACAGAATGGGGGCACCTCTTCTCTCCCCCCACACCCCCACCAGCCCCTTCTGCCATGCTTTGCTGCATATACTACTGACAAGGCAAGCTGTTTGGCAGGGGAGGGGCAGCTCCAAACTCTGGCCTGTCGCCCTGATCCTGCTTGCCCTCCGTATTACAGAGGCCTGGTGGACAGATTGTGGGGAGGGTGGGCATGTGTGTATTCCACTCCACCTCCCTAGTGCCATGTAATGTAGTTGTCCAGTCTTAGTTGGATTTCTGTAGTTTTCAGTAGGATGTGTGTGTACACACGAGAGAAAGAGATGGGACTATGGCGTACTGGGGAACCAATATCCCCCTTTTGCCAATTAGACCAGCAGATAGGAAAGTTTTTCTCTCCCCCAAGGACAGTTGTGCTGCTAAGAGACCACTGGGATACTGGGGGCAACTTTGTAAGAATGTCCTCCTTTCCTACGTCTATCCCAAAAGGAGAGGCCTTTTGATTTTGTTGAAGCAATCTGAGTGTGCTGAAGCGTGTACGTGTGTGCGTGTGCTTGTCATATGCTAAGAGTTAAAATGAGATGTTCTTCCAGTTCTTGTCAATGATGTTAGTTTAGGGAACTGTTTGCACTAATGGAGGCCTTTGCCCACCTTCTGTGAGGCAACGGCATGAAAGTGTGTGCCTGTGTGTATTGGAGCAGGACATTTTGATGGAATTCTGGCTGACCTCTCCACCTTAGTTCTGGGGCAGGAAGGTAGCTGAATGTTTCTAAAACTACCTGATCTTCTGTGCTGGGATTGATATGTGGCAGTGGCTTCACCGAGAAGCCTAGTATTTGTCATTTACAAGGACTTCCTTATGGCTGGCAACCAAGCTCTTCCATGACAGTTGAGCACACCTCACTCCCCAGGGACAGAGAGCTCAGCAGAAGAGTAGTGTACCTTGGGGAGGGGACTTGGTTTCAAATGGATGTCTCCTTTGTTTTGTTTTTCTGTCTGCAGAAGATAGAAGAGGAGGGGTAGGGAAGCATTGACCACTTCAGTGTGCTTATTTTTGTTTTTAACTGCATATGTAGTACAGACAGGATCTGTGCCCCCCTCCATTCTAGGCAGTAGCAAAGTACCCCAAGAACAAGATGGGGGAGTATGGGTCCAAGCCAGCAGTCTGGGCAGGAACTAGAAAGAGTTATCTCTGAAATTGTTGTCACTTTGTGGTGGTGCAAAAGGATTAGAACAAGCCCCATCTTGTTCTGCAGCTCTTTGAGGGCCAAAATAGATATGATTCTGGACCTTCATGATCAGATTTTTATTTATTTATTTTAAAAAAAAACAACTTAAAGCCGCAGGAGGCTCTGCTTTTGATCACTGCAGCAGTGCTTAGGAAGAGGGTATTTAACTCTCTCCTTCTCATCCAACCCCTGTGCTGGTTGTCTTTGGTGCATACACACCATACAGTGGTACCTCTGGATGCAAACGGGATCCATTCCAAGCCCTGTTCGCATCCTGAGCAGAACGCAACCCGTGTCTGCGCATGCGTGGGTTGTGATTCGCCACTTCTGCACATGCGCGTGACGTCATTTGAGAGGCTTCGCATGTGTGAGCGGCGAAACCCGAAAGTAACCCATTCCGTTACTTCTGAGTCGCTGTGGAATGCAACCTGAAAATGCTCAACCTGAAGCATATTTAACCCGAGGTACGACTGTACATATAAAGCACATGACTTCCCCAAAGACGCCTGCCCCTAAAAAGAGCCACAATTCCCATCACACTTAACAGGTTAAAGTTCCCAGGATTCTTTTTTTGGGGGGGTGCACTTTAAATGTTCAATGTGTACACAGCTTAATTCCCATCCCATCCAAGCTGCTATTTTCCCTGCTTGTGAGGGGATACAGGTACCTGCACAGTACTGTCGTCCCCCCCCCCCCCCCGCATAAGAGGGGCAGAATTTAGATCAAGAAAATGGCCATGTGGCCAGTATAGCCACCCTCTCCCTCAACACCTCTTTTCCAATAAAAATTGGAGCCTCCTGCAGATTCTTGGAATTAAAAATGTTGAAGGATCTCGCTTTAGGCTCTCTGGAGGCATGCCTATTTTGGGCCCTTAGAGAGAGACCTCCGTGTGGAGACAACTGATTTTTATGTTTCCCCTTCTTGCCTAAATATGCACCAGATAAGTAGAGTAAAATTCCTTCCATGTGTGGCAACTGTCAAAAGACTCCCCCCCCCTTGCACTTACTAAGTATAGATAAAGGGTAATGCACTAGTCATAACTGAGAGACTCCAGGTTCATAGTGGGAGGACCAGTTAGGATTGGGACTACCTTCACTGCAACAATTTACTGAATTGCTCATTTTTGCTTGGCTTCCTGCGCTGGCACCACAGTCAAAGCCAAATTTTGATTTTTCTTTTCTTCCCATGTATATAACTCAGCAATTGGCAGAAAGGTTGGGGATGGCTTCTAATTTTTGTTCTTCTGGGAGAAATCCTGTGCTAGTGATTGGACCGAAGTCTGCTGCTAATCACAGACTCTGGAATATACCCACCCACACCCGCTCTAAGGGTAAGGTAACTAGTCTGAAGGCCAGTTCATCATTCACTTGGATGGAAGTGGCTGTCTGAGGTACTGCTGTGGAAACATGGTAGAAAGTACAAGGAAGTGGGGGAGAAAATGTCTTTGTGATAACTAAAAAAAAAAACCCCAACAACTTCTCAAAGGGCTTTTCTTTGATTATTTTTTTTAAAGGCACAAATATAATGGGGTGGGTGGGTGGGAAATGAACAAGTATTCACCAGGCTATGGGAAACCTGGGGTGGAGAAAATATAGTTCCCTTTGGTCTCAAGTTCTTTGGGGAGGTTTTTTCACCTGAGGCTGCATCTGACAGGTCCAGGATGAATTACTGTCCAGGCTCCAACCTCCAAGTCCGCATGAGAAACCCTCCCTCATTTACTAATTCTTTTGAGTTATGAAGGGTTTTTCATAAATAGAGAACAGAACTTTGCACTTCACTCCACTCCGGGACTGCCACTGGTTTGACGTGTTTTGAATCTGCAGTGCACTGCCCCTGGAAATGAATAATTGCAGCTAAGGTTTCCACAGAAGTATCATGGGTGCAGCAGCTAGGCATTGCCGTCCTGAAAAAAACAGGGCAACCTTGGGACTAAATAATGGGCAGAATAAAAATAGTGGTGGCAGCAACCCTTCCTTTCTCAGAATGGGCCTTCTCTGAAATTCCACTCAGTCCAGCTGATGACTGAGAGTCAGACTGGGTGGCAGCAAATCTGTATTTGCTAAAATGATTGTGTAAGCAGGGGAGAGATAACGTGGGCACATGTATGTGCCTCTTGCTTTCTCCTTGCACACCCTCTCTCTGGCACATACACTTCTCTGCTCAGCTTTCTTCCCAGCTAAGATCTGATTACATGTTGGATCATATGGGATGGGAGAACAGTGCCTGTGAAGAGGCGGCAAGGGGTTGGTAAGCAGGCCCAGGGTGGGTTCAGGTTCCTCCACCTGCTTCATGTGTGCTGTTTTTGCTCTGAAAATTAGACCCACACCTCCTGGTTCTATGCATGGCTGGGGACAGATGTGTTTAAACAAGAAGATCTGCCACTACCATGTCAGTTTAACCCTGAGAGTGCCCTTGGTCTAAACTTCCTTCAGGTGCAGGCCATTGTTGCATTCCACTACCTTTCTGGGATTCATAACAGCCTCTCTTATGCTGCAAAGTGGAGATCTAGCTTTGCAGGAAACACACCCAGCATTTGGAGCTATCGGGCGGTATGTTTTGCTACCATACCTATGTCTTCTGTAGACTGCCACAGGGAATCAATGTTGCCAACATTAGGCTTTGAAGAGGTCTCTTCGGGCTTTCCTCACTGTTTGGCAGAGACCATTTAGAAAACGTGGCTCTTTCTGTCACAGATAGATGTGACTTCACCTCTGTGTTCCAAAATTATCCCAGCTTCAAAAACATGTACAGGTGGCAGACCTCCCAGCTGCTTCTTACTGTCCAAAAGCAAATTGATTTGTTGAGGCAGGCAATTGCCCTCATGGGAGAAATATTTTATTTCTTTTTGGTTGTTTTTTCATGGAGAGATTGATGCACTTTAAAGTCAAGAGAGAAAAATAGTCTGTCTTCAATGAGCCACAAGCCCATTGCAAACCACATGGTACTGGCAGTGAGGGTAGAAGGGGTTATGAGCCATATGTAGCCAACTGGGGAGACTAAACAAAAGCTACAAATAGAGATCCATATATTTTTTAAAAGAAAGCCTCCGTGTACAACTTAACTGAAGTTAGATGTTTTTGGATAGAAAATGTGTCTAGGGGCAAGTGTACATGTTGGAAGATACCAAGCTAGAACAGCAATACCCAGTTCCACACTAGAACCACCCCAATGCCTAATCACAAACCACATCTAGGTTTAAAGAGCTTGCAAAACCATGGAGTATCCTGATCCCATGTGTCCACATTCCAGACAAGTGAAAGGATGGCATCTTCATGCCATTATCCTCCTTCTTGGTGTGATGTAGTACTGGAAAAAGAAGAGGGGTAGATTTTTGTCAGTGATGTAAGGCCAAACTTGATGTTGGTGGCAGACCTGGGTTTCTTCCAGACAACTACAAAGTGGCCAGAGCAGGGAGTTTCTTTGCACTGGAGAAACAACAACCCGGAAGAAGGTTATAATCCTGCGTGCCTTTTTCCCTTCTCTCTCTTCTCTCCCTCCCCCCAACTGCTGCAGTTGGCATCCTTTCTGCTGCTCCACTTTGCAGTTGTTTTCACATCTGGGTCTTCCACCAAAAATTTACCGTAGTTCAGCCCAAAGAAAAAAGATCTTCAAAGTGCAATGAAAAGTTAATAGTGGGGTGTGAAGTAAGTCCTGGCCTCTCCCCATCCCCCACTAACCTAATGATGCTATTGCTGCTGGCTGCTTCTCCCAGAGTGAGTTACAACAGTTGTAGTCTGGCAATCTAGGTCCTCTTATTTACAGGGATAGAGAGTTGTGAGGTCCACCTCTGCTCCCAGCTGTGCCCACTTCCACCCAGCTCAGCCTCAAAGACGAATGTGGATAGTGCCTGGCGTTTGAGAGACTGCGCAAAAGGTTTCTACCTTGTTAGCATTGTGAACCACCCAATGTTTCTGTGTCAAGTGAAAATAAACTTTTTGTCGGTTTCAATTATTATCCAATAATGTGTAGAGTTTAACATTAGGCCTAACTCTTTTGTTTGGGGATTTACTTTCTGTTTGTTTGTTTGTTTGTGTGTATGTGTGTTGTTTTTTTTAAGGCACCCAAGTAGACACAGAAAAAATGTCTAATTTTATATATCTGTATATTGCATTATAAATGAGGGGTTGCTTTTTCCGCTTATTGCACCACTATCAAACAAAAGGACAACAGACCAACAAGCAAGGAATGATATGGTCTGTTGAGAATTTATTATATGTTGCTTCTTGACCATTTTTCTTGGTATTTGATATCATAGGACAAGGGGAAATAAAACTGACCCATCAAACCTGCCTGCCAGTAATTTTTCTCCATTACAGAGCTGAACTGCCTTTTAACCCTGGCTGTTTTCCATTTCTGAAAGGGGGTTTCCTCTCTTGTCTCAAGAGAGGAAAACCAACAAGGTGGTTGAGTATAGCCAACATTTTAATTTTTTTGCACTCCGTCAACTTCTAGGGCAGAGCACTCATTTGGGAAAGGAGGGAGGACATAAGGAGGGACTCCAATTGACCATACAAACCTATATCCAGTTGGACTTGAATCTTAACAAGCACCATTAGCATGATTTGTCTGTGTCAGTTAATGGCCACTTCAGTAGCAAAATAATTTTGCATGATAGCATTGCTGTTTGAAAACTCCTTTTGGTTCTCAGCTGAACCCCCAAGTACTGTTCCTCTAGTCTAGAGCATATCTCTTCCTCCTTACAGAAAACAAAATTCTTGTTAAATTCCACACACAGAGAGGGAGAGCACTCCTCTGGCATTAGGCATGAATTGGCAACACTCCACATACCTCTCCCCTCCCACCAACTGAAAGCATGTCGCACACTCCTTTCCCCCCTCAGTTTAGCAGAAGTCCAGATCTCATTTCCAAAGGCCTTTGGCCGGCACAAGTGCTACGTAATTCTCATCTTGCTTACATTCAGAGGCTGCTCCAGAAAAGGGAGCAAAGAAGGAGTGTCTGGAGGTTGAGCTTTCTTTCTCATACTGCAGTCTTTCCAAACAGAAAGAAGTCATTTCACAATCTATATTTTTTAATTCAGACAGCGTGGACAGGGAATTATTCGAGTAGGATTTTGCGCTTCCCGTCTTCCTGGCGCTGCCTATGCTTGCATGACTGATAATCTGGGGGCATTAGATTTGCTTTCTAATAAATAATTGTATATAAAGTCTAAAATGTCCAAGTGCTGGTAGCACCAATGATAATGGGACCCTACTGGCATTCATCAGGTCAAAGGCTGAGTCATTCGAAAGCTTGCTAGCACTTCCCTACCCAGATCTCGCCACATCCCAAAAGGGACCCTTAGGAAGAGGGCTGGGTAGGACAGTTTGCTCTCTGCCAACTTCCACCCGCAAGTTGCCAAAATCAGCAATATTCTGAGGTAGTAGCTTAAATCTGCTGTTCTTCCAAAATAAATATATCTAGACAAGTGCAGATGACACTTCTGGTGGGCGGGGAATGAAGACTATTCTTCCGAACTGAAGTAGGGAGAGGGGATTTCTCACTCCGTAGATCAACTTGCATAAGGCTTTCTTCCAATCAAGGGCCCAGAGTTCCTTTTCCAAGCTCTGCAGGTTGGCCGTGTTTGCTGCAGTTGTGTGTAGCTGCACGAGGAGTAGGTGAACAACCTGGAAATATGTCTCATTTGGGGGGGGGGGGTTCGTTGTGAGTGCAAAAAAACAAACCTGGCAAACTCCCTCCTCAATCGTACTGGGGCAGAGGGAAGGATGGGGGCATTCTCTTCTCCTGCTTCCGTCAATTGACATGCCGCTAACAACAAACCAACTTCCTTCTGCTTCACAACTCAGTAGTGATCACCATATGACCAAATAGTACAAGGACTGTTATTAAATGTATGCTGAGTGCTTGCTACCCTGTACAGCTCTTAATCCTCACGTAGCCGACTCTCTCTCTCTCTCTAGCCAGTGGTGTTTCTTTCTCTTTTGGACTCCTTAATTATTATTTTTAAATTCCGGAGACACAATTTTTTGTTGTGGGGGAGGGAGGTTGTATTTCCCTCCCCCCCCATAACCTTTTTTTTTTTTTTGCGGGGGGAGGTTGCAAAAAAAAACAACAACTGTGGTGTTTGGGACTCTAATTGTGTGTAGGGTTTTATCTCCCCACCCTCACTCCCCCCAACCCTGCGGGGGGGGTGTCAAAAAAGGAATGTCGGTGAAAATCTCTGTGTGTGTTTTTTTCTTTATGGTCCACGAGTGTGTATCGTGAACATTTCTGTAAAGTAATTGTTCCAGGCACAAACGCTTTTGAGTGTTTCAGATGTATGTATATATATTTTTAAGGGAGGAAGAGCGTATACTTTACTTTTGTCTTGTCTGTTGGCAGTAAAAAAAGGGGAGGTTAACTGGGGATGTGACAAGCAGAGCGTTTTTAAACAGGCATTCCCAGGGTATTTTGTACAGCTTCTTCTAACAGTCCACCACCATGTGGGCCATGTAGCAAGAGGTGGCTTGATTCCTTCACATGAATATTCATTTGGCTGGGGGTAAATAAACCAGAAGGACCTGGCACCTCAAGGGCAATAAAGGGGAATGCTATGAACCTTTCTGCTAGATTCAGAGGTGCATTTAACATCTTGTCAGAGGGGCTGTATCTAAAGGAGGCCCATTGATTTGTTTTTAACGCCAAATGTTACTAATTCCTATTTCTAGGACAGCAAATATCTAGCCTTAGGGGAATAAAAATGTACCAGGAATCCTCCAGATAGAACTGGGTAGGTGTGGGGATTGACAATTTTAGAAATCAAGTTTAAAATGTTTCATTGTTCACTCCTGTGCTCCCACACCCATACTTCTGGATCGCACCTTGCATTTGGTTGATGTGTTTTTGGGACAATTACTTTTAAGAACTATTGAGTAGATTGTTTAATAAATCTTTAAAATGGATTGCTCTTTTTGTAGGTTTTGTGTACAGCCAAAAATAAAAAAAAGACTGAAAGCACTGACTATATTTAAAAAAGGAAAAAAAGAAATTTATTAAATGAAAATTTGTATTATTTCAGTAAGAAAATAACAAAATCCGTCTGAATGTACATGTATATGTTTAAAGAAATCCACCAACTCCCTCCCTACCCTTGTATCCTATTTATTATATAAAACGTTTGCCTTACAAGAAAGCAGTCCTTTCTTTATGGGTGTTTCTATCTTATTTTGGTTGTTAAAACAAGCAACTTGATTTATCCCCCCCTTCCAATAAAGATACAGTGACAACTGCATTTTTATATATGTAAGGTCATTTAAAAGAAACAAATTCTATTTTTTATGTTAAAAAGAAAGGTTCAGGCCCAGTCTTAGCACTCAGCATGCATTCTACACAGTAATCTAGTTGCATCTCATGTTGGTAAGTACTGTATTCTGTGCTAGAATTGGATTATAAACCTATGTAAATGTTACAGATTTGTTTGAGCCTTTCATTACCAAGGTAGAACTGTTCTGCCCTGCCATTAAAATATAATATTTTTTTCTCTGTTGTGGATGAGGATGTCTTTTAGTTGGTTGCAAAGCGGCCTCTTGTTTGTGCCAGTTTATACTGATGCAGGAGTACATTGCTTCAGGGATTTATATTCTGCTTTTCAAAACATTGTTCCCAAGTTTGAGTTACATAGAACTTTGGACTGAGCAGAAAGGCAGTCTTGACCAGAGAACACACCAGAATACTTATAAACACAGAATTTGTCACTTTCAGGAAGATCTCTTTCAAATGGCACAAAATGATGACTATTTCCACACTCAAAACAATACACTGACACGAAGAGGGCTTGTACTGTTAATTATATTATATTCCTTTGCAAAGGCATAGCAAACAGTGTCTTATTTCTTGTTATAGGAAGTCTCTCTTTAGGGAAATGGTTCTCAGGTTAGTCTCTAAGCTGTGATAGCAGATGGAGTCATAAAACAATTGTGGTGTTGTAGCCAAGTGTGTCAGTGGAGTCCTTGCTGCACTATCAAGTGTTCATGGGTGGCAATTTGAGAAATCATGCCCCAGGGTTTGTTAGTTCAGTTAGACTGCTTCACAGGACCAGCCCAATGCATTTTGCTGCCTTAGGCAGAGGATGTCCCCCCTCCCCAAATCCCGCCCCCCAAGCCAACTGAACTGAAAGTTGAATCTTACTTCAACAGCCTTAGCATCTGAGAACAGCAGACCATTTCCTGGAAAATTGCAAAATCCACCACCACCCATTTTGCTACTCACAAAGAGGGTGGCAAAATAAATTTAATCCAGTTCAGCTCTAGCATTGTCCTTCAGGGAAGCTTGTCTTGTACTCTTGATTAAAATAACTGGATAAGAAACCTTAGGAATCCCTTGAACACAGTTTGGAAAACCACTGCCTTAGACCAATGCACAGCCCAATCAGAACACCAGGTATGGAAAACAATTTTCATTTTTGAAAACTTGCAATGTTTTTAATATTTCCCACATCCGTAAGGACTACCCACCAGCTATTACATTCCAGAATTTATCTACCTTGGCCTACCATGGTGGGTGGCGGTGGGGGCATTGCAGAACAGCTGCTTACCCAACAAAACGTTAACTGTGAGTGTGCGTGTGTGAGAGGGAGAGAGAAACTGTGAACATGGAAGCACCCAGTAGTGGGAGCAAGAGGTGGTTTTGCACCACTATCCCAGCAACAGTGTCAAACCCCCCCCCCCCCCATGTGCAGGCCTGTATTTTACTTTTATTTTTTGCTAAAGAATATATAGGTGAAATTAAAGGAGTCATCTCAGGTATACCACCAGAGTGGTGACGAACATACCTCCCTTATGATATCTCCCCCACTTTTTTAACCCCTCAACTGATTATCAGATTCAGAATTATCTGTGGTTTAGTAAGATGGGAATACACTTGAATGTATGGATGGCCAACATGATGCCCTCCAGCTGTTCCTGGGCTACAGCTCCAATAATCCATGAGCAGAGGCCATGGTGGTTGGAGGCTGCTGGAGGTTGGAGTCCAACAGCATATGGAGAGCATCATGTTGGCATCCCTACTTTAACAAATACTAGTATTCATAACCTGACTGAGGGTTAGAAGTCCCCATGGTCTATGGGTGGATAACAGCTCTAAAATAAAATTATTACAGTCAAATCTCGGTTGTCTAACATAATCCGTTCCAGAAGCCCGTTCGGCTTCCGAAATGGAGCCTAAACATTCCAAAATGGAGGCGTTTGGGGACTGAGGTTTGACTGTATACAGGGGTTGCCAACCTTTTTTGTCTAGTGGGCACATTTTGGATTTGGGGAGTGCTTCGGTGCCAGTCACAAAATGGCTCCCATGGAGAGCACAGCATAACACAAAAAGAGAGAGACCACACCACACAACCTTATGTTTGTCATAGGAAGTCCCCTGTGTCCTGATTGTGGTGATCACACAATACTGATTACACACAGAGATGGTGTTGCTGCAACATTCCTCATTTTCAGTAAAAAATAAATGAAGTGGTCATATTACACTTACTCTCATTTCACATGAAATTTTTAGAAGGTACCTGCATACTTTGTCCCATAATTTCCTTTCTAGGAGGGTTAGAAGCTGTGTTTTTTAAAAATGAAAGATAATGATGATTATTTATACCCCTCCTTTTTCCTTGACTCAAGGCAACTTACAGAAAAAATAATAATTAAAAAACAATTAAACATTAATAGAATTAAAGCTATATACATATATAAAATCTACTAACACCTACCAGTAATTACAACAAAAACAAAAGCCTGTTGGAATAAGAAGGGCTTCACCTGTTGGTGGAAGGACAGCAAAGAGGGAGCTAGTCTGGCTTCTCTTGGGAGAGAGCTCCAAAGTTATCTGGGAGCAGCTGCTGCCAAGGAGGCCCTCTCCCAAATCCCCACCAAGCGTGCCTGTGAGGGTGGCAGGACCAAGGGAAGGGCCTCCCCAAAGATCTCAAATCCTGGGCAGGTTTGCATGAGGGAATAGGGTCTTTCAGATAGCTTGGACCTAAGCCATATAGGGCTGTGTAGGTCATAAGCAGAACTTTGAATTGCACCTGGAAACAGACTGTAAGCCACTGGAGCTGTTGTGACAAGAGACTGACAAGAGTTGTCTGCTCCCCATAATTAACCCAGTCAGCAATCTGGCTGCAGCTCTTACAGCTAGTTGAATTTTCTGAGCACTTTTCAAAGGCAGCTCCACATAGAGCATGTTATAGTAATCCAAACGGGATGTAACTAAGATGTGTGTCACAGTGGCAAGTAACTGGCATAGGTGGTACACTAGCTTTGACTCTGCAAATGCAAATGGCTACTGCAGAGACCTGGGCTTCCATGCTCAGGGCTGAGTCCAGGAGCACACTCAAATTGCAAACCTGTGTCTTCAGGGGGAGTGTTACATCATCCAGCACAGGCTGAACCCCTATTCCGTGTGTTGCTTTCCAACTGACCATTACTGATGACAGACAGACACTGATTTAGAACCAAGACAGCTTCCTTGGGTTTAGGTGGAAAGGATAAATAGATGTGGTGTGAAGGCGCCATGCAGCAATGCTGCTGACATGAGCACACCATGATCTCCCTTTTGCCAACTCATTTTGAAAAGAATAGTCCTCAGAAGTTTTGCAAAGCACCATGGCAGATCACAGGCAGTCTCTTCTTGCCAAAGCAAATGTCAGGGTTCAACAGTCACAGGTGATAAGTTAGACAGTCACTAAGTGCCTTATGCCATCTACTGTATGCCAGCACCTAGCCCCAAGTGGCTCTGAGGATGGGCAAAATTCTTGTCACTCTAAAGGACAGTTTCTGAAACATACAATCAAGTGATCATGACTAAGGAGTGCCTTTCCATGGCAAAGATAATGCTTCCCTCCTCAGTTGGCCAGACATCCTGTCCCATGCCCATGCCTGGCTAGGGTAGCAACAGCCCCACAGAGGATGTGCTGTCAGAAACATGGTTTGGTGTGAGAGGGTAGCCTGTCCGTCATTTAACTGCACCAGACTATCTTCATTTGGGTCACCCAAACATGCACACATGCAGAATTGTCAAATGTGCCCTGCTAAAGAGGGTTGGTTACTTCCATGGCTCTGTTAAAGGTGCAGTGTATGACACTTCTGAACTTTTATAGGCATGTGATTCCTCAGTGCACTTCAGTACACTATGGCATATTAATCACAACCCTAGCCTGATAAGAATGTTTTTGAAATTGCATTCTCCAGTTCTTGCTAGCTAACCAGCAAGGTAACCTTACGGCTTGCTAGTAATCCTGAACCTTTGCTGCTATTCCATTTCTTCTGACTCCTGTGTCTCTGTTCCTGTTCAGAGATGCTGCTATTGCAGCTCACTGCTGTGGGCAAGGGCAGAAACTCTCTGGGGCAGGTAAGCAAAGTGAAGTGACCATCTCAGGCAACAGGTCCACCAGGGCAGCCAATCCACATGTCAATTTTCTTTGCCACCCCTGCTTGTCCCTGATGTAGACCCTTCTTTCCCTGGTGGAGAGTGGGAAGCACCATTTTGGGTTTTTTTTAAAATAATATTTATTAAAAATTCAAAGGATACAAAAATTACACAAAAACAAAAAATAAAAATACAGAAAGTAAAAATACAAAAAGTAAAAATACAAGAAAATAAAAAATACAGAAAAAAGAATAAAGAAAAAACAAAACAAATTCATTTATTTTCAGATCCTTAACTGTCATTACCTTCTTTCTTAGACCTCCTCCTCCTCCCTTTGTATTCTAGTTATTAATTATCCCAGCAAATCCTTTCCTTTCCATGTTTCATAAAATTCTATCATTACATTACCCTCGACTAATTTAATCCTAACTTTCTATAATAAAATAAACCTTAAAGTTTAAAACTTAAGTCTTAACCTTACCAGCTTCTTGTGATCATAATATTCTTTCATAATTCTTTATGCATCTTTACTAAAGCCAGGTAATTTCTTCCAACATTTTTCTATCCTTCATCAACTTTGTAAAACATTCTAATAATAAAGAAAAAAAAGAGAGAAAGATATAGACAAGTCCAATCTTTATCCAACGTCCCTTCCTCCTGGTTCCGGGATTTGTCAGTCCTTATCCATCAGTCTAACCCGGTGACCTTATGTCCGAGGCCCTCAGGTCACTTCCATGGCCCTTCCGCGGCTCTTCTTCATACTTATAACTGTAATTTCCCTTATCTCCTCGTGATAACTCCAGCTTGACAGTGTCTCTTGCTCATGGTAACTCCAACTTAATAATGTTTTTAACCCTTCTCATCAGATCAGATCCTTTTCCGTATTCATCACTGCATTCCATGTAGTATTTAAAAGCATGTTTCGAGGGCCCTCCAAAGTTGAGAGCCCCCACAATCCCAAACATATCGCTGCCCATTGCCATATTTAAAAAGTCCAGACATCCCAACATAGGGGGGTCAATCCAGCCCCCCATTTCCAAGCCACACCAAACTTTCCCTTTCCAGATCTGGCTTTTTCCAAGTTCATTTATCCAGTCCAAAGGATCATACTCTTGTTGGGTCTGTTCTGTCAAATCACACTCCTGATTTAATGCCACAAGCTCCTGTTCTGTCAAAACACCCTCCTGGTTTGAATCCTGAGTGGGCTCCACATATTTTCCCACAGTCTGGTCAAGACATTCCACTGCCTGTTTAAGATTTCTAGTCGAAATGGCCATCCGGTTCACCTTATCATGTAATTCTTCCAGTAGAGCATTTGTTTTGTAAAAAACGCAGACCAAAGCTTCTGAAAACATTGTCCTGCACAATCAGACCCTTTCCCACGGTTATTTTGTAACAGCTGTCAGTTTCCTCAAGTTAGTTACAGTTTCAAAAGCTCCCCCTAGGGGGAAGACTTATATTTATTTTTGCTACAGAGTTTCCCCCCCTTTTTTTTTCTCTCCAAAATACTTAAGATACTTTGTCCATGTATATTCCTTTAAAATGCGAAAGGGAACAGTGGAATCACAAATTTTCTCTTCTTTTAGCTGTCTGTCAAAAAAAACCAATTCTCTTGATAAACTTACGTCAGTCCTGACACCCCCGCTCCAGGATCAGGACGGAGGAAATTAACTTCCTTTTGTGATTACTTCAAATAGTCCAAAAAAAAATTAAAATGTTGAAATCCACTCTTTTAAAAATGATTTTCTGGGCTCTAGTGTAACTTGCCTTTGCTTTGTTCTATTTACAAAAGAACGGAAGGGTGACTTCCTGATTAGCCCTTCCCGCTCCGTACCAAATTCAATATATTTTTTTATAGTCCGATTCTGTCCTTTTCACAAATCTTTATTTGATATCCCATTTGTTCGAATTCTAAGTACTCACGGGTGTTTGTTTTAAAGTCCAAATTGTCCCAGGAAAGAAGGCAGCGCTCTCCGGCAGCAGCTATGCGGCTTTGCTCCACGGAAATAGCGATTGACTCACAGCACCACGCTGCTTCCCCCTCCTCACTTCGGAGCCCGTTAGTGGGTTCCTTAGCGGATTGGGGGGGCGCTAAAGGTGCCCGCCGAGTCCCACGATCACAGGCTTCATCCGCCTGTGATTTGAAGGGGTCCCCGCTTCGCCGCAGCGGAGTAGACCCTGTTTACCGCGGAGCCAGTCCCTCCAATTCAGAGGGAGTCCGCCATTGCCGGTGGCGCCACCCCGGAAGTCTGGGAAGCACCATTTTGGGGTCTGCCTCAAGTGCCAAAATGTCTTGGGCCAGCCCTGCTCTGGAGAGAAAACAACAAAGCACCTTAAAGACGGACACCAGAGCCATGCCTAATGGCCTCTCTTTACAGAGTAAGGATTGCTGAGGTAAAAACTATGAAGGCTTTGAGTACAGTGGTACCTCGGGTTAAGTACTTAATTCATTCCGGAGGTCCGTTCTTAACCTGAAACTGTTCAGGTTACATACGCTTCAGGTTACAGACTCCGCTAACCCAGAAATAGTGCTTCGGGTTAAGAACTTTGCTTCAGGATGAGAACAGAAATTGTGCTCTGGTGGCGCGGCGGCAGCAGGAGGCCCCATTAGCTAAAGTGGTGCTTCAGGTTAAGAGCAGTTTCAGGTTAAGAACAGACCTCCAGAACGAATTAAGTACTTAACCCAAGGTACCACTGTATGGAGTTCCAAAGTGTAGGCACTGCCATGCTAAACGACAGAGTTCTTACAAATGTGACATCTGTAGTAATGCCAATTCCACACAAAAATTACCCTAGATTCTACATCCTCTAATATTTGTCAGAGATTCAAGTAGATTTAATTTGTTGACATGAACCTATAGTTAGAACTCTAATACTGGCAGCACTCAGCCTGGCAGTGCTTAATGTTTATTTAAAGTCAGAACAACTTCTGTTAGGTTTGCTTTAGATTGCAACTTACTGCCTTATTAGACAGGATGAGACTTTTGACTTTAAAAAGCTGCTGTCCTATGTGTTTACAAAGAAGCAACTTCAAATGATGGCACTAAAATTTGCTTCCAGGGAAATATGCTTAGGCTTAAGGGACAAAGGAGAAAACAGTTCATTGGCACAAACCGAGTTAAGGCAGCACTCTCATTTCCTTAGCTTTCTGGGTTGTTGTTTACTTTGCCTTATCTGTAACTATAATGGTTCCTGATCATCTGCCACAACATTCCTTTCAAACAGCTCCTCCTAACCTTAATATAGTCGTACCTGGAAGTCAAATGGAATCTGTTCCGTAAGTCCGTTCGACTTCCAAAACGTTCGCAAACCAAATTGCGGCTTCTGATTGACTGCAGGAACTTCCTGCAGCCAATCAGAAGCCGCAGAAGCCCTGTTGGATGTTTGAGTTCCAAAAGAATATTCACAAACCAGAACAATCACTTCTGGGTTTGCAGCGTTTGGGAGCCAAAATGTCCAAGTTCCAGGGCATTTGACAACCAAGGTACAACTGTACTATGAAGTTCCTTCTACAGCCCTGCCCTGGTTGGCCCATTGGATCAATTGCATGCCTTCTCAATTCTCTTTTGCCACCTGTCCTAGATACTTCTGTCCATTGTCTGCCCTACACCCTTCCTTGTCTCTGCCCTCCAAATCCCTTCGCCTTTATATTGCACCCTCAGCTAAACTTGACACTTCTCTCTTCCCTCACAGAAATTGGACTTAAAACTATACAGTTCCTTGAGCAATTGAGCATTCTCTGCCATCACATCAAGTAGTCTCAACAATCATACATGGCAACACAAATGAAGACTTGGTACTTGGAGAGTATGAGAGGATGGAATCTTTGATGAAGGCTGATTCTTTTGTATAGTTATTCAGAAGTAAGTCTCACTGTGTTTGTTAGGGCTTTAAATACAAAAAACTTACAAGTCTGGGTTGTATATTTCATCCACTCAGCTATATAGCTGCAAATAAAACGTTTTAAATGTGTTGTAAAGTGCAGTATGCAAATGTGACACTAGATGGCGACCGTGAGCTATGCCAAATTCAATGTAATTTTCAAAACTTTTTTAAAAAAGCATTTTCACAGCGTTTTTATATGTGTGTAGATTCCACCTAAGTCATACTATGAGAGTGAAATCTATGGACTTCAGTTGTGACTAACTTCTCAGTTTGACTTAGCTATCACCCAATGTGTGTATGTGTGTATGTGTATGCATAACTCCATAGAGTCTAGACCAGCCTGTCTCAACCTTTGACCCCCAGATGTTGGACTACCACTCCCATCATCCCTAGCTGGTCAGGGATGATGGGAGTTGTAGTCCAGTAACATCTGGAGCCCAAAGGTTGGGAAAAACTCATCTAGACAGAAGCTGGCTCTAAGTTCTGCCTGCCATTGCACTCTGAGGTGTGAATCCTATGGAACGAAGCAAACCCACTTATATTCTTACATACGGTCCTTTTAATGCACAAGGTAACAAAATATGTTAACTTGCTCCAGCAGTTTGATGTTGTAACATACTGAAAAGACTGTCGAAGTCTCGCGCTCCACCAGCCTTTGCCAGCCCGGTGCCCTCCAGATGTTTTGGGCTCCCAGCCGCGCTCCCCTCAGTCTCAGCAGAATAGCCCCAAGGCAGCCGCCCTGTGTTTCCTATTTACTCGGAAATAACTCCCGCCGTGTACAACTGAACTTACTCCCAAGCAAGTCCGTCTTTCGGTTTCCATCCATGAGCTCAGGGCTGCGGCGCCCAGGAGGCGACCGAAGCGGCTGCCGGAGAAGCGCGACGCCCGGGAGGGAGGCTTCGGCGCGGCGGCCCCTGCCCGTTTCGCCTCAGGCTCCGCGGCGGCGGCGCCGCCTCCCCCGGCTGCGCGGCGGCTCCTCGGGCCGCGAGGCGGAGCCAGAGCAGCGCGGGCGGGGCGGCGGAAATGGCGGCTCCGTTGCTATAGAGACGCCCGCTTGGCTCCGCCTCGTCCGAGTCCTGCGCAGCGCTCTTCTCCGGGCCTGTGGCGCAGGCGCAGAGCGGCGCGGCGGAGGGCCGCTTCCCTCCCCCGCCCGGAGCGGCGCTTAAAGGGGAAGTGGCCCCTTTCCCGCGGCCGGCCTCCTCCTGCTCCTGCTCCTCCGTCCGCCCGCCCGGCTCTCCTATGGCCTGGCCCGGGGCGCGGAGGGCGAGAGTGGCAGTCGGGGCCGGGGGGCCATGGCTGCTCCCGGGGCGTCGCGCTTCCTCTACGAGCTGCCCGCCGCCGTCATGTGCAAGTTCCACGAAGTCATGGACGCGCTGGGGAGAGCCGAGTGGGAGCGCTTCGGTGAGCGGGCGGGTGGGCGGGCGGGCGGGGGAGGGAGACGGGCCCCTCGGCCTCCAGGCGGACTGGCTGCCCGGCGGCGCCGCTTGCCGGCCTGACGGAGGGCTGTCGCTGCCGCCGCCCCCGCGAGAGGGAGCCTCCCTGGTCCGCGGGCGGAGAAGGTGGGCTGCCCCGGGGGAAATGCTTGCCGGTCGAGAGGCGCTTGTCGTTGCTGCTGCTGTTGTTTATTCAGCTACTTATTACACTTCTGCACTGCCCTTAGTCTGATCGAACCCAGCGCCGTTTGTGTTGAGATCCCTGAATGGCAGTGGGTTGAACTAGATGACCCTCGGGGTCTCTGCCGACTGTGAAATTCGGCCTGCCGCCAGGCATCGGAGAACAGGCAGCTCAAAAGGGCTCTTGCTCTTGCTTTGCACAAACTGAAGATCAAAGGTTAGAGGTCCTGGGGGAAATCTGGCCTCCAGGTGGCAAATCCACCCCAGGACAAAAGGGATGTGTGGAAGAAGCAGCTGCTGTGGCCGTGGGACTTTCTGGCAGCCCATTTTGAGATGTTGAAGGTGACTGGCCTATCATCCTCCAACCCCTCTTCAAAGTAGAAAATAATTTGCTGGTGATCTGCACAAAACCTTCTCTACAGCTGGAAGCTCTCTGTTTCGCAGGGCAGAAATTGCTCTGGATCAGTTCATGCAGGGATCAAGTTTGCAGTCCATGCCAGCACTGATGGCGGTAGGAGGATGGAGGGAGCTGTTGAGGTGCAGGGAGGATCTTGTGTAAGGTTAGAAGTTCATCTCCACCTTCACCAGCGAGGAGTACAAAAAGCAGCTGCTTGAGAAGCTACTGACTGGGAAGGTGGATCTGGTTTGGCATAGCAAGGGGTCCCAGGATGGAAGAAGTCTTTGGCTAGAATGGCTACAAGCAAACACCAGAGTCTTCACTTAAGCGTGTGCTGCCTGCACCCACCACCCCACCCCTGCACCGGCCCAGCTCAAAAAAAGTTTTGAAATGAAATTACTGAAGGGCAGCTGTGTTATCGGGGTCAGCCCATTGTGTTTTGGTGGCTAAAGGAGATCCAAGCGAGGCAGACGTGCCTGCATCCTCGGTTAATGAAGCGCTCTTGTGCAGCTCCTCCTGTCTTCTTTAGTTGGGCTTCCCCAGGAGGCTATCCCAGTGGGGAGTCTCTCATGGGTCAGATTTGCCTGCTCCCCATGATGCCTTTAATAGCACTCCAAATGTGCCATTTGAATCGGCTGCCTCAACTTGCCTTTTTGTATTAAGGCTCTGTTCGCATATTGGCTGTAAAAAACAACACAGTGCTGTGGGTGGCCCCTTTATAGGCTACTGACTGAGGCCCAAACTTGTGGGCAGCAACCTGCTTCTCTGGGTGCATGCACTTCAAGTGGGTTGAAAAAAATCATAGCATAGCTGGTTTGGCATTATGTGGGAGAGCTGCTAATATTATTGATGATAATAATTGCCAGCTTTCTAGGTATTTTTTCATAACAGAACCAAATGTGACTTTTCACAGGAAACTGCTTAAAAACAACCACCCTTTGAGGCCAGGCATATTCCCTGGCATATTTGCAGCCCTTTGGCATGTGGGCTGAAGCATCCCTTGAATGAACCAGGGTTTCCATGTGGTGACTGTCCAGGCCACCACCGTTATTTGCGGGATCTCAACTGCAGAGGCAGGCATTAGAATTATAGAATTGTAACGTTGGAAGGGAATGAAGAGTCATCTAGTCCAACCCGCCTGCAATGCATCAACAACTCACCCCACCCTCCCTGTGGAAGTGCTGGTTCACACAACTGGTGTTTCTCCACAGGTTATCACATGGTTTTGATGTTTTAATGGTGCCGACCAGGGCTCTGTCTACATTCACATTGAATGGAGGTGAGGGTGTGGCCTTCACCTAGATGCTGAGATGATACCTGACTCAGAAGCCTCTTTGGTTTCTGTTTAAAAGCTTTGAACAATATAACCTTAAACTTCTTGTAACTCAGCTAAGCTGTAGGGTAAAAATGTGATGAAATCTTTTTCTATTCCTTCTTTTATTATCGCTCCCCCCCCAATTCCAACTATAATCTCTCTCTGCCATGGAATCTTTAATACTGAAACCAGTTTACAATTGTCTGGGTGCTTTTGACCTTCAGTGCAGCCAGGGCTTTTTTTCAGCTGGAACGCTCTGGATCTCAGTTCTGGCACCTCTCAGGCGGTGTCATTGCCATTCTAAGAGAACAAGGGAGGTGTTCATGGTGAGTTCCAGCACCTCTTTTTCCAGAAAAATAGCACTGAGTGCAGCTGAAATAGTGACCACAGACATGGGAGCTGAGGTAAATGTGGTATAGCTTCCAGTTTCAGGCTGGACACTTCCTTACTGTTTGGACGCCTCCTGGGAATAAGAGTATTTCTTCTTACTGTTTGGAAAATTTGCTTGACAAAATGGTGGTGGCAACCAATATAAATGTAGAAAATGGGTGTGGGAGAGCAGAACCACATCTGAAATGGATTTGGCTCTTCTACATGGCCTACTGTGATTGGGGTAGCCTTGGTCAAACCTGATTACTCAGAGCCCTTGGTCAGTCTGCAATCTGCAAAACCAGCAGTATCCAGCACATCCCAACTTTATAGCCAAAACAGGAGCAGGTAAATAGGTTGTGAGAGAGACCTCTGCATGAGCCCAATAGATTGCTGCTGAAAGTCAAATGATTCTGTGCCCCATAGTCTGACCCTTTCCATAAAGCAACTTCCTGTGCTGTTGATACCTGGGGTGGGGGTGGGGAAAGAAAAGGCATTTCCCCTAAAGATAAACTGCTCATAAGGGAATTGGGGGTGGGCTTGAGGCTAAATTTTCAAAGCTCCTGAGATTGGATTTAGTCGTGTTGCCTATCCTTATCTTGAATCAAAAGGCAGTATTCAGGTATAGATGTCTTAAGAGTATAGGTTTGAGGAGTTGCTCATAACAGGGAAAGAAGGTTAAGTGGATGCAAAATCTGAGTTGAAATCTGTTGAAATCTGAGTAGAACAGAATTGTAATATAGCACATGGATAATAAGCTTGTTCTCATGGCAGAAAATATTGGGATTGCCTCCTGACAGCAGATACTTCTGCCATAACTGGCCTTTCTTCCTTGCTCTCTTGTACCTCAGCTTCCAGGATTGTACGAGATCAGGTGGAGCTGCGCCTGTATGAGAAGATGGATGGGCGGACGCAGCATCTTATGTGGGCCTGGATGAATCGCAATGCCTCTGTCGGTGACTTACTGCAGATCCTTGATGACTTGGAGCTTTATCTGCCACGGGATGTCATCACTTCATGTGAGCCCACCATGAGCCTTCCCTGCCTTCCCTCTTCTAGTTCAGTTTATTGGTTGGTATATCTGGAGCAATTAAAGCCACGAGAACAAGCAACACTTTTTCAGCCTGTTTACTATGAAGGAAGGGGGTGGAACGTCCCTTCTTCTTTCCCCCCGCCCCCATCCACCCCTTCTGTAGTGCCTGCAGCCCCAGTCCCAGAATCCTGCTGTTTACATTCTCAGGTCATGGCTGTTCTTGCTTATCAAACTCCTTTCCATCATGACACCTAGCAATTGCCCTGCATGTTTAGAATTTTTTTAAAGGAATTGTTCTTACCCAGGTGCCTTTGGATGGGCATTTAAAACTTTTTAAGGCCCAAATACTTGTCTAAAAGGCTCAAAATTAAATATCTTGTTTCTCCTGCTACATTTGTTGTGCAAGTGTGTGTTATGACTTTGCTGTATCCTGCTTAGAGACCGTTTTGTTGAAAAGTGGATTATAAAACTTTTGCAATTATTAGTTGCTTTTCTAAAAAGGAACTGTATACAAAGCAACTTATAAAGTGCAACATAAACTAGGCTAAAAACTTGAAATATTGCTCTTTGAAGTGTAAAGAGTGAAATGTGAAAAGTCCTATTTTTTTTTTTAAAAAACCAGAAAATCCCAACAGCCAATAGTTGGTAAATCTTGTAAGAAATAATAGGGTTCCACCTACTGGTGAAAGGAGGTACATGGTTTTATTTCCTACAGAACTTTTGGGGCAGAAGGGCATTTTGTAAGGTGGATGCTGCTGCAGTAAAAGCCCCACTTGGAGGCTTTTATAGGTCTTGGTTCATCATCATACAGCTTTTGAAGTGCTACATTTTTTAAAATACAAAAAGATATAGAAAAGTAATGCAAATAAAAAACAAAAACCACTACCAAAAATACTAATAGAATTAATAGAGTATGGAGTCCTCCCTTACCACCCACAGAAGGTAGTAGGGTCCTCCATCAACCATCCACCACCACCATGAGTAAACAATCCCTGGAGCTTAATAAAGACTCTGAGTAGAGGATGCCAAATAAAGAGAGAAGCAAACAAAGAAGAGACACAGCTTTTGAAGTGCTACATTTTGAAAATCTGTCCTGCAACATCTTTGGGATACAGGGCACCAGTTGCCATTTGAAGCTGAGAGTGTGTGATTTGCCAGGGGTCACCAGAATACCTGTACCTGGGCTGGGTTTAGTTTAGACTTCCAGGTCCAGCGTCCTAGCCAATGGTTAACATCCACGTCTTTAAACATGGCTTTTGCCTTAGCCTTTGCGTGGATAAGTCTGGGAGGTTTTCTAAGTGGTGACTGATGCTAACCTGCAACTCCCATTACCCAAACCATTGACCAGGGGTGTGTTGTCAATATTTGTCAAGATGTTCCTGCATTGATTGCTTGTGTGTTGATATTAATCCTGCCTGCTGCAGGACACTTTTCTCTTCCCACTACTGCACGAGTGCTGGGACATGAGGAGGCAGACAGGACACTCAGGCTGAGAAATCCAAGGAAGGCAATGTGGTGACAGCTCCTGTTTTTGGAGGCTGTCTAACATCTTTTCTCACTTCTTCTTTTTCTAGGGCATCCGCCACCACAACCTGCGAAGCCCAGTGCATTGTCTTCTCATTTTCCATATGTCTCCCCTGAGCCACCGCCTTCCCTACCTGAGCCCCCACGTGCTGCGCCTGCCCCAGATCCTGGTAGCCACGGCAGCAGCAGGGCCAGGGAACCGATTTGGGAGCCCCACAAACAAGCTTCCTCACCTGCACCAGGTAAAAATGCATGCCATGGCTAGGGGAAGCCTTTATTGAGGATAGTAAAGGTGTATAATCTGCTTTTCTCCTCTGATGCAGGCATCTTCAACCTTTTCAGACCCAGGCCCCACTTTTAACCTAAACATGCATTTCTTAATCTTTCACAATATACTTGTATGGTGGCAGTGCTCCTGTTGTGACCCACCTTGGATCAGGCTGTGACCCACTGGCGGGTCCTGGCCCACCAGTTGAAGTCCAGGGCTCTAGTGGAAATGCTTAATGACCTCCTCCCCACCCCTGTGGTCTGAAATGCTGACTGTGTTCCAGACTGCAAGTAAGTGGTAGCCAATATGGTTTCCTCCGGATGTTGTCCCACCACCCCTGACTTTGCACCATGCTGGCTGAGACTGATGGGACGTGGGCTGCAGCTCCCATCTGGAGGGTAGTGCATTAGTTGCCTCTGATTTAAAGCCTCTCCTTTCCCAGCATAGCATCTCATTATGGGACTTCTGGGCAATGAAAGGGGGTGGGGCATATTGGAAATGGTTTGTGCTTTTTTAATTTCCTTGCCAGAACTGTGTGCATTCTGCAGTTCTGTGATGATGCTTTCCAAGAGCTTCTCATGTCATTTGAACCTACATATGTTTCTAGCCTTTAAAGTAACGACTCTGGGTGTGAGAGTGTGGCTGATGAAATGCTGTGTGGAAGGGGTGGGGTAGGCTGAGTAGGAGTCCTGTTTTGTGGGGTGGAGGGTGTATCTCTTGGCTCCTTCCTTGGCCATCAAAAGCAAGATTACGCAGAAAGGAAAATAATGTGCACGCATGCTTAATATGCACAATTTATGTAGGCTGCAGAATTTGGCTTTCTTGGTGTACACTCTCTTTTACAAGAGAGCACATGTATCCCCACTGCTGGGGTTGGGCTATTCAGAACAGCGTCAAGTTCAATTCCCTGCTCTCAGTTGGGAATCCCTAGAGGAGAAAAAGGGACTTCAGGTTCTAGCAATGTATGAGAAGCGATGAAATTCCCTTTCCATGGTTCTTGACGTTATACTTTGCATTGCAGTAGAAGGGGGCTCCTGCTTTGTAGTTTACAGGGGTGGGGGAAATTGGGCCTTTAGCCTTTTATCCTGGGGGTTTTACAGCCCTGTGATTATTCTTGCTGCTCATTTTTGTACTTTTTCTCATTTAGTAAGATTTTCTTCTTGAAATAGGCAAGCCAGAACTATGCAAAATATGAAAACTCCCCTGTCTAGGAGTCATCTATGGCACTATAGAGAAGGATCTTCAATTTTGTAGTGCCACAATTATGCTGGAGGGGAGGAAGAGTCTGTAGTAATGCTGGGTCACACCCACCCTCCTCACCTGTCCTACAATCCAGCGGGACCCGGCTAAGAGAGGGAAGGTGGTGCCACAGCATTTACTTTTCAGGACAAAACACAACAGGAGGGGTAGTTGCTGCCACCACTCCCTTGTCCGGGGATAGCCCAGAAGATTAACCCAAGGGCGAAGGTTACTCTTCCTTGTTGCCAGCTGCCCCACCCTGCATTGCTTTACCACAAATTGCAGGCAGAAATTCAACAGGTTCAGTAGGAGGCTAAGTGGTCAGACTTTGGATTCAGACTTTCCCCCAGAAAGGCACACAGAACAAAATAGGAAAAGCCTTTTTAAAAATTTATTTAAAAAACAAGATTAAACATACTTAAAAGTAGGCACATCTCTTACAGTAGTTTCAGACAGGAAAATAAAAACATTGTAAAGCATCGCTAGCTAAATGTACTTACAAAATGAGAACACAAGAAAAGTTAAGGCAGTTAAGGCTGAATCTGCATCTCAGGAAGACAATAGGAATTCTTCATCACAAAGAACATGCATATGAATGTAGCAAGGCGACTGTCAGCATGGTGGTACGCCTGACAGAAGGGCGGATGCGCTGCGGGTTTCATTCCTAAGGTTTTTAACCTTAGGACCCCACGTGTAAGAGGACCCCCAATCAGAATTTCTGATTAATTAAAAATTTACCAATGGTCAACTAGTTGGGTAATAACTCAGCTTGTGACAGCTGAAGCTCGTTTGTTCTCAAGACCTTGGGATCAAAGGGTTCCTCCCAAATTCTCAAAGTTGATGGCTCATTCACACACAGGCAGCATCTTAGATACCAGGTGTTAAAACACCACTACCGTATTTTTTTGCACCATAACACTCACTTTTTTCCTCCTAGAAAGTAAGGGGAAATGTCTGTGCATGTTATGGAGCGAATGCCTGTGGGTGGCGGGGGGAATCTGCTGCAGTCGTGAGCAGAGGATCCATAGTTCCCCTTCCTTCCCTCCTCCGTGGTTACAAAGCATGGATCCTCAGGATTTTTGCATTGGGCTACTCCAAACTCACTGTCAGATCACATGTCTGTGGCCACAGCATGAACCACAAAAATCATATATCCACTATTTCGTTTAGAATATTTTTTTTCTTGTTTTCCTCCTCTAAAAACTATGTGCGTGTTATGGTCTGGTGCGTGTTATAGAGCGAAAAATACGGTAATCAACTGGAAGTTTTCCTTCCTGCAGATGCATGAGATAACGTATTCACACTCCCAGAGCTAGTTAGTCTACAGTTTAAAGCAACAAGGACACATTTCCCATAAATCCTTTGGCCTTTGGTTCTCCCACAATGCTTCTCTCAGCTTGACCAAAGTTTGGCTAACAAAAAACTCCTAACTTCACTACAGGGTCAAAGTGGAAATTTAAAATTTTCCTCAGCCCTTCAGCTTGATCTCTCCATACGTCACATCAAACAAAGGGGTCACTTGATGTCCTGAGTATTATTGTAAGCCATCTGTAGTGTTTTTACTGGAAGGGGAAGTGAAAACATATTCAAAATACTACTTTCCTTCAAATCAAACTCATAGGTCCTGGCGGGAACAAAACTGGAGAGTTCAGATAGAAGAATAAGATTGGATAAGCACTGGTCCAAGGTGCAATATGGACCTCTTTCAGCTCAAATCAATGAACTCCCCCTGGAAAATAGTATGTTGCTGGTGCACAACACCACAATTAGTTTCTTTTGTACACAGGGCAGCTTCCCCCTTATGTTGGAGGGGGTGCCAGGATACTGGAACCTACTGGGATATGTGGTGGGCCTTCCCCAAGGAAAAGAGTTCTGGATAAAAGTATTTTCTGAGATCTCATTCATAAGCAGACCATTTTTTCCTCCCCTTTTTTTGACTCTTAAATTTGTTTGTAGATTCGGATCAAGACCTGAATATCAAGAAACTGATTTTGCTTAAGTGCCAAGTTTTAGAAGACTTTGATTTCAATAATCTGGATTATTGGTATTCCAAGCCTTCTTGAAAATGTCCCATCATCATTATAATTATTATTATTATTTCATAAGTTAAAAGTTTTCAGGGCCAAAAGTGCTCAATTATGCCATGGGGCATAATCCACTGAGAATTTTTTCTATGTAGCTGCAGAATAGAACAGGGACTATGGGAAAAGCATCTTTTCAGAGGAGGCCAGTGGTATGCCATTTGGATTTGTTTAGGTTGAAGCACCAAAATGCTCCATGCTGACCCTGTTGGGAGCCAGAAAAAATGGAACGGTTATTTTTGCAAGCTGTGTATGAATGTGGTGCAGAGTTAGGGTAGTGAGTTGGTCTTTTGAGATTGATAGGGGAGATAATTATTTCCGTGCCCTATTTTTAAAGGTATACAGGACCCACTTGGATACGTGGGTCTCTGTGAACCATGTGCTAAAGGAAAATTCAAATTCTATGCCAAGACTGCCCAAAATTATGCACCGAGGAAAGCTGAGTTCTGCATCTGGAATAAACTGTGTGCATTTTGCCTCTCTCCCTCCAGTGCTGCTTCTGCCAGTCACAGGAAACACCAAGGACCACACACAAAGGGCGTTGAAGGCACTGGAGATTCTGGGTGCATCCACACATAAACTAGCTATTGAAATTTCATCAAGCATTGCCTGCACACTTTTCAAGTCTTCCTTGTATGTTGTGAAGGCTAGAAACGTAATTTTAAAATGAAAGTAGAGGTTCTTGGGATGTTGAATTCTGCGCCCACCCAGTTGCCTGTCACTTCCTTCTGCAGGCTCTGTGCCATCTAGAGCAGTCGAGATGTCTGTCGGAACCCGCAGCTCTGTCACTAATTTCAGTTTATTCAGGTGGTAGAATTTCCTTTCATGTAACTTCTTAAGCAGTGCTGAAGAAAAGTGGTGATTCTCCCAGTCTTTCCTGTATCTCCCGCAGCTTTTCAAAACGTTCTGTGTTTCCCCCTCTTGCTTCCACCACCTTCAGCAGACATCATTGAGGGGGCTGGAAATTGGAGGAGGTCCCATTTTTGTACCCCAGCTATAACGGCATTCATTCCCACTTCTTCCCCATGCAAACAGAGCCCTCCGGTCCTCCGCTGTCTCTGCCAGGCCCCCCTCCCAGCAGCCACCTTAACAGTGTCGGCCAGAGAAACCCACCTTTGCCTCCCACCCGCCTTGATGAACAGGTATGGACCTAATTCTGCTGCTGCCTGATGGAACAGTTGGGCTCTGACTGTATATGTGGTGGTGGTGGGGTGTATGTGGGAATTCGATGTGCAGGAAAACATAAGGAAAGCGGCCTGGTGACCAGGGTGGTGTAGGCTGGGCTACTGAATGATGGAACTAAGTATCTAGCTCTTGAGAATCTCAGCCTCATGGTTTGCAACACGCTTATTCTTTTACATGTAAAAGCAGGTAGTGTCTGTCACAGTTATGGGGCTGCCTGGGCTCCTTTGGAAAGTCAAGATTCAAATTCAATAAATAAGTACCTGTTTCTTCCTCAGTCATATTTTTGTACTGCTTAGTTCCCCATTGTGTACCTGCCGTCCCTCCTGCCATTTTTGGATGGTGGCTTTTTCTTTCCCCTTACTGTTTAAGCCATCTTCTGATCCCCCTCATGTTTGTACTCTGCACCCTTCCTTTCTCTTTCTGCATCCTTTCAGCATTATCACTTCTGGGCTGATGCCGGATAATTGCTTCTCTCCAGCAACTCGCTGCCAGCAACAAGACCTCAAGGAGCTGGAATCTGATGCCCTCCTTCCATGCAGTTAGTGGAACTCGACTGTCTTGAGGAGCACATGTTGAGGATGCTGCCCTTTTCAAGCTCATTCCTCTCTGTCTTCCCAATTCCAGAGCCTTGACTCTCTGTCCCCTGCCTGCCCCTTTGAGTGGCAGCTGAAGGAGCTGCGCGAAGCCACAGGAGACTTCTCAGAGACCCTGAAAATTGGAGAAGGTGGCTTTGGCTGCGTCTACCAAGCCCGACTGCGCAACACTGTCTATGCTGTCAAACGGCTCAAAGAGGTATAACCAAAGAGTACTGGGCTGGGGGCCTGACCATTTTACTTTGCATTCCCCTCCACCATCCTGGTATCCTGGTGTTTTGAACTCCCATGACTCCTGTCCACACTGGATGGGGTGGATGGAAGTTGTAGCCCAACAGCATATGGAGGACACCAGGTTGGGAGGGGCTGCCTTCCACAGCCTTCCTGCCTCTCTTCCATCTGGTCCATGGAAGGATGAATCAGTTAGCGTTCGCTTTGCTCATGTAAGGTCTCAGCTCAGATTCCCAGCATTTCTGACTGAAGGGCCTTCTAGCAGCTTGAGTCTTTGGCGTGCCCTGGCAGCAGAGCTTGTGGGACCCTTGGGGTGACTCCTCATCTCCTTGTGTCTCTCCAGTGTCCTTTGTGCTTGGCTGTGGGGGGTTGGAAGGGAGCCACCTCAGTCCTCTTTCATTCCCACCCCACAAGTGTGGCCTTGCCAGTTCTTCTGAAGGAAGGTGTGCTCCTAGTGGTGATACTGATCATCTTTATCTATTCTCACCCCCCCCCCCCATCTGACTGACAGGAAGCAGAATTGGATTGGACTGTAATAAAGAACAGCTTTGTCACAGAGGTGGAAAAACTTTCCCGGTGAGACCTGAAAACTATGAATTGGAAGGTTATTGGGTGGGGTTTCAGGAACAGGGATTGTGCATGAGGCTTGCTGTTTGTTTGTTTTTTAAAAACTGTGGTGGGACATAGGGAGGCGCTTGAGCTGCTTCTGCTTAACGCTGCCCCTTGTGTATCCCAGGTTCCGCCATCCCAACATTGTGGAGTTTGCTGGTTACTGTGCTGAGCAGGGGCATTTCTGCCTTGTCTACGTCTTCCTACCTCAGGGCTCCTTGGAGGACCACTTGCGTAGACAGGTACTCACCTGAACTTCTATTCTTCTTCTCAATACTTTTATCCAGGGGTTCTTCAGAAGGTGGCACCAAAGACTGTTTGATTTGCTGATTTGATTTTTGTTTTTCAGAGAGGTCCCTGCCTCTCCTGGGCCCAGCGGCTGCATATAGCAGTGGGCACTGCCAGAGCCATTCAATTCCTGCACAGCGATTCTCCTAGCCTTATTCATGGTGATGTCAAGAGGTGAGAGAGGAGGAGAGCTTCTCTCCCAGGCTGCGAACAGATGAAAACGGGGCATGATGTTAAACCAAACTGGAGGATTGTTGCTTTGTGCATGAGAAGGAAGAGTTCTGCTTTTCACATCTTCTGCTTTGACTTGGGGAGGAGGGAATCATCACAAGACGTGTGTTGGCACATGTGCTGCGATTCCACAAGGAAATTCATTGCAGAACTTTGCTTTCTAAAAACCCCATATTTTTTATTTATTTTTTGAAAAGTGTGAGCCAAGTCTGCTGAAATGGAAGCAGCCAGAAGGGTCTGTGTATGAGATTTCCCAATGGTGGGGTTTGGGTGCTCTGCTTCACCAGTTGTCCCTCTCTATGATTAACAAAGCCAGAATAAATTACTCAGAGAAATTAGGCAATTTACTAAATCTGCATAATTCAAGCAGGTTGCAGAATTTGGGTTGCCTGAGTGCAGAATTCCAGTTTTCTTGTTCTTAGCATATAAAAGTGTATTAAAAACTCTGGACACATCCTTTGCAAAGGATAGGTCTGTTATTGAATGGGAAAGGCACTAAGTAGAAATTATTCCATATCGGTAGTGCTGTTGTGTGCTATTGTGATGGGCCTTTAATAATTAGCAGGGTGCAGACAGTAGAAGCAGGTCAGGGTCATTTCGACGGGTAGAATAGCCAAGCTTCTGAAATCTGTAGCTTTTGTAATCCAAAACAATCTGCTCACCATCCACAAATCTTCATGCTTTTCCCAACACACTGCGGTTTCCTGTCTTCAGCAAGCACAAGAGAACTCTGCTGTTTTTTGGAACATACCTGCCCCAGTAAAAAAACCCCAAAAGCTATATCTCTTAAAGTTCTATTTTTTGGGTGTGTGTGGAAATGTTACAAATCTCCATTAAAAGCAGAGTTGGGGCTATGATTCCAGAAAAAGCACAGAATGTGATACTGAGCCCAGAATTCAGCTTTCCAGAGATCTCATTTTTTGTTTTTCATAAAGCAAGCTTCTGTTCCTTTTAGGATTGTAAATATACACTTAAAGGTGTGTTTGCAGTGCCTGGTGAAATCTTAGTAGCCAGAGGAGTTGCTGGATTAAAGTATAAGTGGTCAGAGAGCAGGACTTTGGTGCTTTGTCTTAGCCCTCATCTTCTGGATGATTAACTGGAGCAGAATGGGCAATGCAAAATAGGCTGAACTGGGATTGATTTCTTTTTTTCTGGGCTCACAACGTGGATGACTGGAACAGAATTCATAGCAACAAGATGAAGAACGTATGCTGCTCAAAATGTAATTGGTACACACAGGAGATTTTGATGAGGCTTATTTTGGAGAATGGAATGTGAGAGGCTGTGTATAGTGGCTGGTTGTAAACCCTTTATTTCTCCCTGCCACTTGCAGCTCTAACATCTTGTTGGATGCGGCACTCACCCCCCGACTGGCTGACTTTGGGTTGGCACGTTTTAGCCGCCGACCAAAGCAGGGAGGACTGAGCAGCTCTCTGGGCCGGACGCAGACTGTGCGGGGCACGCTGGCTTACCTGCCCCCTGAGTACGTCCGGACGGGGATGCTTTCTACCGCTATTGATGTTTTCAGCTTTGGTGTGGTGAGTAACCTGGGGAGGGTAGAGGAGGGGCTTAGCAAAGACTGCACCATGAAGACAGGACACTTTCCTTCCCGTCCATTCTGTCTACTTCTAAAATGAGATTTTATTATTTAAAAAATTGATATATCACTTTTCATTTATAAAGGGATTACTCTCAAAGCGCTCTCTCTCTCACACGCACACACACAGTTGTAGACTTGGGACCCAAGGGTCATCTAGTCCAACCCCCTAAAGTGCAAGAGTAGATCTCTCTCTCTCTCTCTCTCTCTCTCTCTCTCTCTCTCTCTCACACACACACACACACACACACACGTATTTCATCTAGGCCTGCAGCTTCTTTGCCTTTTGAGCACCCATCCCAGGACTTCAGGAGTGTGGGGAGGTTGGCACAGGGAGAATATGATGAGTTAGGAAAATTCCCTCTTTTGGTGTGTTGGAAAGAATATGCTTTGTTTGGAAAGCTGTTCTTTCCAAGAATTCAGTGCTAGGTGAAAATTCTGGCCCTTTGAAGGCTTGTTATCTTGCAGGAACACTTACAAGGACTTAACTGTCATAGGATGTGTTGGAGCTATGCCCTTGTTCATCTATCTAGCTCATTCAGAGACAGAAAGTACAAACTAGGAATTGGCAACTTGGGGGATGGGGTTGCCCCTTGACCACTTGATCGTCTAACACACTCCAGCCCAGCAAGAGCGCATCTTTTGGGGAAGACTCCTTCCCTGCTATGCACTTTGCCTGTCCTGTGTGTGAGACAAGGCAAAATGGAAGTGAGCTACTAAGGGGTGTGAAGGGGAGAACCCTGCCAGTGTCTCAGTGCCATAACTAAATCAGGCCATGAACGTTTTTCTTTAATTTGCAAATATCAATTGGTATGTTTTAATAGTACCCCTTGACCTTTCCAAGGGTTACTATATTTACATATCAGACAAGGGAGTGTGTGTTGCTGATTATATTTTAGGCTCGTCTTCAAATGCAGCATCACCATTCAAGAGCCTTGACAGAGTCTGAGATGGTGGGCCACTCCCAGGCTGAGAGAAGGCTGCAATGGACCCACCAAATTGATTGTAATATCAGACAGATGATGACCACAGACAAACTTCAAAAGCTACATCAGCAAACTCTAGAAAGGACTTGGAATATTTGTGCGCTACATCAGGATATAACCAGGGAATGTAGACCATTTCTGATTCCTACTTCCCACCCTAAAACATCCAAGCGCATGGAGTCGGTTTGATAGGGACTGTAAGTCCAAGAAAAAAGAACAGTCCTAATAAGACAAGTTCAGTTTGCCCGTTCAGGTGAGGCTATTTCTCTTCTACAACAGCAATGGCGAGAATATAAAACATTGTTAAGGGAGGAAAAAAGGGTACATTATGAAAATCTTTGGGCCTCGCTCCTATTGAGAGGAACAAATCCAAATTTTGGAACCTAATTCAAGGAGGCTCTGTGGATAAGCTTTTTGAGTCTTTACTCACACCCCCATAATACCTGAAATTTGAGTTGCCCATTCTAGTGCCATTTTTGGAAGTAAAATGAATATAAACCCTCCAAGACAGAGAACCCTTTAACTCTCCCTAACTGGCTTGGGAAAGCACCAGGAGATGTTTCCTCCGGCGGTTTTCTCTTTGAACGTAAATTGCTGCTCTCCAATTTTGGCAAAACTATTTACATGCCTAAACACGACTGGCAGCATCTCTTTAGGGTGGCTGGTGTACCAGTATAGTCCTTCCCATTTTCAAGAAAGGAGACCTTTCAGACCCTCACAACTATGAGACTGCTAGATGTGGCCTCCAAATTATAATCAGGTTATTTATTAAATAAAATCCAAGAATGGGACAGTAATCAAGCCATCATTCATGATGAACAAGCAGGATTTAGGAAGGGTAGATCAAGTTTATGTATTGTATAAGCTAATTTGTAAATTTATCAAAAGTCCATATAAGACCCTCTATGCAGCTTTTAAATCCTGCCCTCAATATCTGTGTGTCAAAGAATACTGCACCAATGCTTTATAGGGCTGAAATTTGATGAACTGGTGTCAAATCTGAACGAGAAGTCCTACAAAAGAAATTTATGAGGCAGGTATTGGGGCTTCCTCCTGGGACTCTGTTGGCTCATCCGAGAGCTGAGTTGGGTCTCCCCTCAATAGCGGCCAGAATTGATCTAGCCTATCTTAGCTACTGGCATAGACTTTGAGGACCATATTCTCACCAAGCTCAGCTGGTTGGAGCAGCTAAGGACAGGAGGTTGGGTACAAAAGTGTCAAGACAAGCTTAGGGCTTGAAATCTCCAAGCGGGGAAATATTTATCCCTTAGCGAACTTAGAAATTGGATATTTGACCATGACTCCAAGCAAGCCAGAGCATTCACAATCGCTGCCTGTTATTCTGTTTGGGACCCTCAAATTAAGGACAACCATTCAAGGCCTCACTACCTTCCCCACAATTGCATAGGGCCTTTGTTGAGCTTCGGTTTCAGCAGATGCCCTCAGCATCCTTAGAGGGGAGATACCTTGGAATTCCTCAGATGGCATGGAAACGCATTTATGGATGTAATCAGGTCGAGGATGTCTTCACCATTTGTTGATTTGCCCCTTATAGACAGTGCTCATAACATTTTTAATACTCTATTCTTTATTGGTACTCTGATAGATCCCCCCCAGGAAGTGATAGTTGAACTCTTAGCTGATAAATATCTACAAATTACACATCTGGTAACCAAATTTGCCCTGGCAGCTAAGAAGCTTTATTCCAGTTATGCTAATGCATTGTAATTTTAAATTTTATGCTGCAGACTTTTATGCTGTAGAGCTTTATAGATTTGCATTGTGTGGTTTTAGAGGAATGCCTTGCTTTTGCCCTCTGTCGTTCATTGTGAAGGCCTTAGACTATACAGGCAGTGACTATTTTGTGTGGGGATTCTGTTCCTGGCCCCCACATGCATCAGAGGCGTGTGCATAAGCTTGTTCCACTTCCATTCTGCCCTCTTCTGGGTGCAAAAGGACCCACGCATCAGTGGCCGCGCTTCCATTGGACACGCACAAAATTGTCGCTGGCTGTATACAGTAAATTGAATTGATTGACCATGTCTCAGTTGCCTGCTCATAATACTGGGGAGGATGGCGGGGGGGGGGGCTTGAGGGGGTCAGGTCAGTGTGCAGAGTTGATGCTACTGGCCCTGCAGCCCAGCCCATGTTGACAACAAGCTGCTGGCTTTCAATTTTAATACACAAATTGAGCATTGGAAGTGAGCCCAAGGGATGCGATCCTCAGAGTGCCTGATCCTGTCTGGTTGGCTAAGCTAGAATGTGGGGAAAGAAGGGAAACCCCCACCCCCGTTTCTCTTTCCCTTCCTTGCTATGCATTCCGGTTTATTTTAAGTGCAGCTCCTTTTCCTCCCACCAACCCACCCCTACCAGGTCCTGTTGGAAATCTTGACGGGGAGACGATCTATGGAGCTGGATTCACGTGGACACAGCAAGTACTTGGTGAGAAATTATTCTCTTTATTAATGTGCAGCTTGTTTTCCTTCTGACACCGAACAGTCAGTGTTGATGCTGGTCCCTCCTTGCTGGCTTTCCCACCTCCTCTTTTTCCAACGGATTATCCCTCTCTCTGCCTTCAGAAAGATCTTCTGAAGGAGGAGGAAGAGGAGCAGGAAGCCCAGCTGTCCTCGGCCACAGCTTCTTCCAGCCTGTCCCAAGTTGCTCAGCTTGGCACTCATCTATACCAGAAGCACGCAGACCCGCGGGCCGGGCCCTGTCCAGAGCAACTGGGCACAGCACTGGGCAGCCTGGCTTGCCGGTGCCTCCACCCAAGGGCCAAGCACCGGCCCCCAATGACAGAGGTAGGTGGCATGAAGGGGGGAGCTGGAGCATTTGGGTCAAGGATGGGGAACCTGTGGCCCTCTGGTTGTTGCTGGACCACAGATCCCAGGAATGATAGAAGTCGTCCACCAACAACGGGAGAGCCAAATGTTCCCCAGCCCTGATATAGGCCTTTTCTCTGGGAGCTCCAGTAAACTAAGCTGGGTTTGGCTTGGACAAATCCCTGCCTTGGACCCACCTGTGAAATAGGAAAAAGAAGTGGGACACCAGGGTAAATCTGTGATTCTGGTTTTGTGTGTTTTTGCGTTTCACTTCCAAGTTCATTCCCCATTCAGGTTCACATTACTCTTGCATACTATTTGCTATTCTGTCTCTGTAGTGTTTGGTTTTATATAAACGCACACACAGATGACACAACATTTACATACTGTTGGTCCACTGCTTCCTTTTTTTCTAAACCCCATCTTTCCATACAGCTTTTATGCTCATTTTTAAAACCTTCTTAGCAGTTGGGATGTTTTTCAACAGTCCATAACAGAGGAGCCATTCATTAGAAAGGACTTAAGTCAAGCAGTTGGAGCCAGATCTCTTACAGCCAAGAGCTATATAAGCATCAAAGATTGCAGCCTGCAGTTACATATTTTTCTCTCTCTTATGGTGAAGAATTTGCAAAACCACTCGGTGTCTGCAAGTTTTTAATGTGATATTTCATCTGCCTATTTTGGACCACAATAAATGTCCTAAAAGATGGATATGCAAAGCTTGCTTTGACATTACAAATAGGTCCTCAATAATAGTTAGCCATGTTTCATGTTTGCTGTGAGGAAAACTGACACTGGTGGTGTTCACCCTCTTACCAAAGCCATTTGGGCAAGCAAGGGTGTTTATGTATTATTTGTGCCCCCACAATTACAGAATCCCACTCTCAAAAGTCAAAGCCTGGGCATTGTTCATAATTGTTGAGAGTCCCCTCTGTGCCAACTACTGGTGAGCTTGGAGCTGAGCCAGTAAAGAGCTGTGGGTTTTAAGATACTTTCCAGTCCTGGCTGAATTTTAGTCTGTGAATTGGAATATATGTGTTTCTTCCTTACCTGCACATTTCTGTGAGCAGGGCCATAATATTTTAAATAGGTGGGAAACCACAAGCATTAATGGAGGGGGAGGAGACACATACTTATTCCACAGGGCAGGGCTAGGAAACCTGTTGCCTTCCGGAGGTTGCTGGATTCCCATTCGCCCCATCCCCAGCTTGCCTGGTCGGGGGGGGGGGGCCACAGAGGAGCTTCAGCCCCAGGAAGCCGTTATGGACAAGTCGTTCTGTCCATCAGTCCTGACAGGTCTAACATCCACTGTAACGGGGAGTACAGGGGGCAGCCAGTGCTCTAGGAACAGCGAATAAGTGTTTGGGGCTCCTGCTTCACCTGCTGTCATATTTACTGTACCTTGCGTTTTCTTTTATACCCACAGCTGTTGGTTCTATACTGGTACTGTGGTTTCTGCTGTTTCCCAGCTTGATGCTCTGCAGATGTGGTTGCACTCCAGTTCCCAGCATCTGGGGCTGGGGCTGATGGGAGCTGGAGTCTAAAACTATTTGGAGGGTCCCGGCTGGGGGAGGCTGCACTGTATGTACTGCCTTCTGTCCTTTGGGCCTTAGCAGTGCCCTGAGTGTCAAGGCCAGCAATGGGGTAGGAACAAATAGATCCAAGGAAAGAATGTGACTTTCTGTCTGCAAGGGGGTTGCCCCCCAACTTTTTTTTTTTTACCTTGCTCGGTATTGTGGGAAATTACTGTGCCTTCTTATTTGAGCCCCCCACTCTGCCAACTTACTCGTCCTCCTGTCTTTAAGGTATACCAAGAGCTAGAGAGGCTCCAATTACTGCTGTGCAAAGAGTCTTTCCCCACTTTGCAACCCCTGAGACAGCTGCATACTCCACAAGAGGATTCGTACACCTCCAGGCCTCTCAACCAGCCTGAGGAGAGTGATGAAAGCCTGGAGGGCAGCCTGAGGCTGCTGAGCTACAGAAGTATGCCCAGAGGAAATATCTCTGTAGGCCAACTAGGTAAGGCACTGCAGGCTGCTTCAGTCCCTCCCCCACGCTTCAGGGAGGATTGGCCAACTGACTGGACATGTATGGGCAAATAACAAGCATTTTTCAAGCATCGTACTTAATTGAACCAAATATTAAGTAACTGTTACAGAACAGTGACATTCCAATTCTAAATTTTCTATGTTTTTAGCAGTTCTTATTTTTATCTGTAAGCTGCTGTGATAAATGACATCAGCTCATAACCTTGTGCAAACTGAACAGTTCTTCTTTACCATTTTATTTTGAGCCCTAGGGCAGGCATAGGCAAACTCCAGCCCTCCAGATGTTTGGGACTACAATTCCCATCATCCCTGACCACTGGTCCTGTAAGCTAGTGATGATGGGAATTGTAGTCCCAAAACATTCCAAGAGTTACAAATTTGCCTGAAAGGGATGAATAAAGCACACACAGCAATGCTAAGACAAAAGTTATATTTAAATGGGGTTGTGACCATAGTACAGGATAGGGGACAGTTGATTCTAAAGCAGGTGTGCAGATAAGTGTATTACACCCAATTCTGCAAGACTGGAAGGCCCTTCCTCCTTTTTCTTTCTTTCTTTGTTGGTTTCTTGCTTTCAGATGTAGAAATCATAAAATTAAACAGATGGCCCACTACCTGCAAAAGTGCATTCTTGACTTGGTAGAATGTTTGAGGGAAACTGTTTTGCATGCAGGAGGTCCCAGGTGCAATCTAGGGCATCTCCAGGTGGGCCTGACAGAGGCTCCTATTTGAAACCCTGAAGAGCCATTTCCCATCAATGAAGATGTGATAAAAAGCAGATTCTAATGTAGCCTGAAGAGTGTTCCTCTTAGTTGCATCTGAAGAACTATGGCATGTTCGGCTACCCTCTTTGAAACCTGTTAACATGCTTCTTTTTTGACATCTCTTTCCCCTACCCTTCCACATTTCAGACCAGATTTTTCTGTGGTATCACCACCAACTAGAATTTGACAATTCCTGCCCTGTTCTTGATTTTAACTTCATTAGTCTATTTCTCTCTTTTTTAAAAAAAATAACTTTCTTTCAATACAAGATTCTTAAGACAGCTTCCACCACCAAGTTAAAATAACAGCAAAATAGCAGACACACCTAACAACAAAGAATCATAGAGTTGCAGCGTCATCTAGTCCAACCCTCTGCAATGTAGGAACCTCAATTGAAGCATCCATGACAGATGGCCATTCAACTTCTGCCTAAAAACTTAAAAGGAAGGAGAGTCCACCAGCTCCTGGGGGAGTCTGTTCCACTGCCAGAAAGGGAGTCTGTTGAACAGTGTCAGAAAGTTCTTCCTGATATTAAGCCAAAATCTCCTTTCTTGTAACTTGAAGCCATTGGTTCAAGTCCTATCCTTCAGAGCAGGAGAAGACAAGCTTGCTCCATTTTCCATGTGACAGCCCTTGAAATATTTGAAGATGGCTATCATCTCTTTTTTTTCCAGGTTAAACCTACCCTGCATCTTCAACCATTCCTTCTAACCATTCATGGTTTCCAGACCCTTGATCATCTTGGTTGCCCTCCTCTGCACACATTCCAGCTTGTCAACATCCTTCTTAAATTGTGGCACACAGAACTGGACACAGTATTCCAGGTGTGGTCTGACCAAGGCAGAATAGAGTGGTACCATGACTTTCCTTGATCTGGACATCCTACTTATATTGATGCAGCCTAGCATAGCTTTTGCTTTTTTGCAGCTGCATCACACTGTTGACTCTTGTTAAGCTTGTGGTCCACTAAGACCCCTAGATTCTTTTCACGTGTACTACTAGTAAGCCATGTGTCCCTCATCTTACATTTGTGCAGCTGGATCTTTCTGCCTAAGTGCAGAACATTATATTTATCCATATTGAAATTCCTTTTGTTAGTTTTGGTCCTTTACCCAATCTGTTAAGGTAATCTTGAACTCTGTTTCTGTCTTTTGCAGCATTAGCTACCCCTCCCAGTTTGGTGTCATTTGCAAATTTGATTAACATCCCTTCAATTCCTTCATCTAAATCATTTATAAAGATGTTGAGTAACAATGGACCTAGGATAGAACCCCGCTTGTAACTTTTTTCCAGGATGACAAGGAACCCTTAATGAGTACTCTTTGGGTTTGGTCAGTCAACCAGCTACAAATCCACCTGACAGCTACCTTGTTCAACCCACATTTTACCAGCTTCCTCACAAGAATATTGTGGGGGATTTTGTCAAAAGCCTTATTGAAATCAAGGTAGACTACGTCTGCAGCATTCCCCTGATTCACCATGCTTGTAACTCTTAACAGTAAAAGAAAGAAGATTTGTCTGGCATGACTTGTTTTTGATAAACCCCATGCTCAGTCTAAGTAATTACAGCATCCTTTTCTAAGTGCTCACAGACCAGCCATTTAATTAATCTATTCTAGGACCTTTCCTGGTATTGATGTCATACTCACTGGTCAGTAGTTACTTGGATCATCTTTTTTCTCCTTTTTGAAGATGGGGTCAACATTTTCCCACCTCCAGACTGCAGGGACCTCACCTGCTCTCCAAGAATTCTCAAAGATTATAGACAGAGGCTCTGAGATAATATCCGCAAGCTCCTTTAGTATCCTTGGGTGCAGCTCATCAGGCCTAACAGATTTGAATTCATTTCATGAAGCTAGGTGTTCTCTTACCACCTCTTTTCCTATCTTTGTCTGCAGTTCCCTCCTTACATCACTTATTATGTTATCACCAGATTGGGCACTGCTTTCCTTTTGGGTGAAGATGGAGACAAAGTAGGTGTTGAGTAGGTCTGTCTTCTCTGTGTCACCCAATAGCACCCAATAGAGGACTTCATGCAGAGGACCCCTTACTTGCTTGCTCTTCCTCTTGCTTCAAGGACAGCCAAAGAAACATTTTATTTTTATTATTTTTAGCCTGTCTTGCAAGCCTAAGCTGATTCTGAGCTTTAGCCCATCTGACCTCCCTGCTGTTGGCTACTCTTGGCTGCTTCTGTATACTTCTCCTTTGTAATTTCCCCTTTCTTCCATTTCTTATACATGCCCTGCTTAACTCTCAGCTCATGTCCCTTATGTAGCCACACTGGTTCTATAGATGCCTCCCACTTTTCTTTCTTGTTGGAACTGTCTGCATTTGGGCTTTCAACATTTCACCTTTAAGAAACTGCCATCCATCATGGACTCCCTTCTCTTTACTTGAGTTTAAAAGCAGCAGTAAAACCATAGGCATCTTTTTAAAAATCCTGGGAAAATGAAACTCTTCAATTAGCATTAGTCAGCACCAGCTAAACAGATAAGTAAGGGAGTCCCATAAATGTGGTAACACTACTTAGAAGACCTTTGCCTTGGCAAGAACTGCCTCCCATCAGGAGGTGGAGGCACCCAGAGTTGGGCCTCTGATGATGGTCTTAACATCTGGGCCAGTTGTCACTCAGTGCTTGGCTCCTTTCTCTCTGCAGGCGACTCTGCCCCTCAGATCGTCATCAACCCAGCAAGGAGGCGTATGATGGAACGGCTGGCACTCTACCGCGACGGAGAGCTTAGCAGCCTGGGTGTGCTTGCTTCTACAGCGTCAGGGGAAGGTAACCTTCCCGCTGCTGCTTCTGCAGATGGAGGGTGGCACTAGTCAGTCTCCCAAATGACCCTGTTGGGTTAGGTAGAGACTTGTTCAAAAAGGCAGATCAGATCAATTCATCATCTCCCCTCCGTCTCATCCCACCCACTAGTACTCTGTGCATATTTTTGCACCTGCCTCTTGTCCTCCATAATAGAATGAAAAGTCTTAAGCAGGTGTTGAGCTCTCTTTGTTGAACATATGTGTGGTGCAAGGGCACTCTTGCCTGAGCCATGCGCACTGGATGTCATGTTTGTGTAGGGACATGTGTGCATAGAATCTGAAACAGACAGGATTGAATCCAGACATAATCCTACATAGAAGAGACCCATTGAAATCTAGCCCTCATGAGAGTAGAGATTACAAAACCCACCTTGTTCAAAGTCTGCTGTTTGTATCCAGGATGGCTTGCAGCCCCTTTCTCAAGGCCTCCAGTCCTATCTGCCTCCCCTTAGCTGCTTCTGCTCTTCATTATCTCTTCTCCCTCCCCCGTGTCCCCACCTGCAGCTGAACTATGCCTTGTCAAAAATGCCAACCTTTAAAATCTCAGATACCTCAAACCAATCTCTCAAACTGATTATAATATGTCAAGCAGTATTTATTTATTTTTACTATTGACATATTTTTTCTTTGTAGAATTTAGGTTCCCCACAGATGCTAGGATAGGTGAATAACGAGGCTAGAAGGCTAATATAATATAGCCAACTGCACTTGAGAGTGGAGCAAATCACAAGAGGGCTTCAGGGTGAGATTGCATTTTTCTGAGGGTGGGGGGCACCAAAAAAGAAAATCTTCTGGGTCAAGTACCCTCAGGCTTGACTTCTCTTTTCTCACAGAAACAGATCAAGAACTGCCTCCTTCTTTGATAGAGGACACACACACACTTACTTCTTCCCAGACTGTAGTTTTGGGCCACACAAAGCCAATGTTTCATGTGGTCTCAGCCACCCTGGGCTTTGCCATGCCTTCCTGTTGTGGACCAGGAAGTTTCTTTTTTATTTTAGAAGGGTTGGGCTCTGCATCTCGGCCTGCATTTCATGTGAAGATGAGAAGAGTTAATGTGGCCGAGGAGGGCAGGAAGGGGGTGTCTGCCCCCCACTAAGTCACCTCCTCCGCTACCTGGTTTGGGAAGCGTATTGCGTAGTGAGGTTCTATACGGTTTAGTCATTGTAACTAATGGTTACTAAAATAGTGGTCCTTCATAAATTTGTTTAATCCCCCTTTAAAAGCCATCATCACATCTTGTGGCAGAGACGTCTATAAAACGTGTATTATGTAGAAAAAGTACCTTTTTTATCATTGGTATCTCTAATCTAACCTAGTGCTGTTTGCTATGCCTGGCAGTGTTCCTGCCCTCCTCCCTCAGATCCTGTAATTCAGAGGTGCCCAGAGGGGGTCCTGTGGCTCTTCAGGTGTTGCTGGACTTTCATCATCCCTGGCCACTGGCACTGCTTGCTGGGACTGATGGGAGTTGTAGTCAACAACATACAATCTCATTTTATCTGTAAGCTGCCTTGAATCCCTGTCAGTGAAAAAGGCAGGGCATAAATGTATATATAATAATAATAATAATAATAATTGTGGGGTGGTGAACTGGAGATGCTGGAGATTGAATGTGAAAATTCATACATGCAAAGCAATATTACTCTACCACTGAATGGGGGGCCCCAATTTTTTTCTAAGGGTGTGGGCCCTTTTGCCTCCCATAGCATGAGGACTGAGAAATCAACCCAGAACCCCTTGGCACTTACAGCAAGAATCATGCATGTAAGGCAGTTCCATGGAGCATAGCCAAGGCCAGACGAATTCCTCCCACCCCATTACAATTTCTGTGTTCTAGCTTTAGAGGGTAGGTGCCAAACACACTGTGCTGGCAGTGACCTGAGGGATCATGTACGCTTTAAAGGATCTCTAATGAATTCTATTCCCTCCTCCAGATCACCTTGCAGAACCCCCTCGTGAGCCCGAAGAGAGTGATGAATTTGAGTGATGAACTTGAGTGACATGGAAGGATTAAAGTTCTCACAGCGCTGACGGCACTTTGCGTTTTACAGGGTCCCACCATCCTTGGGGGGGGGGCACATTCCTTAGCTGGTACTGCCAACCCTGTGGCACCCAGGGGTTCTGGTGGAATACGGCATCAAGTTAACAACACAGCTCAAGCGGGGGGTGGCAGGGGCAATGGAGTCTATTTGAGTAGAAGATTAAAGTTTCTACCCCAAAACTGGAAGGGCAGTAGGAGGAGGGGATTTGTGTAGATTTTTACCCCTATGACCCTCCCTGCAAACGTCTCCGCACTACGTACTCCTTTTTCTTGAAGACAGTAAATAAAACATTTTATATATTTGTAACCTGTCTGTATCCTTTTGGCTTACAAATTTGTACTTGGTACTGACAGAGGTCTGTTTTTTGTTTTGCTAGATTTATGTGGTATTAGGCTGAACAGCCAGCCTCTTAGGATATGGCAGTTTGTGACAAGGGAGAAGGAGAAAAACCATTTTATTTTCCATGTTCCCAGTATGCTGTGAATTCTGCCTGCCTTCCTCTTCCTCCTTTTCCAGGATGAGAAGATGAGACAGTCACAAAGGAAGAAGATGGAAGCCAAAGTCCCAAATAGGATGGTCAGACAGTTGCTTATTCGCTCTTTCTGACCCTTTTAAAGTGTGTCAAAGCAAGGGTAAAGAGGTGTCTGTAGGTGCTGCAGGTGGCCAGAGTCATGATTAAGAGTTGCTTGTATTTCCCCTGGTCTCTCTGCATGCAGAGCTGGCAGTGGAGCAGTCAGTTGTAGCACCAGCAAGCTGCCCAACTGAATCTGCATGGTGGGCTGGCATGCTGAAACATTTTGCTGCCTGAATCAGAAAAGCCAAAACAGTATTGTTTATGGAGAAGCTCAAGTGAGAGAAAAATAATGTGGAGCAATGATCTTTTAATCCCCCCCCCTCATTCACCTGTGTGAAAGCAGGCTGAGGGTGGCACAAACTTAGGCCAGAGGTTAAATTCTGGTGCCTGGCAGCCCTTTGAGACCATCACCTCCCTGATACTCCATCACAGCTTTTCAAATCAACAGCACACCTTCCTGATGGTACTATGTGTGTATGTACGTACACACACACATTATCTCTCTGTGTGTATATGTAGAGAGAGGTGTGAAGTTGGGTGTTTTAATAAGTGCCTCATTGCCTGCCCTGACACTCTGTGGAGGTTGGTCCATGGGGGCAAATAGGGCTCTGGCCCAGCAACTTCAGCCTTCGATTCCTCCAAGCCCACCTGCCTTTACTTGCAATCAGTCTAGAGGGTGTTTCTGGCTGCCACCTTCCTCCTTGGTCTCAGTGCTGCCCTTGTAGAACTAGCAGGCTGGCGCTAGAATCAATGGACTCTGTTTCTACCTACTGCTTACTTATCTCCCTGTCTTCTGCCCTGCCAGTCCCAGTGGACACCAGCCTCCGCAGCTGAGACCTTTCTACTTGGGCAGGAAATAAACAGAACAAGCAACACTGTAGAAAGAAGTCCTTACCAACACCCCTGCCGGCCCTCTTGCACATGAAGAGAGGCTGGAGAAGTTTCTGTGTGCAGCTTTTTATTTCAGATCCAGCAATTTAAAACCCCTCTGCCATTGCAGCCATGGCTAATGTTATGTACTTTGACTGTTAAGTTTATTTAAAAATTGGCATGTGACGATTGTGGACTAATTCACTGAGACCAGAGCTGGCGCCTGCTCAGCTGGGTAAAAAAGCAGAAGGCAAAATGGAACTGCAGCACATCGCAGATCTTGGACCAAAAGTGACCAGTAAGCCGGCGGAAAGGTGCCCATTGTGCCAGCTCCTGGTCCCACAGCTTGAGGCTTACAAAGCCCAGGCAAGAGACCAATCCTAGCACCAGGATCCAAGCTGACCGGGCATTACCCAAATGTCTCTGCGCCTTCAGTGCTCTCCAAACAATTATAAATATATGTCCACTCAATGCCAGCTCAAAGCCTTGGGGGTGAAGCAATGCCAGAACATAGCTCGTCAGTGAAGCTGCTTCCATGGCCAGGAAAGTGCCTGGCTGCCACCCGTGCTCCAGAAAGTGACAGCAGACAACACCCCAAGCAAAAATTGGCAATGTCAACCACTGATCTAAGACAGCTGCCCAGTGATGCTGTGTCCAGAGTCGCACCCATTGTACAGGCCCATATGCAAGCGCCATAAGGGCAAAGACCTCCTGGAGGTAGCATGCCTGACCTCTCTCGTCACCTGAAGGCAGCCAGTGCCAGCCCAGAAAGATGTAGGCCAAGTTGACTAAACAATTGGCAGGCATAGCCAGTACGGGAGGCAATCCTGACACAGTTGGTTCAGCATAGTACTCGTACCCAACTTCCGTGTGAACACCGTCAAAGACTCCTGAAGCCACAAGTCCCACACACAGCAGGAGACCTCCAGACACCAGCAAGAGTGGTTCTCTGCCTCCTGGTTTCCTCACAGTCCTTTCCAAAGTTCTGGAGGGTTCTTCCTGAATGACGGCCGAACTGCTCCTGCAGCAACTGTTCTGCTGTAACATGTTGCTTGCTTTGGCAAAAGCCTCCCAAATGCAATTCACAGGTGGTGCGAGGCAGGCTTCCGAGCCTGGTGTTTTCCTATCCCAGTGTGGACTTTGATTCTCCTTCCCCTACTAACAGCACAGAAAAGGCGGAGTGAATGGGCATTCATGACCAAGAGGGACAGCTGTGCTCTTATCTGGCAAGTTTAATGTATTATTGGCCTTTTCTCTTCTTCACTCCACCCCTCCCCTTTCCCCCCAGAGCAGAGATTGGTGCCTGTGTAGAACTACTTACATGCATAGGCCCTGTCGGTTTCCTTGGCAGCCGCTCCAGTCACGCTGCTTCCAGTGAATGTGGTTATGAAACAGCTGCAGCGGCAGGATTGGCTGCTGGTGACATCACGGCACAGCGGGGGTGAGGTTGCTTCCTTCCCAAGGTCTTGTGTTTTGTAACCATGGGGACAGCAGCTGCCAGCCTCTAGGTGGTCCCTTGGGTTAGGCCTGCAAGACATCCTGTAGCTGGATCTTTACTGCAGAGGCTTTGCTCCCAGTGCCTTTAAAAGAACCTCTACAGGACCCGTGTCAGTTCTTCAAAAACGACATAATACAAAACAACCCACCACACAAGAAGTACCGAGTCTAAATATCATTCAGGAAGTGTTTGGTTATCAAGTTTCTTTGGATATGAGGGCAGTATTAATGAGGAATGTTATTTATTATATTTATAGCTTACCTTTCCGCTAAGAAGCTAAAGGCAGTTTGCATTTTATCCTTGCAACAGCCCCATGAAGCAGGTTAGGTACAGGAAGAAGGTGGCTGGCCTAGAGTCGCCCAGGCAGCTTCAGGGCTGAGAGCAGCAATTCGAACCAGGGCAAGTGGCTCCCTAACATTTTCTCCCCTGGACCTCTGAAAAACTGCTGAGGGTCTTAATGATTTTTCTGTAGCAACAGTAATGCGCTTTGCTAGATGCTGCATGGTTTTTAATTCTGTTTTCGTTGCTTCTTTTACTTCTTATGTACAGTGTTCTATTTATTCTATTCCACAGAAGTCAAATTGTAGTGCAATAAAATAAGAAATAAAAGCAATAAAAATGCAATTTAAACTCATTATGAATATTTAACACAATGGATGTGTGGTCTTCCATTTTCAGTCACAAATCTAGAGACATGCAGTGGACCACCTGAATGAAGCTTGCGGGTAACAGTTTGGAAACCTCTGAACTAGAGTCTTTCTAGCCCCAGTGTGTGACACACTGGCTCTCTTAGTTTAGGACATGTCCCTTTAAATGTGCAGTTTAAAGGGTGCTTTAAATGAGAGAAGGAATGAATTTTTAAGTCTTTTAAACAAATATATTCATATTTTAATTCATCATTAACAAAAAGGGAAGGGAAAACAAGAAGCATCAGACTCTGGCTGAAATCCTGTACCCAGTTTCCTGGAAGTAAGCCCTATGCAACTAAATGGGACATAGTTACATCTATAAGATGATGATCTTAAAACTATTATAACATATTCTTCAACATCTGTCATGACTCTTTTATTTTTATTTTTTTATTTTATTTTTTTTTAATTGATATTTATTAAATTTTCAAAAAGTAACAAGTAACAACAAAAATTTCCAAAAAAGTTTGAAAATACAAAAAAAAACACAGAAATAATACAGAAATAATAAAGAAGAAAAAACCCAGCCACAAAAAAGAAAAAAGAAAAACAGAAAAACAGACATATAAAATCCTTTACGATCTCCATTAACTTCCTTTCTAGACTTCCTCCTCCTCCGTCTCTTGTTTCTTAGTATTTAATTTTTACAGCAAATCCTTTCTGTTTTTTCATAACAATCTATCATTGCGTTTCCTTGTTCTATTTTCCCTCTTGTCATATAAAAACTTTAAAACTCAAAGCTTATATTCCATATTTAGCAAATTCTTACATCATTACCTTTTTACAAGTCATTTACCAATCCTTACTTAAGTCATATAATTTCATTCAACATCCTTCAAACATTTATAAACATTCCCAATATTAAAAAATAAAAAATAATAAGTCAGATTCAGTCCAGTCAACTTCCAGCCTCCCCTCCCCTGGACCCGGGGTTGTCAGTCCTTTTAACCTCAATAATCCGGCTCCTTAACCTGGTTGTCTCGTGTCTGAGGCCCTCAAGTCTCTTTCTTGCCCCTTTCGCCACTCTTGTTGATATTTCCCTTTCAGTCGTGGATACTCCAGCAAGAAGATGCTTTTGACTCTTTGCAGCAAGTCCATCCCAAACCCATTACCCAAGCCAGACAGCAGATAATACCTCTTCCAATTTCCAGAAAACTTGGAGACTTCGACTACTCCAATCCTCTGATGGCCCATCCCTAGACTCGGAAAGTCCAAATAACCATATAGAGGGGTGTCAATCCATCCCCCCATTTCCAAATCTGACCACATTTCATCTTTCCGAATCAGGTTTGTCCCAAGTTCATTTATCAAGTTCAAAGGCTGATCTTGCCCATCCATAGGTCCCTCCATCTCTGAAGCCTCCATCGCTACAGCAGGTTCATATACTTGTATAGACTTTAACTGAATTTCATTTGTTTGCTGCTGTGCTCTGGTGACTTCCGTCATCATCAAGGTCGACTCCTGACGCATCTGGTCCAGCTGGGCACTTAATTTTGCAAAACCTTCCAGGAACACTTGTTCAAGCCTTTGTACAAGCATTGTCCTTCAAGGTCAAAAAATTCTTTCCCACGAGAATGGTCCTTATCTTTTAAACTCTCTGCATTGCAATTTAACTCAGTTCCACTAGATGGAAAACCCTTTTTTTTTTTTTTTTTTTAAGAGGGGGGAAAAACAACAGTAACAATTTTTCTTTTTCCAGAAACACTTTATCCAAAATTCCCCCCTTTCAATTTCAAGAGGCAACAGTAGAATCAAAATGTTACCCTTCTTTTAACTATCTGTCGAGCTGGATAAGCTTCAAAACGTCAGTTCTGACAGCCCGCTCCTGGTTCAGGGCGGTGGAAAATTACTTTATTTTAAACTCACTTCCGCAGGGTTGAAAAGATCAAAACAACCCCTTCTTCTCCTGCAATCAAAGGGGGTTCAGAAATCTTAGATGTTGAATTTTAGTTCTCTCAGAATTTAGTTTTCAGGCTTTAGTATAATTTGTCTTTGCTTTCTTCACGTAACAAAAGAACGGAAGGCGACTTCCTGTTTAGACCTTTCCGTTCCGAGTCCCAATTAAATTCAATTTCAAGTTCAAGTCCAATTGTGATGGCCTGGGATTCCGATTCGGAGGATGAAACAGAGGAATCCCGGCCTGCACAGGAGTCCCCGCCTCCAGGGCCGGCTGAACTGGGGCAAGGCCTTGATGCTGAAGAGCCTGCACCTGTGGCAGTGCATCAGGAGCTGGCCCCAGGTGAAGCCCTTCGGGCCCCAGAGGGGCTTGATGACTCAGTGGCCACAGGTGAGCCTCCTCCAGGGCCCAGTAACCCTTCGGCCTCTCCTGATCTGCAGAGGCTTAGGGCAGAGAGGCGAAGGGAACTGGTTGCCCCCAGGAGGAGTGCTCGCCTTAAGGCCAGAGGAGGCGGGGCTCCTGGGGACCGGGACCGCCCCTGGCCTTAGAAGAGGATAAAAGCCCAGTCAGCCCGGCCCCAGGTTGCGGGAGCAACGTCGTTGTTGGCTTCGGACCTTCCTGTGTTCCTGATCCCTGCTCGGCTTCCTGTTCCTGACTATCCGGTACTCCTGTTCCCTGCTCGGCCTCCTGTTCCCGACCATCCGGTGTTCCTGTTCCCTGCACAGCCTCCTGTTCCAGCAGTCCTGTTCCCCGCCCGGCTCTCTGCCTCGGACCTTGCCCCTCTTCGTGTGGACTCTGCTACACCCAAGGTACCTTACCCCCGGGACCAGCACAGTTTGCTCCCGCCACACCCGCACTCCCCCTTCGTAGGGGTGCGTTCGGGAAGAGCCAGAGGCCATGGCTGACCAGGCGGCTGCACTGGTGGCTTTGGCCCAGAAGAACCAGGCCTTGACTCACACCGTGCAGCAGCTCAGTGACGCGGTTGTGGCACTTCAACAACGCTTGGAAGCCCTACCGGCTCCTGGGGCCGACGCCCGGCTCCTGGCAAGTACCCAGTGGCTTTGCCTGAGAAATTTGATGGAGCCCCGGCCAGCTTTCCCATGTTCCTGGCCCAGGCCAAGCTGTATATTCAGGGGCGAGCCCGGAACTTTCCTGACGACCGCACCAAGGTGCACTTTTTGATTAGTTTGTTAAAGGACCAGGCGGCCAAGTGGGCGTTGCCGCTACTCAGGCAAGACTCCCCGGTGCTGGCAGACTATACGGGGTTTTGCAAGCGTTTGGAGGCCGCGGTCGGCAACCCCCAGAAAGGGAGTCAAGCCAACCGGGCGATTCGGCGTTTGAAACAGGGCAAGTCCACGGTGGCCGCATATACCACGGAGTTTCGGCTGTTGGCACAGGACTTGACCTGGAATGATTCGGCACTGCGGGACCAGTATCTCGAAGGGCTTTCGGACGAGGTACTGGACCAGTTGGCCACAATGGAACGCCCCACCACGCTAGACACTCTCATTCAACGGAGTCTACAAATAGACGACCGGTTGGAGGATCGTCGTCAGGCCCGGGGTCGCCGACACTTCCAGTTCACGGCACCAGCTTTTTCCGGCAGCCCCACGGTCACAACTGATTTAACGGAGGAGCCTATGCAGCTCGGGGCAGTGCGGCCACGCCTTTCCCCCGCAGAGAAGGCGCGGCGTCGGGAGGGAAATCTCTGTCTTTACTGTGGCGGAAGTGGACACTTCGCTCGGTCTTGCCCTGAGAAACGCCAGCCGCAGGGAAACCGCCAACCCCAGTAGCTGATGGCCCTAGCTGCCTCGGGTCCCAAACCGCGCAGAATGGGCCTGCATCAATGGACTCGCAACATCTTATGGTTCCGGTACGTTTATACCCTCCAGGTGGGCCCTGGATCCCCACCCATGCTTTGGTGGATTCAGGGGCAACCCGCTCTTATATGGACGCTGCTTTGCCGCCCATCATCAGGTGCCACTCGGAACAAGCCAGTACCGGTCCAGGTGGAAGCGATTGACGGACGACTTCTGTGTTCAGGTGCCGTTACTCAGGAGACCCAGCCCCTGGTCCTGTGTTTCCAGCAGCACCGGGAGTTGCGAACTTTGGACATTGCCTCTATGCCCCGCTTTCCCCTGGTGCTCGGGATGGACTGGCTGGAAGCCCACAACGTTCAGATTCACTGGGTCAAACGGACCGTGCACTTCCCAGACCCATGTTCCCATGCTCAATCCGGGACGCTGGCGGCCGCGCCTTCAGAGGAGGCAGCACCCACGCTCCCAGCCGTGTATCAGGACTACCAGGACGTGTTCGAGGAACGGGGGGCAGACCAGCTGCCGCCGCATCGGCCTTTTGACTGCGGCATAGACCTCCAACCCGGAGCGCCTCTACCAGTGAGTCGCTTATATTCTCTAACAGAGCCAGAGCGCGAGGCTTTGCAGGACTTCTTGCGCAAGAACCTGGAGCGTGGGTTCATTAGGCCGTCCACCTCGCCTACCGCGGCACCAGTGCTTTTCGTTAAGAAGAAATGTGGGGAACTCCGCCCTTGCCATGATTACCGAGCCTTGAACAAAATTACCGTCCCAGACCGATACCCCTTGCCCCTTATCTCGGAGCTGCTGGAGCGGGTGCAAGGGGCACAGGTGTTCACCAAGCTGGACCTCCGGGGGGCCTACAACTTGATTCGGATCCGAGCCGGGGATGAGTGGAAGACAGCGTTTGGGACCCGGTACGGGCAGTTCGAATATTTGGTTATGCCTTTCGGGTTGTGCAACGCGCCTGCTGTGTTCCAACGCTACATCAACCACGTGTTTCAGGACTTGTTAGACAAGTACGTGGTGGTGTATTTGGATGACATACTGATTTACTCCCGTGACCCGGCTCGCCATGAGGGACATGTCCGGACCGTGCTGCAGCGCTTGCGTGAGCACCGTTTGTACGCAAAGCTCAGCAAGTGCGAGTTCCATCAGCGGACTGTGGACTTCCTTGGTCACCGGCTCTCTCCGGATGGGGTGCAAATGGACCCGGGGAGGTGACAGCGGTTCAAGAATGGGCGGCACCCCGGAACCGCAAGGACCTACAACGCTTCCTGGGGTTCGCCAATTACTACCGGACCTTCATCGCTGATTATGCTCATCGCACCACCCCGTTGACCCGGCTACTGCGCCCAAAGACGCCGTTTTCCTGGGACAAGGAGGCAGAGGAGGCGTTTCAGGGGTTGAAGGCCTGTTTCCAGAGGGCACCAATCTTACAACATCCTGACCCCTCTCGACCCTTTGTGGTGGAGACCGACGCCTCCAGTACGGCTCTCGGTGCCGTCTTGTCTCAACAGATTGGGCCCGAGCGCCACTCTTACCCTGTGCCTTCTATTCCCGCCAGCTCCTACCAGCGGAGCGTAACTATACTGTGTGGGAGCGGGAACTACTGGCCATCAAGGTAGCCTTCGAGGTCTGGCGCCACCATCTTGAGGGGCACGACATCCGGTGGAGGTAAGAACCGACCACCGGAACCTGGAGTACCTCCAGACCACCCGCAAGCTGAACCAAAGACAGATCCGGTGGGCGTTGTTCTTTCCCGGTTCCAGTTTCGGATCCGCTACATCCCTAGCTCTCAGAATCTGAAGGCGGATGCCCTGTCCCGGAAACCTGAAGACAACGCAGACACGGTACAGCAAGCAGAACCCGCCACGATCCTACCTCCGGCCGCATTCCTGGCCACCCAGGAGGCGCAGCCACTGCAGGTTCGGGTGCGGGAACAGCAGCGGGTCGACGCTTGGGCCCAGGAACGACTCCGGGAGCTGGCTGAAGGGTCCAGCCCACAGTATCCGGGGCTGGTCCTGCATCAGGGCCTCCTGCTGCACCACGGTCGTCTGTACATCCCGCCAGGGCCACTGCGGCTGGAGGTTCTCCGGATGGCCCATGATGCCCCGGCAGCGGGGCACTTTGGACGGTATCGGACCACCCATCTGGTCAGTCGTGAGTTTTGGTGGCCCCGCCTGAAGGCTGACGTGGCTCGCTACGTTGCTGGTTGTGATGTCTGCCGACGCGCCAAGGGGCCTACCGGGCGACCCCCGGCCTACTTCAGCCATTGCCAGTTCCACCGCGCCCTTGGCACACAGTTTCGTTGGACTTTGTAGTGGACTTACCCTCGTCTCGTGGCTGTACCTGCCTTCTGGTTTTCTCCGACCATTTCACCAAGATGGTGCACTGCGCTCCCTGTCCATCTGTACCCACAGCCAAGGAAACTGCTCAGCTGTACCTTCAGCATGTCTTCCGCCTGCATGGACTACCTGAGCGCGTGGTGTCCGACCGGGGCGTTCAGTTCACATCCCGGTTCTGGCGAGCATTACACCAGACCCTCGGGACAGAGGTCTGCCTCTCGTCAGCCTACCACCCACAGACCGATGGCCAGACGGAACGGGCGAACGCGGTGCTGGAGCAGTACCTCCGGTGTTACTGCAGCTACCAGCAGGATGACTGGGTCGACCACCTGGCATTGGCGGAGTTCGCCTATAACAACGCGGTGAATGCGTCCACCCAGCAGACCCCGTTCCAGGCCAGTTATGGTTATCATCCACGGCTGTTTCCAGAGGTGCTGCCGGCATCCGCGGTCCCGGCGGTGACGGAGTGGCTTCAAGAGCTCCAGTCCCAGCAACAGCTTTTGGTGGAGCAACTGCACCAGGCCAAGGAAGCGTACAAAGCCCAGGCCGACCGCCACCGCCAGGTGGGGCCGGAACTTCGCGTCGGTGACCTGGTTTGGCTCTCCACTCGCCACCTCCACCCCTCTCGACCTTCGCGGAAGTTGGACGCCCGCTTCACCGGCCCGTTCCCTATCGTAGACCAAATCTCTCCTGTGGCATTCCGTCTCCGGTTACCCGCAACCCTGAAGGTTCACCCGGTCTTCCACAGGTCCCTTTTGAGTCCGGTGGCCCCACCCGACGAGTTCCACCAGAACCGTCCCCGACCGCAGCCAGTGTTGGTTCGGGGAGAGCCTGAGTACGAGGTGGAACGCATCCTGGACTCCCGATACCGCAGGGGAAAGCTGCAGTATCTCATTGACTGGAAGGGGTACGGACCGGAGGACCGTTCCTGGGAACCAGCGGCCAATGTCCATGCACCTGCCTGCCTCCGAGAGTTCCATGCGACGTATCCCGGCAAGCCGGGTCCGGACCCTCGGTTGAGGGGGGGGCCTGGGAGGGGGATGGTGTGATGGCCTGGGATTCCGATTCGGAGGATGAAACAGAGGAATCCCGGCCTGCACAGGAGTCCCCGCCTCCAGGGCCGGCTGAACTGGGGCAAGGCCTTGATGCTGAAGAGCCTGCACCTGTGGCAGTGCATCAGGAGCTGGCCCCAGGTGAAGCCCTTCGGGCCCCAGAGGGGCTTGATGACTCAGTGGCCACAGGTGAGCCTCCTCCAGGGCCCAGTAACCCTTCGGCCTCTCCTGATCTGCAGAGGCTTAGGGCAGAGAGGCGAAGGGAACTGGTTGCCCCCAGGAGGAGTGCTCGCCTTAAGGCCAGAGGAGGCGGGGCTCCTGGGGACCGGGACCGCCCCTGGCCTTAGAAGAGGATAAAAGCCCAGTCAGCCCGGCCCCAGGTTGCGGGAGCAACGTCGTTGTTGGCTTCGGACCTTCCTGTGTTCCTGATCCCTGCTCGGCTTCCTGTTCCTGACTATCCGGTACTCCTGTTCCCTGCTCGGCCTCCTGTTCCCGACCATCCGGTGTTCCTGTTCCCTGCACAGCCTCCTGTTCCAGCAGTCCTGTTCCCCGCCCGGCTCTCTGCCTCGGACCTTGCCCCTCTTCGTGTGGACTCTGCTACACCCAAGGTACCTTACCCCCGGGACCAGCACACCAATGTTATTTATTTATTCACCAATCTTAAAAGTAGTTCAGCTCTTCCAGGATCAGGTACTCACGGATAGATGTTTTAGATGCCAAATTGTCCAGGAAAAAGGCAGCGCTCTCCGAAAACGGCAGTGCGGCTTTGCTGCACGGAGGAAGCAGTCGACTCACAGCACCACGCACCTCCCACTCCGGAGCCCGTTACCGGGCTCCTGCACAAGGGGAGAGAGCGCTCTCGGTGCCCGCCGAGTCCCACGCCCACAGGCTTCTTCCGCCGGTGGGTTTTAAGGGTCCCCGCTGCGCCGTAGCGGCAGGACCCAAGCCTCCGTGCAGCGGGTTCCCTTCAGTTCGAAGGGAATTCCGCCATTTTCCGGAGGCGCCACCCCGGAAGTCTGTCATGACTCTTTTAACCGATGAACATGTCCAAAATATCACCAAAATCTGTTTCTCACCAGCCCTAGTTTTAAGATAGCCAGCCTTTCCCCCCATTAAATCTACATCCCAACCAGCTCTGGAGTATTGGGATGCAGTGGTACCTCGAGTTAAGAATTTGTTCTGGAGGTCCATTCTTAACCTGATGTACCACTTTAGTTAATGCGGCCTCCCGCTGCTGGTGCGCGATTTCTGTTCTCATCCTGAAGCAAAGTTCTTAACCCGAGGTACTATTCCTGGGTTAGCGAAGTCTGTAACCTGAAGCGTCTGCAACCTGAGGTACCACTGTAGTCACAACTTTCCCCATGCTTTTGTTAGGCATATCTTCGTTGCTAATTAGAAAAGCATGTTGTTCACAAGTTATATATTTTGAAAGGTGTCCTTTGGCTGCAGAAGTCAAGCCCATGCACCACAAAACCATTGTCAATGCGCTTTCGGGGGAGGGGCACCTTGCGTGAAAGGGATGCAATAGAACTGGAAAGTATTGCACTGTGTGCGGAGCACACGACAAAAGTGTGTTCACACCATGACAAATATGAATAAAATACTACATGTGTATAAACCCCCAAGGATGGTAACATACAGACATTTGTGACTTTCTGATTCATGTTCATTATTCAGCCCCAAACATCTTGAATGTTTACTTTAAAAATGAAAGACTGTTGGGGGACTTTAGTGTTGTGCTATTATAATTGTTTTGTCAGTGCAAGCATTTCTGTTTGTCAGATGGAATAATCCCCCTCTCCTCCCCGACTCGCTCTTCTGGGGGTTCTTCTTGACCCTCCAGAGCAGATCTGTGGGAGGCCGGGAAAGTCTACTTGCATTAGCCAATGTTATTGCACTGGTTTCCACTAGTGAGCCGGGTATAAGCCCCAGGTTTTTTCAACTTTGTTGAAAATGATTTCACTTTCCCTATAAAATAGAATGGGGACTCTGTAATTTTTTTTTTTAATGATATTTATTAAGAATTTTAGAATTACAAAAAAAAAAAGAAAAAGGAAAAGGAAAAACAGGAAAAAAAACAAACCACAGTACAAATTGATAAAAATCAAAATCAAAAAATAAGAACAAAGCACGTAACACAACACAATCAAAAAGCAAAAATAAGCCACAAACATTTTAAAACAAATCCAATATTCTCAAATCCTTAACTGTCATTACCTTCTTTCTTTGACCTCCTCACTCCTCCCTTTTTTTGTATCATAGTTGTTAATTGTCACAGCAAATCCTTTCAATTTTTCATAATATTCTGTCATTACATTACTTTAATCTATTTTAACCTTATCTTACTATAAAAGACCCTAAAACTTGAAACTTAGATCTTATTTATACCAATTTCTCATAACCATAACATATTCTTACATAATTCTTTTAACATTTTTGCTAAAGCCAGATGATTTTGTTCCAACATTTTTCTAACATTCATCAATTTTATAAAGCAATCCTAATAAAAAAAAATTTCTTCCAATCTTCATCTAGTGTCTCTTCCTCCTGGTCCCGGGTTTTGTCAGTCCTTTCTATCCCATCAATCTAGCGCATTAACCTGGTAATCTTATGTCCGAGGCCCTTAAGTCTCTTCCATGTCCCTTCCGCAGCTCTTCTTCATATTTATACCTGTACTTTACTTTGTCTCCTGCTCCTTTCACTCGTGGGAACTCCAACTTGACAGTGTTTTTGACCCTTCTCGACAAATCAGTCCCTTTTCCATATTCCACACTAAACTCCATGTGGTATTTAAAAACATGTTTCAAAGTCCCTCCAGAATTAAGAGCCTCCACAACCCCAAACATCTCACGGCCCATTGCCAGACTTGAAAAGTCCAAACATCCCTGCATAGAGGGGTCTATCCAACCCCCCATTTCCAAACCAAACCAAACTTTATCTTTCCAAATCTGGCTTTTTCCAAGTTCATTTGTCAGATCCAAGAACTCATGTTCCTGCTGGGCCACAGCTCCCTCCATCTCTGGTGCCCGAGGTTCAGCAACATCCTCTTCCCTCATCTGATCTGTCAGAGCACACTCCTGATTTGATTCCTGGGTGGGCTCTATATAGTTTCCCACTACCTGTCCAAAATTTCTGATCGCAGCAGTCATCAAGTCCGTCTTCTCATGTAGCTGTTCCAGTAGGGCACTTGTTTTGCAGAGAGCACGCACCAGAGCTTCTGGATACATTGTTCTGCAAGGTCAGAAGTCTATTCCCACGATCGTAATCTGTTGCAGCTGCAGAGCTCCCGATTCAGATTTAGTAACAGTTTCACAGGCTCCTCTAGGGGAAGAACTTCTATTTGTTCTTTTCTTTTAAAGGCAGATCTAGCAACAAAGTTTCCTTTTTCAGATATTTTGTCAATATTTGTTCCTTTAAAATGCGAAGGAGAACAATGGAATCACTATGTTTCTCTTCTTTTAACTATCTGTCAAAGACGTTTGTCTCTGGTCAATGAGCTTCCCAATGAACGTCAGTCCTAACACCCCGCTCCCAGGATCAAGACGGTGGAAAATTACTTTGCTTTACACTCTCTTCTGCAGGTTTAAACAGTCGGAAAAAATCCCCCCTCTTCTCCTGCTTCCGAAGGGGGTTCAACAATTTTAAATGATGAAAGTTAATCCTTTACAAGCAATTTTCTGAACTCTAGTTTGTCATGTCTTTGCTTTAATCTATCTACAAGAAAAGGAAGGCTGACTTCCTGTTTAGACCTTCCCGTTTCAGTGCCAAATTGAGATGAATTTCTTAGTCCAATTTTCCTTTCTACTCGCAGATCATTATTTAAAGTCCAATTGTCCGAAATTAAAGTACTCACGGGTAATTGTTTTAAAAGCCAAATTGTCCCAGGAAAAAGGCAGTGCTCTCCGGCAACGGCTGTGCGGCTTCGCTCCACGGAAGAAGCAGCTGACTCTCAGCACCGCGCCACTTCCCCCTCTTCGCTCCGGAGCCCGTAAGTGGGTTCCTTTACGGGTTGGGGGGGCGCTAAAGGTGCCCGCCGAGTCCCATGGTCACAGGCTTCATCCGCCTGTGATTTTTGAAAGGGTCCCCGCTTCGCCGTAGCGGGAAAGACCCGTTTTACGTGGAGCTGGTCCCTCCGGATCAGAGGGAATCCGCCATTACCGATGGCGCCACCCCGGAAGTCCTAGAATGGGGACTCTGTAGCCCCCCAGATCCTCTTGGACCCCAACTTCCATCACCCCAGATAGCATGGCCAGCACTCAAAGATGATGGGAATTGTAGTCCAGCAATGCCTGGAAAGTTGCAGGCTCCCCATCCCTGCTATAAAAAATAATTCAAGGGACTGGCCCATGACATTTAAGAAAATTCCAATTAACACTTGCTCCCCTCCCAGCAAGTGGAAAGATCAACCTAGAAAGTGTCTTCTGCAATCCCCACTGAAATGAGTAGCATAGAGCAGTGCACAACCTCTTGAAGGAGGCTGTTCCACTGTTGAACAGCTCTTACAGAAAGTTCTTCCTGATATTTACCAGTAGTTGGAATCTCCTTTCTTGTAACTTGAACCCATTGGTTCATGTTGTACCCTCCAGAGCAGGTAAAAACAAGCTTGCTCCATCTTCCATGTGACAGCTCTTGAGATATTTGAAGATGCCTACCATATCTCCTATTTGCCAGGTTAAACCTACCCAGCTCTTTCAACCATTCCTCAACAGGCTTGGTTTCCAGACCCTTGATCATCTTGGTTGCCCTCATCTGCACACATTCCAACTTGTCAATATCCTTCTTAAATTGTGGCATCCAGGTGTGGTCTGACCAAGGCAGAATAGAGGAGGACTATTACTTCCCTTGATTGGGACACTAGACTTTTTTTGCTGTTGCATCACACTGTTGACTCATGTTCAGCTTGTGGTCCACTAAGACCCCTAGATCCCTTTCACATGTACTACTGACAACCCAGGTGTCCCCCATCTTGTATTGGTACAGCAGCTTCTTCCTACCTAAGTGCAGAACCTTGCATTTGTCCCTCTTGAAATTTATTTAGTTAGTGGACCTCTGGGGAGGAACCATGGTGGATTAAATGTATCCTGTTGAAACTCCATCGACAGAGATAGTTATGTAGTGACTGATGACAGCCAAGCCATAAATCTAGGTTATTGAATTATCTCCAAAGAATAGACACAACAGGGATTAACTTCCAGTGCTCTGAAAAGGCTGCTTTCTCACTGAGGGACAAAGAAACTTTCAAGAGACTCAGATGGGGTGAGTGACTGAGAACAGAAGAACCGTAATCTTGCCCAAACACCGCATAATAGCCCTAAGGGTCAATCCTTAGGGCAAAGATTGACTAAACCTCTATTTCTTCAATTAATTCTGAATCTGCTATAAATTATCACTGAGACTATCTCTCTGCCAGTTAAAATGTACATCTGAAATATGACCCAACTGCTGTCTTAAGATGAGATGGCACTAAGGGGATGAAAACAAAACAAAAATTATGGTTTAATCATACATATCTAAGAAAGATTCTAAACAGCTAAGAGGCGATCCAAGTTTCAGGAATTTTCATTTAATTTTGTTCTATTTTTAATCCTCCACTTCACTGGTGAATGTGCTGATTATAACATGAAACTACATGTT